TGTTTTCGTTACGTTAATATTTTACTTTGTATTTCAAGTGTAATACTAATTATCCAACATTCATAAAATTAAATGCAAATAACGTCTGGTCTAGTAAAAACAATGATAAGTGAATAAGCAATATTGTTGTTATCGTTTTCGTAAACAAGGACGATCCCGGAGTGCATTTAGTGCAAACATTAAAATACAATTAATTGATCTACACATATGCAGGGCGATTCAGGAGAAATGGCGTCAGGTAAATATTTCCCACGACTTCCAAACAGCCTCTATTAGAATTTTCTAAGTAATGTCATCAAAAAGACGTATTATCTTTTTCACGAGTATTACGGTAGAATAACAGCTGATTATCTAGTAATATTTGATATTTCAATGTTCCCCATATCGACAAATGACACATAATTCTGACGGATCCGTCAACGTCAGGTAAACAGAGCCGTATTCATTTCGTTACTTGCTAACAACCCTTTTATTTGGAAAAGTTCATTTGCATACAAAAAACAATTAATTTTATTAGATTTACAACTTTACCGACCAATACAAAGATATCACTCGCTGTTCACCTCAGTAGACGTCAAAACAAGATCGATTCCATGGGGATTTAACTGATATGGGAGAATGGGAAACACAGCGGTGTTGTCTGACCACAACGTGGAAACACTCGTGTATCCACAAAAAATGGCGGCTTTGACAAGTATAACGATTTATTCCAGTCCATTTTTTAAATTTCCGCCGAAGATCGATGTTAACTTCTTTTTCGCTTTTGCTTGTGGCTGGATGGCGTCAAAGGTATAACCGCGCTGCTTGCCTAAAGAGATGCAATATTTATAAGTAACCCCGTAGCGCACGGCATATGTTCGACTAGAGAAGCAGGCAGAAGAACTGCAACTTCTCCCCCCAGAGCAATTCGGCTTCAGATCCTCCCACAACACGGAACTCCAAGCGCTACGACTGACGGAAAACATCACCAGAGGCTTCACTCTCCAGGAGGCAACCGGTCTCGTCCTGCTGGACGTGGAACGAGCCTTCGATCGAGTTTGGCACGATGGACTCATCGCCAAAATGGAAGCCGCCGGAATCGATGCGAACATGTGCCAACTGATCCAGAGCTATCTAACACAAAGATGGTTCACGGTGAAGATTGGTACATGCCATTCAACAAGACGACAGCTGGAAGCAGACGTGCCCCAGGGGTCAGCCTTAGCCCCCCTGCTCTACAACATCTATACTCACGATGTGCCGAAGACAGCTGACACAATGCTGGCCCTATATGCAGACGATACTGCTATAGCCGCCAAGCATAGACGACCCGAGATCATCCGTAGGAGACTACAGGATGAACTGGACCACATCCAGGACTGGTGCGTGAAATGGAAAATCCGCATCAACGTCCAGAAGACGCAGGCAATCTTCATTCAACGAAGAAGGATTGAAAGACCTCTCGAAGCATCCATCTTCGACGAAGATATCCAGTGGAGCGACAAAGTCAAATATCCGGGGATCGTATTTGACAAGTCCCTCACCTGGAAAGCCCACATAGAAGCTGTCATCGCAAAGACCAGAGCAGCCATGGCTCAACTCTACCCATTACTGGGTAGACACAGCCGGATGCCGCTAGCGACCAAGCTACGGCTGATCAAGGCCATCGCCAGACCTCAGCTCGCTTACGCCTCCGCGGTCTGCGGGTACGCTGCCCCCAGCTACCGCAAGCGACTTGCTGCTCTAGAGATGAAGCTACTCCGGATCGCCACCAGTGCACCATCCTACGTAAGAAACTCACCCTTGCGTAGAGACCTGCATTGGGACACCATCCACGAGTACATGAGGAAAAAAGCGGAGAAGACCTTCGAGAAAGCTCAGGACCACCCGAACGAGCAGCTACGATTCCTCATGGACTACGATCCGGACGAGAGGCCTCGCAACCGCAGAACCAGGTACCCCAGACCAAGGTCCCAGTTGGCACCCGCTAACTGGAACCTTGACTAGGAGACTAGGAGAACTCGCGGTTGCTCCCCTCCCCCCACGGCGTGGATGCAGAGGACCAGGAACCACCGGAACCAGGACCAACCAGGACCAGGACCCGCCACGACCAGGACCCACCAGGACCAGGACCCTTCAGGACCAGGACCAGGAACAACATATTGGTAAGAGGACTTGAAACTCTTGATTTTTCGAAAACAAGAGTTTCAAGAGAACCAGCAGACCCTCTATAGATGATCGCTTAACGACATCGATAGAATGTGCGAGGTAAAGGGAACCAACCCGGCGTTCCCAGAGACTGAAACACATGAGGAGACGTTGTAGCAGACCACGCGGAGGTTTAGGGTTTAGTGGGTATTAGGTGATCTCCTCAAGACCCTGGAGTCCCACACACGCCGTAGCTCGGGCTATGGTATGGTGCGTAAATGCATTCCCCCCTCACCAAAAAAAAAAAAAAAAAATACGGCATATGCGACCTATAGGCGATCTGCTGAAAATATTTTTCCAAGTGTCGAGACGAAAATCTCTGGAGTAGATAAAGGACCCGATTAAGAATTTTTATATACAGGGTTTTTCCGGAAAGTAATAGGACTCATTTTCTTGCATATGATCCGGAGACAAAGAGGCAATCTTCCGAGTGGCACACGACGGCGTCTCCTCGCCCAAAAAAGGGAAGAATGAGCAAATCCAAAGTGAAAACGATGCTCATTGTCTTTTTTGACATCAAAGGTATCGTCCACCATGAATTTGTTCCTCCTGGACAAACCGTCAACGCCAATGAGACTCAAACGAAGGGTCAGTCGGTCCGACAAGACATCGCAGCCGACTGGAAGTTGCACCACGACAACGCCCCGGCTCAAACCGCCTGTCTTGTGAACAGCTACCTGACCAAGGCCGGCATCCCAACGCTTCCGCAACCGCCATACAGCCCAGATGTGGCCCCCCGGACTTTTTTTGTTTCCTCGCCTGCAAAGGCCGATGAAAGGCAAGCTTTTTGAGACGACAGAGGGGATCCAAGCAGCAAGCACCGCAGCTCTCAAGGCTATTCCGGAGAATGCCTTCCATGACGCCTTCAATGGTTGGAAATCGCGCTGGCAGCACTGCATCGACGCAGAGGGAGCCTATTTTGAAAGTTTTTAAAGAATTGTAACGATTGGCTCAATAATTTTTTTTAAATCGACTCAGTCCTATTACTTTCCGAACAAACCCTGTATGGTGAGGTTCAAATTTTTCTGACGTCGAGAGAGAGAAGCGAATGTTAGAAAGAGTGCGCCGATGGCGACCGTTGCCTCGTCACTCGCGTTGCTAGGCAACGAGGTGCTTCTATCTCTTCCTAACACACGTGTCGAACGCTTCTCTCTGGTACACATTACGACGTCAGTGGTATTTGGTTTTCAGTGTATACTAACGCAAATAAAATTTGTTATGGCTCTAACTGGACCGGTGTCGTAGCAACTGGGATATTTTTATACATTCATAAGGGAACTACGACACTGAAATTAAGAAACCTGCAATGAATTATTATACTACAACTATTTAAAACTGTAATGACTCATACGCGTGATCAACACGTGATCAGAGCTCGATCCCGGCTTCCTTCCAGTACAGCCGTATAGCGTACGACATACGTCGTTTCTGTGGCTTTGCGGTGGTCAACAGCACAGACAGAGATGGAAATAATGGCTGATTGTTCTCCGCCGGTAGAACCAATGAAATCAAAGACGCGCCTCGACCGGCAGACTCATAGGCGTCGGCAACGTATTGGAACGTGTTTCGTTGAGCGATCGCATATTGTGTGTTTTTATAAGAATTGTTGTGGTTTTTGTGGTTACTGTTTTGGTTATACTTAACCATGGAGAGTACAAATGGCACGAGTGGAAGTACTGAAAGCCAGCGAACAAGTAGACGGCTTCGTAAAGCACTGAAGAGGGACGAGAAAGAAATCGTGCTCAACGTGTTCATAGACAAAAACGTAGTGAGTAACCGACAAGCAAGCATTGAAGGTTTGTCAACAGGTCTTCGTGGACCGTCAGAAAAAGGTCGTAGATTGATCGTAACTCATAATGGCTTTTTAAAAGAGTGTGACTTGATTTTCGTCTCTAAGAAAGGAGGTGATTACCATGACGAAATGAATGCCAGCTGCTTCGAGAGCTGGTTTCAAGGGGTGCTTCAGCGAGTTGAGCCCAACTCTGTGATCGTCATGGATAATGCTTCCTACCATAGTCGTCGAGCCGAACGTGTACCGACTATGGGATCTCGAAAAAGTGACATGCAGCAATGGTTGCGCGAAAAAGGAATCCCGTTTGACGATTCATGTGTGAAAGCGGAATTGTATGAAAAAATTAAACAGCACAAACCTGCGAACATTAGTTACGTGACTGATGAGATGGCCCGTCAATGTCGTGTCACTGTGCTGCGGTTACCGCCCTACCACTGTGAACTGAACCCAATAGAGCTCATCTGGGCTCAAGTGAAGGGTTATATTGCGCGCCATAACACAACCTTCAAATTACCAGACGTTAAGGTTTTACTTGAGACTTCCATACAGCTAGTAACGCCCGAAGCTTGGCAGAATGCTATCCGTCGTGTTGTGAAGGAAGAAACAAAAATGTGGCAGCTTGACCACCACATCGACACCATCATAGAGCCAGTTATAGTCAATTTCAACGAGGAAAGCGATAGCGACAGTTTATTACTGTCAGATGTAAGTGGAAGCGACGATGAATAAAGGTAATTCCCAAATGTTTGACTTACAATATGTTTCAAACCACTCTTTATTAAGCATGTGACAAATCTAGTTCACCCATGTTAAACATTCATACCCCGCCTATGAACAGCCGACTACTGGTAGTTAAGTGATGTTCACGTGAACATCGATGAGTCATTACAGTTTTAGATAGTTATAGTATAGAAGATAAGGGGAATTTCGCTTTCGTACCACGAGCAAAGTTTGTACGAGGGATGTCTTTTAAGTTTTGCATATGGAAATAAAACAACACGGTAGGTAGTTTTAAATGACTTTATTGTTTTTCGAAGTATTCTCCATGAAGATTAATACACATCTGCATGCGCTCGAACCAATTTTCGAAGCACTTATTTCACTCGTTTGCTGGCAGATCCAAAACGGCATTTTCGAATGCGTCAACTGCTTCTTCTGGTGACTGGAACCTTTGACCACGCAGTCTGTTTTTAATTTTCGGGAAAGTAAAGAAATCGTTAGGACTTAGATCGGGACTATATGGAGGATGGTTCAATAATTCCACATTTTCTTCCGTTAAATACTGCATTGTTTTTTGGGCTGTGTGCGCGGGTGCATTGTCTTGGTGGAGGATGATTCTTCTTTCGGGGTTGATTTTTCGAAGCTCGATGATGACTTTTGGCAAACAAATGGTGGTATACCAATGCGCAGTAACAGTTCTTTGCTAATTAAGAGGAATTGTTGCAATATTATGGCGCGAAAATGTTCTCGGTTGAGTTATATTTTTCTAATAACTTGGTGACATTTAAAAATTCACTGTAGTGAGAACACTGGACGTATTGTTGTGAAACTTTGAATTTAACTTTACTAGATAGTGAGGTTAAGATTCAGTACTGACGTTCGATCCGCGCGGCCTACTATGTTTCTATATGCAAAACTTAAAAGACATCCCTCGTATGTAAAACTCACAACTTTGAATGAATGAAACGCCCTGACCTAAGTTTATAGGAACTTTCTCTGTGTTGTTTAGAATTACGATCTGCTCTCCTTGTTTGTTTAACCACCCTGTACGTGCTGATAAAGGTTTACGAAGGTTAAAAAGTTTAATGAGATTGCAGCTGCATATCATGGAGCAAAAGGCGTATGACTGGAGCATTCCTGGTCTAATCTATTCAAGGAAAATTAATTAATAACCTTGTTGACCGGCAGTTATTGTTGAAATTTTTATAAATCTGAGAATTATTCTTATAAACAGGGAAAAAACGAGCTTTACTTCACACGCCAATTGAATGGATAAAATTTCAACACACAGTTACTACTATGCCAGGAACGAAAAAGCTTTGTAGTTTTGAATATCCATCCAGTGGCAGCGAAGCAAAGGGCAAACAACAAAAATTCGTTCAACCTTGAGATAATAATTTCAGTGTGATGCTCATACAGGGTTTGTCCGGAAAGTAATAGGACTGAGTCGATTTGAAAAAGTTTATTGAGGCAATCGTTACAATTCTTTAAAAACTTTCAAAATAGGCTCATTCTGCGTCGATGCAGCGCTGCCAGCGCGATTTCCAAGCATTGAAGGCGTCACGGAAGGCATTCTCTGGAATAGCCTTGAGAGCCGCGGTGCATGCTGCTTGGATTCCCTCTGTCGTCTCAAAATGCTTGCCTTTCATCGGCCTTTTCAGGCGAGGAAACAAAAAAAAGTCCGGGGGGCACATCTGGTCTGTCTGCCGACCTTCGAAAGTGAGTCCTATTACTTTCCGGACAAACCCTGTATACAGCGCCCCAAATTATCTTATTTTACAAGATCCCGCTCACATGTAGTCATCGATAATAAACACTTTTAGCGCCTTAAAGTCGCAAAAATGCATAGTTTTGCAATTTTTCTCTAAATAATTGTGGTATTATGTTCCGAGAATGCAAAAAGGGTCAAACGGGAACCTGAGCCCAACTATTCGTATAATACGTTTGTAGGGTCGTTGAAACCGAATTCGGGGTCCATTCAGTCCGAAAATGACTCGTTTCCGAGATACTGGCAAGAATTCTACTTTGCCAAAGACGACTAATTACAAATCTCCAAAAACTGTTGCGCGCCTATGATCTAGATGGAAGCTTGTTTTCTAGGTAAATTTTGTGCGTAGATTTCGAATTGGACTTGGACATGGACTTCAATCGGAATATAGTTAGGGAATAAACAGCCTTCGAGAAAACTTATTTGATTGTAAGTATGTATCTGTTCTCATTAACGGTAGATGAAGATAGATAGACTGAAAAATTCGGCAGGCAATAAAAGACGTAATAAGCTATTCTATGTCCATAGCAATTTTTGATATCTTTGGCATCTCCATTGCGCATATGCTCCACGCATACTAGATTTCCCCGTCGAGAACGTGAGTTCGGGGCCCATTAAGTCCGAAAATTGTCAAAAAACGACTAATAAAAAATCCCCAAAAGCTGCTGCGAGTCAATGCGCTTTTTTGCAATTTTTCTGCTAAATAATAGGTTTATGTCCACTAAAGATACGATTGACGATAATTTCTAACGATTAATAATGATTTGTAGATAACAGGAAACAATATCATTTACTATAAAAGAACTATAAATTTTTATTTTTATAAAATAAAATTAAGAAAAATGGGCATGTAGTCACGTGACACTAAACATCAATCAGAAAGTGCTACGTCATGCCGTGTCGAACATTTTGTTGTTGACATTTTTATACAGGATTTCACGCAAAAGATATGTTTAGTTTTAGCGGTGTTTGTCTAGTGATTTGAATATATCTTGAAAAATAATTTTAATTCGCTACGACATACAAAACCAACGTCCTTATGCTGGGAAAATCCTACAGTGATTTTTGTCATCGGAATATACAGGGAAAACCAAATTTGTCTGAAGACTTGAGTTCAATGTTTACGGGAAAGAAGCGCGAGAAATGTATATCAACATATGTTAGAAAGAGATAGGAGCCGGCTGAAGAGGGGCTTCTACAATAGGTTAGGTTACTGTGAAACCCAAGAAGGAGATCTGTTCGAACATTTAATTTAATATTTTGGTTTCATTTTGATTAGATTCATTCATGTCAATTTTGATGAGAGGTGAAAAGCATTTCGAATCTGGACGACGCTCCCCAATGAGCGCTAGGTGGGTACTGATCAAAATCGCTGATCTATGATCATAGAGGTGGAAACCTTGCCTTGTAATGTACTAGATGCGGTGTTGCCAAGCAATCCAATGAAGCAATGTTGCAGAATTTGTGACCTTTGATTTCGACCTAAAATGGAACGCCCTTAGGGTACAGCCTAAAAGTAATTAAGGCCCGTATCGTCAGTCGTCCCTACAATTGTAGGGTGCGTTTATGGCCTCCTTGATTGTCATACTGTTTTCTCTCCTTCAAAAATTTCTAGATTACACTCGTTCCGTGTCAGCGTCAGCGCTCTCCTATTGTTAAGATATGTTTTCCTTTTAAATTGTAGGAAATTTCAGGCTGATAAAACATGATATAACTCAAAAGCAAGCACACTTTGAAGCAAATAGATATTTGTGACATAACCTCAAAATAGAGCTCTGACACGGAGAAGTAGAAAACTATGACAATCAAGGAGGCCATAAACGCGCCCTACAATTTATTGTAGGGACGACTGACGATACGGGCCTAAAATATTAAATCTAATTTGAAAATGAGCAATTTATTGTTAAATAACAAAATTAATTCTTCTTTTTTGTCCTCCTGCGAATCGATTAATATTAATACTTACCGTCTCCTTTGAATCCAGTGCAACAACTTTTTCGTGATTTTGTCCGTCACAGTGGCGGATTTAAGTAATGGCAAAATGGACATTGCCGCCTGAGCCCCCCAAGCAAGGGCCCGCCCAGCAAAGATTAACTCTAGTGTATATTGTTCAGCGCGTCTGAATGTAAAATTGATAACAAGAAATCAGAGTGTTGTTATAGGTGTATTCTTTTAATGATCATCTGCGCAATGTTTATGAAGCAGCGCGTTAGCATTCAGTTTGAATAAGAAAATTTTCCTTTCATTTCTTCAGAAATTTTTTGAAAAATGACCGAATGACCGTTTTAATTCTCATTGAGTAGAGGGGTTATTTTTTCATTTTGTGCTTACAGTGATATATCACCTGGCATATGATGTTCAGTAAATAAATATTTTCGTGGTATGAATCAGCCTCCTTCAGTCTAATGCGTCTATTACAGTCTGTTCACGTCTTCAATGCTTATAACCATATAAACTTTCACAATGCTGTGCATTTTTTTATTTGATGACATATCTATCTTCTTCGTGATAATATCGTGGAAGAAATTTTTGAATGTATTATCAATTGCATAGATTCTGGCGTAGATATAATGAATGCAAGATCTCTCCTTTCCTCCATGAACTGGACAATTTTCCTCAATCTGTTTTGGTGGCATTCAGTATTGAGCGTAATGAATACCGTGCAAGTTCAAATGCAAAAGAAAGAAATAGACTTGATGATGGCTTATTTTGTATTGAATAAAAAATGTTTGATCTCACCGACTGTGCTTGATTCAGGTTATATAGACATATAGTAAAAAAACAGAGGGAACAGTGCGCAGCAGCTACTATTGTGCATATAATTGTAAGCCCCTGTTAATACGTGACATCCTTATTGCCAGAAAAATCTATAGTTCGAACTTTATCTGAACAATTTACGTTATCGAAAAATTTTAGATCCGCTTGCATATTGAAACAGTTGAATTAGCTGTTTTAATGGGACGTTGAAGCAGCATCAGATTAACTTTTTGCATCAAATTACTATTAAAAAACCTTTTGCACTATCCATGAGCTTCTTTCGGATACTTGAGCAGGTCTTTCTAATTTTTTTATTCTGTTGTCGTCATTAATTTGCAAATAGCAATAAATGTAGTAATGCACGTTATTTAACGTATTTTAGTGTTGTTCACCAAGTTTGTATTCAATGAAATATTAATCACGGCAAACATGACAACAACTATCGATCATATTTGTTTGTTTTCCTAATTATAATTTTATGCAAATTCTATAAATAACGTGCACTCCAAATTTGACTCGACGTCCTTTACTTATCGGTAGCATCCGTGATAACTTTTAAATTCTATTATGCACAAGAAGTTTGGTGGTGAATCATCAAGTTTAATTTACTTCAAAAAATTATGATGAGCATTACAACCTGTCCCGTGCCCGTGCGCGCTATTAAATCCAAAAACCAGGCTTATGTCCGATAGCACTAACATGACGTTAACCATTAAATTTTAATATTGATTTCCGAGTTATCATGCAACTTTTAAAGTGTCCATTGCCGTATTTTATTTGTCAATAATTGCAGTAATTTATGTCATGAGTAAGTTGACGTTATTTATACCGACTTTTCGAAGGCTTTCGATAAAATTAGCCACAAAACTTTATTAAATAAGTTAGGTGCACTTGGTTTCACAGATAATGCTAGGGAGTTGATGAAATCTTACTTATCCGATCGTAGACAATTTGTTAGCTATAATGGCTTCCAATCTGAGACCTACTTGGCACCTTCTGGAGTCCTCAGGGGTCCAACCTGGGACCATTACTGTTTTTGATATTTATTAATGACCTCTGTGACTCAGTTGAATGTGAACGAATATGCTTTGCTGACGACCTAAAAATTTATTCGGAGATAAATACTCCTGATGATTGTATCAAGTTACAACACCAATTAAATTTTGTGCTGTCTTGGTGTGTAGAAAACAAGTTGGAGCTTAATGTGAGGAAGTGTAAAATAGTCAGCTATACCAGGAAAATTAATATCCGTACTCTATTGATGGGTCTGAGCTAGAAAGATGCTCTGATGTACGTGATTTAGGTATAATCTATGATCAAATGTTAACTTTTAGTCAGCATATGAATAAAAAAGTATCAGAAGCATTGGCGGCTTATGGTTTCATTGCAAGGAATTGCAGGAATTTTCATAACATAAAGTCTATTAAGCTATTATATTATGCTTATGTTAGATCCAAAGTCGAATATTGTAGTATTATTTGGAGCCCTTACTATGAATGCTATAGCACAGCTATTGAAAGAGTACAACGGAAGTTTATGAAGTTTGTTCTGTTTAGGATTGATGGGACATATCCAAGTAATGAGGAACTATGTAGTCGCTTAGACATGTTGACTTTGAAAAAACGTAGGTACTGTGCCTCAATAATATTTGGCTACAAAATGATCAACAATTTAATTGATTGCCCCATGATCCTGGAACAGATCAAGTTTCGTACTCCAACGTTTGCATCTCGCAATCATAAAATATTCGGGCTTCCTAGAGCTAGGACAAACATTCTTCTCAAGTCACCGTTATATGTAATGTGCTCTAACTTAAACAGAATTGGATGTTACTGTGATATATTTACGACAAATGTTAATTACCTGCTAAAGGCAGCTAAGGCTTATTCTAATTTATACCTGTGTTGCATTTGTTGTTTTCTTTTAGCTTTTTTTGCTTTTGTATTATGTTTATAAATTGTCCTATAAATGGGAAACTGTTGGACAATAAAGCTATTATTATTATTATTAAAACAGTCATAGTGCGCACTATTTGCCGTCTGTCCCCGATCATACCAGTACGGCATCCATTTAATATGTGTGCATTGCAGATTTATCCGAGAGATTTGGAACTTTAAAAATTGGTGGTCGAAATAAATTCGCCTGGGGGGGGTCATGACCCCCCCCTGGATCCGTGCCTGAAGACGATCATTGACCAATTAAAACATTAACTTACTAGGTGATACAATCAAACACTTATATGAATGCCTCCTTTTTATTTTTAGACAAAATTGACAAATTTCAAAAATCATACGTACAAAATGGGCAACTATACAAAGTAAGCAGCAAGCTGTGCCATTTTATCCTTGGGTTGTCGTGCTCCCCGTCTTGCTCCAGCACCCCTCCTGCCTCTCGCCGCTCCTCTGCCTCCCCTAAATCCCCGCGGCCTGCTGACTGTTGCGACCTGTAACATAAAATAGTAAAAATCACCGAAAATAAAACAAAAAAATACATCCTAAAATTAAGCTTTTATTTGGATATTCATAAAATGAACTAAAAATAATTTTTCCAATACAGGCGAGAGTTGACATTTCAAATTTGAATTACGCGGCAACCGCAATGTTGCCAGGTAGGGTGAAATTTCACTATATCTAGTGATTTTTGGACAAGTTTAGTGAGTTTATGAAAACTTTTGTTAAATGTCATATTTCTAGTGATTTTTGGAAGGTTTGTAGCAAACAAAAAAAATTGAAAACACAATGAAAGAATATAGAAATGTATCCAAAAGTTGGTAAGAAGCGTATATCCATCGCAGTTTTAAAAGATTTTCGGAATTTCAAGAATTTTTTAACTTCAAACCCCACAAAAATTATTGCATTAATCGCAGACCAGGTGGCTGTCACTGATTTCCGCTGTAAGTGAAGTTATTAAGCAATATGATTATTTTAAAATTGAAGCATTCGATGAAGCTTAACTAGCAGCGGAAATCCATGACATGCTTAATAATAAATTAAATAAGCTATATTTTCTTTTTTGCAATTTATATTACCGACTTTTACGGATATAAATTTGGAATTCCAGTCTGAAACCCCCAAGGTACATAACCTTTACCCCCGGATTAATGACGCGTGTAAATTTTTAAAAGATCAGAATATTTAAGAAATACAGATATATGGGGTTGACGCAGGAAAGTAAACGCATATTAAAACAAGAAAGATTGATATTCAAATCAAGTTGGGTACTTTATTTTGAAGGTTCATTTATACCATTTATATATGAAAAATAATATCGCTCAAATGTTCACCACGACTGGATTTACAGACGTCCACGCGATGGTCGAAATTTTCAATGACATTTTGCAACATGGTCGGTTCTATGGCATTTATCTCGGCAATGATGTTGTTTTTGAGTTCTTGGAGGGTGGCTGGTTTGTTGACGTAGACTTTGCTTTTCAAATATCCCCATAAAAATAAGTCCAAGGGAGTCAAATCGCATGATCTTGGTGGCCATGGCACATTTCCTCTGCGCGAAATCACGCGATCACCGAAGAAGGACTGCAATCGATGGATATTGACGTTGGTTGTGTGGCATGTTGGACCGTCTTGTTGGAAATAAACATCGTCCATATCCATTCCTTCAAGTTGCGGCAAAAAATAGTCCTCTATCATCACGTGATATCGCTCAGAATTGACGGTAACGGCGTCGCCGGCCGCATTTTCGAAAAAGTAAGGTCCGATGATGCCTTTTGACCACAATGCAGACCACACAGTCACTTTTTGAGGATGCATCGGCTGCTCTCGATACTCACGGGGATTTTCGTTCGCCCAGATGCGGCAGTTTTGCTTGTTTACCGTCCCATTCAAAGTGAAATGCGCTTCGTCGCTGAACATGATTTTTGATGAAAAATTTTCATCAATTTGGAGGAGCCAATCTGAGAACGTTCGGCGCGAAAAATGGTCGGCCCGACGCAGCTCTTGCGTCAATTGGATCTTGTAGGCGTGTACATTCAAATCCGTGTGGAGAATGCGGAGCAAACTGGTTCTCGAAATGCCCAATTCTTGGGATCGACGCGTTGTTGATTGTTTCGGATCGTCTCTCACACTCTCCTTCACAACAGCAATATTTTCCGGTGTGCGAACGCTCCTTGGCCGTCCAGAGCCTAGCAGATTTGCCACAGAACCTGTTGCCTCGAATTTACGCACCAGACGACCGATGGTTGTTTCGTTTGGGCGGTTGTTGCGACCGAAATGTTCAGGAAGCGCGCGAAACGTGTTTTTTATTTTTGCACCATTTTTGTAGTGCTATTGGATAACTTTAATGCAGTCTTCAATCGAATACGACTCCATAGCGATCAATGGTATACACATTCAACTAACAAAATGACATGTCGGTGACAGAAAACAAAGATGGCGTCCAAGTCAAATTGACGTTTACTTTCCTGCGTCCCTATTGGACAACCCTTTAGTTAATGTTCAATAACGAAATCCAGAACATTTTCTTCCAATGGAAAAAATTTACTTGGGTCCAAAAGTATTGGAAGAAATGAATAATCCTTTTTTTACCGAAAATATCGAAAGATAATTTCAGATTGAAATGTCTGGATTTTTATATTGAAGCGGTAAGCCAAACATGGAAGCGATTCCCCTTTAATTCCCGAGAGAAGTACAGATTCTCAAACTAATAACTTTTCTGCACCCATCAAATATATCGTCAACTGAAAGCACAGGTCCTCCGGCTAGCAGGTATTCCAGATATAGTTAAAGACATTAACAATTTAGATAAAGAATTTAGGCAGTTGAAGTTTTCTGAATGTGATTTTTCGCTTAGTGAAATTCAATTCTGGAAAAACATAAGCAATATCAAAAAAGGGGATGAGAGTCTCGCATACCCAGAGCTTGCCGATTTTGTTCAAATTCTATTTACATTGCCACACAGTAGCGCAAGTGTGGAAGATTTTTTTTAACATTAATTTAAACGAAACCAAATTCCGCAATCGACTGGGTGCTACGACAATAAGTGGAATTTTGAACAGCAAAATACTAATTAAACTAAAGTTGCTTCAATTTTCCAATTTCAAGGGACATTATAAAAAACATAAATTCGAAAACGGTACCGAAACAAATTCTTTGGTGATTGCAAACAAACTAAATGAATATTTTGTGGAAAGTATTGTTGATATTGTGGGTACTGCCAATGCTGCACCTGACTATATGAAAATCAGTTTCCAGGGGGAAATATTGCGTACACTTTCAAAATTTCACAGCGTATCATTGAATTATCTAAGAAAAAAGTAAACAGTTTAAAATCAAATAACAACTGTGCCGAAATCACTACTAAAAACGTGCTGAAAAACTGTTTCGAAATTTTGGGATATCCTGTATTAAATTGGATCAATTGTTCACTGAGAAGCAGTTCTTTTCCTGAATATTTGAAATGCTCTACAATAACACCAGTTCCCAAAATAAAAAATTCTAAAAGATCCAGCGATATGAGACCAGTAAATGTGTTACCAGACATTGAAAAATTATTAGAGTCCATAGTGCATGACCAATTAATTCAGTTTATAGAAGAAAACAAAATTTTAGTGGAGGCGCAAGCAGACTTTCGAAAAAAATATTTCACAGAAACGGCTTTCCAGTTGGTAACTGACAATTGGAGAAGAGCCATAGACTCAGAAGAAGTTGTCATAGCAGTATTTTTGGATTTGAAGAGGGCATTTGAAACGATTGATAGAGATATTTTGTTAGGTAAATTGAAGGCATATGGTATAACAGGAAGTGTTTTAGATTGGATTAGAAATTATTTGTCTAAAAGGATGCAAGTTACAAAAGTTAATGACACTATTTCATCAAAAATTGAAAATACGTTGGGTGTTCCACAGGGCAGTATCCTGGGACCACTTCTTTTTATTTTATACATAAATGATTTACCTGCCATAGTCAAAAAATGCAAAATTCAGATTTTTGCCGATGACACTATGATTTATATAAGTACTAAAAATATTCAGTCTGGTATCTCTTATATAAATGAAGACTTAAAGCTTGTCTCAAAATGGTTAGCATCTAACAGACTAAAATTAAATGCAAGTAAAACGAAAGCCTTGTTAATCGGAAAAAACAATATACAAATGTTCAACTGAATATTGATGGTGAAGATATTGAATTCGCAGAAAATTTTAAATACCTGGGGTTTTTTGTTGACTCTCGATTAATTTTTGATATTCATTATGAAAAAGTTATAAATAAGATTAGTAGTAAAGTGGGATATTTATCGAGAGTTTCTGGATGTCTGAGTTCATATAGCAGAAAAATTATGGCTCAATGTAAAAAAATTTATCAAATATCTTGTAATGATATTCATTTATAAAGTAAAATATAATATATTTCCATCAAGTCTAACTAATCTAACATCATCAAATGTCGACCATAATTTACATAATACCAGAAATAAAGATGACTTCCATTTAATGACCAAAAAGTATAACATATGCTACAAATTTGTATTCCATCAAGGGTTGATTGAATATAATAAATTATACTCAGAGATAAAAGACCAGAAAACTTTGACCAAATTTAAAGTAAAATTGAGAAATCACTTGTTAAATCTACAATTATAGGTTGCCCAGCATTTACGTCATGCACCATATGGCTTGAATTTACTAGTTCTAAGTTGTTTACAATTATTCTGTTTATGTAGCCAAATGTGCTAAATAAATCTTTCTACTACTACTACTACTACTACTACAATAATATGTACTGGTAAGAATGTCATTACTTTAAATGTGTTTATTTTAATATAGTTATATTTAATTTCGTTTTTATTGTTACGTTTTTAAGCTTTGAAATATATTTGGTGTTTTGTTACTTTTGTCTAATGGTTTTGTATTTGTGACTTCTTTTAAGAGTCTGTTCAAATTTACGTTGTTTGTTTTAAGAGTGTTTTAAGAATCTTTTTACATAATAATATGTACTCGAAAGAAAGTCATTCTTTTTTAAATTCGTTTAGGTTAATATAGTTTTAAGTAAGTTATATTTAGTTTCATGTTTTAAGTGTCTGTTTCAATGTACGTTTTTGTTGTTTGTTTTTAAAAGTAAAGCCTTAAAAATTAAAAAAATATTTTATTATTTACCTCTATATATAAAAAAATATATAAACAAAAGATCTAGTGATTTTTTAGCAAAATTTCTAGAGATTTTTATGTTTTGAACCTGGCAACATTGCGTGCGGGTTAAATAGTCACAATGAAACGTTGGACCGGAGCGTAACGTGCTTTTGCTATCGCGCATGAATCCAAAGCGCCAAGGTTGTGTTTCCAACAAATAATGTCTCTAATCTACCGTTTACGTCAAAAGCTGTCACAAGAGGGGACAACATGTACTGGAAAAAAATAAGGAAAACCACATGAAGTCAGACGTAAAGTATGTTATAATGAAAAATAAGGGGTGAAATATCAAAAAAAAAAATTCCAAAAGCTACTACATATTCTGACAATTTTTAGGTGTTGCAAGTAATATAATTCACCGGAAATGTTGCGCTAGGCAGAGGAATGACCGAGGCACCTTGCAGTACTTCAATATATACATTTTTAGAGAGAGAATAAAGTTAATTATTCATTAAGTTACTAAGCGCGCAAAAGCGTGAAATAGATAAATCTATTAGATAATATTCTGTAGAATATGATAATCGGTACAGCAATACAAAAATTACCTTAGGCCTGTCAACAAGCTTCTCAAACTCCGACGTACAAAACGGACATCCTTTCATCTCGACAGCACCATTCGGCAACTTAGATTTGTCGGGTTTGTACTCTACGTGAACCTTTTGCGCGCTGCATTCCTCGCAGCTTTCTTCAAGTACTGTCACTTTTAATGCGTCATCAAATATGAGGATTATTGTATCGCACCTAAGAAAACACTTCATTTAGCTTGTTAAAAAGGTATCCGTTTTTGCCTCTTTTAAAAACAATGCTAAGGAAATAACAAAAAATGTTCCTTAAAGATCGCAATCAAAGTTTTATTCCAGTTTTCGGAAATACTCTTACATTTTCTGCGCGATCACTGGTTACCTAGATAAAAGTAGGGATCTTTTTTCATTCACAGTCAGATATCTCCGCGCCAAATGATCGTATCGAGATTTTAAAAACGGCATATTGAAGCTGAATAAAATGGCTCTCTGGTCCATATACTGGCCTAACTGGAAAAAATGTTTTTCAAACCCGTGGGCTAAGAAAAAGAAGGCAAATATTTTGGAAAAAAATTTCTTTTGCTACGTGTTAGATATGCATAGGAACCATTGCTCTCCTAAACATTTTCTGCTGAAAAATCTAAACACTAGTATCGTGAAGCATCAAAATGATTTTTTTAAAGTTTATACTCTAGGCGCTGAAGAAAGAAACTAAACCCAAGCAAATACAAGCATATTGCTCGTGAGTGAGTGTTTAGGCGCAGGAGACATTACAGGACCGCATCAAGATATGAGTAGTCATCAAAAATTTCATGCAAGATAATTATTATCTTTTACAGTAAATTTCAGTTAGAGATTCACAAATGAGTTAACTACACTTTTTAGTTATTAGTAAGTAAGCTGCGCGCACTCATTCAGAAGAGGAACTTGAATCTTCTGAATCGTTTAAATGAATTATTAGAGGTTCAATTTGGGTATCGATGACATTGTCCAAATCCCACATTTTGACCTCAACCTTCTCCCGAACGTGGCGGATACAGTTTTTCCATTCCTCTGCCGTAACTCTATTGACTGCGATGTGAAAGAGATTTTTAACAAAAATTTATAAGTATTATTATTCGACGCCACGTATTGCTTTATGTTAGCCCAAATCAGCTCAATAGGGTTTAGCTCACAATGGTAGGGTGGCAGTCTCAAGACAGTTTTATTTTGTTTTTTGGCCATTTCGTCGATCATTTTAAAATCGTATTTGTATTTATGTCTATTGACTATACTTATCAATTCACCCTTGACCATTGTTCATCAAAATCGATCTGTTTTGAGGCCAGCCATTGTTGTATGTTTGCTTTTTTAGTTGCCATTGTGGGAATTTTTTCTATTTTTCTAGAATGGTACGGGGCATTATCCAGTACAATAACAGCGTTATTCTCCAGCTTTAGTAACATTTTGGAGAACCAATTTTCAAAGGAATTGCCGTCCATCTCCTCATGATAGTCCCCTGTCTTTTTTGATTCAAAGGCCCACAGTGCTTCGGGAACAAAGCCGTCTTCACTACCTACGTGACAAATGATCAGCCGTTTGCCTTTTCCTGGAAATAAATTATTCCTTACACTATGGATTGATTAAATTTGAAGGAATGAGGCAATTGAGTTCATTTAGCTGAATTTAAGAGTCACGGAATGCTGATCAAAAACTGAAAAACCCATTCAAAGCAAATTGACTGCACCCAAAAATGATAATAAATTTCAAAATAACGCTTAAAAGAGGGTCGAAGTTTTTTTCCTAATGACTACACTGCGAATGCACCATTTTTGGAGAATATCACACATTATCTGCTATCACAGCATATTATTTGCCCGAATTTATCAAAATTAAATTGCCGGATAGATGAAGGAGCTTACCTGCAGGATTTTTCAATCCAGCCGAAAGACCGTCTAGAAAAGCCTGCCTTGATGATGTTACTGATTTGTCGACCCAAACTTTCGCTTGAGTATGTCCAGCATTCACCCACGTTTCGTCCAAATAGTAAATTTTTCTTTTTTCATCGCGAAACTTCCGAATCTTCCTAAGGTATTCCCTTCTCCACACAACAATTTCTTCTTTCTCTATTAACATACTGTTTCTTCCCCGTTTCAAGAATCGAAAATTAAGTTCCTTCAAAAGTTTTCGGAATGTGGTTCTTTTAAATGATGGAAGATCCTCATCAGCATTAACTAATCTTAATATCTTATCTACTGTAGGTATCTCATTTCGGAAGAAAAAATTATGCACTTTCCTCCTGATGGCAGTTCTGTCAAAGTCATCTACTCCGTCCGTTATCCTTGTCCGGTTTTGGCTCAGAAAGTGAGTGAGTGCTCCTATATTCCTTAATGATCCTATAAACACTGGACCGACATACTCCAGAAATATGTGCTACCTTACATATAACTTCGTCCACGACCAAATCGGGTTTCTCTTGAATTTGGTTTTTGTATATATTTAATATTATTTGTTTTTCATTTGCACTTAAATGTAGCTTCTTAGCCCTTTTTTTGGGTGGGGTTGCGCTGATGTCAACCACTTCGTCGGCTGTATCTGTGTCAGACATCGTATCTTAGGCAATATATAAACAAAACGTTCCACTCGCGAAAAACGAGTATACGCTACTGAATGCGTAATGCGTATGCAATGCAATCCTGTGCGTGAATTAACTGTTAGATGCCTGTCGTGTCATCTACAATCACGTTTACAAGTCCAAACCTGTGCAGATTCGTAGAGCGCCGACGACTGCTAGTGACCTTGAATTTGTCTGTAGATCGATGTTACTCCAGTCAATTTAGGTTCAAAGTGGATGTTTTCTAAACCAATTTGTTGTTCCTACATCAAAAATATATCGATGATGTTTTGTACTGGGAGCTCATGAAAGATCAAGGTAACTTATTTTAACAGTCATCCTTTTTCTAGTCTCAAGATGACACGAAAAAGGGTCTGTGGATTCACTAGAAATACACTGCCGAGGATGTTTAGACCTAAAGTGACTGGAGTATATCCGTGGATGCTTTCGAGGGATCTGTTCACGTGCTGATCACTGTTTACGTTTAATGTCTTTCTTCAGCGCCCAGAGTTTAGATAAGACCATTTTTCAACGAAATACAACCTGTCAAAAATCATTGAAAGATTTGGATTTTTTCTTGCTCCCTTAATTTTTTTGTGTAGTTGCATACACCTCTTTTGAAAACCTAAAAACACCCTTCTGATTAGCAGTTCAAAAAATGCGGTCGATTTTCCAAAACAAGTCCAAAAGAAACTTTTTTATTTTAAAAACGATGCTAAGAAAACAACAAAAAAAAGTTCCTCGAAGATTACAATCAAATTTCATAGAATGTTTGTTCCAGCTTTCGGAAATACCCTTACATTCTCTGCGCGATCACTAGTTACCGAGATATCAGTAGGGATCTTTTTTCATTCAAAGTCAGATATCTTCGCGCCAAATGATCGTATCGAGATTTTAAAAACGGGATATTAAAGCTGAATAAAATATGGCTCTCTGAAACATATAATGGCCTAACTGGAAAAAATGTTTTCAAACCCTTGGGCTGAGAAGAAAAAGGCAAATATTTTGCAAAAAATGTTTGTTCCGCTATCTGTTAGATACGCATAAGCACCATGGCTCTACTAAAAATTTTCGGCCCAAAAAATAAAAACTAGAATCTTGAGGCTTCAACATTAATTCTTCAAAGTCTAGATAAGACCATTTCTCACCGAAATACAACCTGTCAAAAATCATTGAAAAATTTTGATTTTTCCCTTAAATACACCTCACAGATCTGTGGTTTTATGTTGTACTTTGAAGCATGCCACCGACGAGGCTAGAACGTCAGTAAAGTGTTTCTTCAATCTATGGGTCTATTAAGCTTTGTATTGGCGACTTTCATTTCACACGATTTTTAATCTAATGCTAATCCCTATAAGTCAAAGATATGGTGCGAACCTGTTACACCCCAGCTTCCATTTGGGCCCAGAAGACGGATCTAAAACCATCACTCCATAGTCACATTCAGCACAATTACAGACGCCGTTCGTCTGTAAGCTGTAAGGGCACGTTGGATGTAAGCATGAGTTGCAGCCACTTTCTTTTTTCATATCCCTGGAAAACATTAAGGAATAATAAAAACCACCACATTTTGTGCACCATCGACGAATTCAGAATAGATTGAAGGAGCCAGTTTGTCTCCTAATTCGCATACTCTGATATACATAGATACTTACTTAAAAGGGGGATTGTTGTAACAGTAAGGGCAAAAAACATAACTCCGACCCTTGTTGCCCATGGTCCAACACAGTAGTTCAAAATCATCTAAGGGGCATTTCAATTCTCTGAATAATTTGATATTCCCTGTTTGTGGCATGCCGTACGTTTCGTCGCACTGAGAACAGTGGAGCCTCATGGGCTTAGCTTGGATATATTTCATGTAGCGTCTGCATTTGCCGCATCTAGAGTACGGAAGACAAAAGCCTGAATTAGAGCAAAAGTCAAAAACTGTATGCGGGGTGAGTTTTTAACGTCGGGTCAGTCGACAAGTCTTTTTTTTGTTGTTGAAGATTTATTTAGCATTAATGCTACAATGTCAATTTTGTATAATGATTCGGTAGGTAACATATTTTTCTTCCATTCCAATCCATTTTCTGTAATTTTACATTCTTGTCTATTAAAATTAAAATTACGTCATTATGTATTTTGATTAATCATAAAGTGATTTTTCAATTTCACCTTAAACATTTTTAAATTCGAACTCTGTTTAATATCATTATTCAATTTATATAATATATAAAGTTTTCACATCCAACCATTGCAGTTCTTCTAACATAGACTTAATCCTAGCATATTTGTTTTTATTTAAAATGATTCTCATAGCTTTATTTTGTAGAATTTGTAAAGTTTGAAAATGTTTTGATTTACTGTAAACAATATGTTTGAACAAAATAAAAAACAGAGAAGAATTATATTGTTATACACATTTTTTTGGAATACATACCAAGATTATGGGAAACTCTATCTATCTTTTTCGATATATTTGAAATAATGTATTCATAATGTTAGTGAAACAGTGGCTTACTATCCACATATATACCAAGATATTTAAATGACTCGACTACTTCAATTTTTTCATCATTAATCATGAGCCTAATTGTATTCTCACCTAAATGTTTCCCTATTGACATACATTTTGTTTTATTAGTGTTTAAGTTTATTGACATTTAACCAATTCATAATTTTATCAATATCACTAGAACTAGAAAGGATCTTCATACATCTGTTTAATGGATGAAGAGTTTTTTATATCAAATTCGGTACGTTAAAAAATACATCGCGAGTGGGTTAGCTAAAAAATCCTGGCGAGACTACAATTAATTAAAAATTGAAAATTGACTTTTTATTTAAAGTTGGGCTGACTTTAACGAATAAATTGAATACCAACCGAAAGTATAAAGCCTAGAGAATATGCAAATGTTGGATTGTCTATTTTTTTTCCTGGGTTAATTGCTGGGTTAACAGATATAAACACATGCAGGGTGTCCCAGAAGTCGACGTCAAGCCGAAACCGGGTGATAGGCAAAGTCATAACAGCTATCAGAAAAATATTTAAAAAAAATTTATGTATGTGTTTTGAAAATTATAGGTCTTTGAAAAAAATATAGACATTTCACACCGTACGGCTGTCTGTCAACTCCTGTTACTACAAATATTAACTTTTTTGGATTTTATTTTTACAATGTAATGATGAATAATGCATCTTCAAACTGGTGTCTCAACCTTACTGCCAACTTTTCTCGTTCAGGAAAAATTGCCACTTATTTCCCAACCAAGTATTCCAAAGTAAAACTTTGCTCAACTTTAACTGGCTGTACTGGAAAAAAATGTACTACGAGAGTTTGGCAAGTAACCTTAAAAGTTGGCGCATTTAATAAGGATTCCAAAATGGTATAACACTTAGAAGATTACTCGTTAACTTATGCACAATTTTTATTTGAAGAAAAACTGATGAAAATTTTTCAAAATTTCCTAATTAAACAGCGATTATGAAAACGCACAAGGACCCTTAAGGATAACTGTTTGCACAACAGTGGGCGTCAAAATGCTGCTGATGATGATTTACCTTTACAGCAAATGCTCAAACTGTTTTCCTTCAGCAGCAATACACGCTCGACATCTTCTTAAAAAAGATCGGGTTATTAAACGAGCGAATCCACGGTTATTAACAAACTCAGCTGCTTCCAATAGTCTTTGCCGTAGCTCAGCTACATTTTGAATCGGCTTGAAATACACTTTTTCTTTTACAGTTCCCCAGTAAAAAAAATCTAACGGATTCAAATCTGGTGGCCGGGCTGGCCACGGTATTGTACCAGACCGCCCTATCCATCTGCCTGGAAACTTTTGATCGAGATACTCTCTCACTGAGAGTGCATAGTGCGCTGGGCAGCCATCATGCTGAAACCACATGTCCCTGTAAATACTCAGTGGCACGTTCTCCAATAAATTTTCTAAATGATTTTGCAAAAAACCTAAATAAACCTCAGCAGTCAAAGTCTCTGGGAACTCAAACGGAGCGATTATTTTACCATTTAAAATTCCTGTCCAATGGTTTATCTTGAAGCGATATTAAGATTTATCTTCTCTCATCAAATGTGGGTTTGCTACGTGCCACTCGTGTAAGTTATGTAGGTTCATGTACCCATCTTTCTTAAATGTGATCTCATCTGACCATACAATTTTTTCAAAGAACCGTGGATCTTCCCTGTGTCTTTCTAACATTGTGCGACAAAAAGCACCTCGGGGCTCATAATCCCGGGGCAGAAGAGATTGAACACGCTGTACGTGGTATGGATGGAGCACGTTTTTTTGCAAGATTCTATGGGCTGTACTTTTGGGCACACCTGTTTTTAGTTCTATTGCACGCACTGAAGTACTCGGGTCTTCTTCGACTTTTGAAAAATCATGTACAAAACTTATTGGTGGACGTGCCACTGAGTATTTACAGGGACATGTGGTTTCAGCATGATGGCTGCCCAGCGCACTATGCACTCTCAGTGAGAGTGAGATCAAAACTTTCCAGGCAGATGGATAAGGCGGTCTGGTACAATACCGTGGCCTGCCCGATCACCTGATTTGAATCCTTTAGATTTTTTACTGGGGAACTGTAAAAGAAAAAGTGTATTTCAAGCCGATTCAAAATGTAGCTGAGCTACGGCAAAGACTATTGGAAGCAGCTGAGTTTGTTAGCGAATCCACGCTCGTTTAATAACCCGATCTTTTTTAAGATGTCGAGCGTGTATTGCGGCTGAAGGAAAACAGTTTGAGCATTTGCTGTAAAGGTAAATCATCATCAGCAGCATTTTGACGCCCACTGTTGTGCAAACATTATCCTTAAGGGTCCTTGTGCGTTTTCATAATCGCTGTTTAATTAGGAAATTTTGAAAAATTTTCCTCAGTTTTTCTTCAAATAAAAATTGTGCATAAGTTAACGAGTAATCTTCTAAGTGTTATACCATTTTGGAATCGTTATTAAATGCGCCAACTTTTAAGGTTACTTGCCAAATTCTCGTAGTACATTTTTTTCCAGTACAGCCAGTTAAAGTTGAGCAAAGTTTTACTTTGGAATACTTGGTTGGGAAATAAGTGGCAATTTTTCCTGAACGAGAAAAGTTGGCAGTAAGGTTGAGTCACCAGTTTGAAGATGCATTATTCATCATTACATTGTAAAAATAAAATCCAAAAAAAGTTAATATTTGTAGTAACAGGAGTTGACAGACTGCCGTACGGTGTGAAATTTCTATATCTTTTTCAAAGACCTATAATTTTCAAAACACATACATAATTTTTTTTTAAATATTTTTCTGATAGCTGTTATGACTTTGCCTATCGTCCGGTTTCGGCTTGACGTCGACTTCTGGGACACCCTGTATGTAAGATGATACTAGTTATTTGCACAAATTTGTTTAATAAATAAATCTTATAATAAAATAAGCACCTTTTCATTGCGAACACAATGACATACGGTTGAGTGCAAAAAAACTGGCCAGAATGATGGTTGACAGGCTTTTAAGAGTGAAATTTTGCTAAAAATAGATCCAAGCTACATACGTATCCCGTGCGATAGATGAGGATTTAGCCTTACTGTTTTGTTGTGATTAATTTAGAAAAAAAAGAAAAACTCAGCGCACAAATTTGTTTTAAATGATTTATTGAGCAGTTGAGCGAAGTTGTATTGTGCATATTTTCGCTCTAGGTTAGAATATGTATCTTAAGATTGGAATACGTTCTATATAACTTATAACACCTCCTTAGAGCAGGTACTAAGGCGTTTCCTCAAATATCTGTGTTTAATATTAGATGGTTCCTATCCTACAACGGACATTTCTAAGGTTCATCTGTGTTATAGGTTTGACTTGTCACTCCTTGATACTGCCGCGTTCCATCTTCCTATAATATTTCTATATAAAGATAGTACATACCCAGTCGAATTTTAATAAACCACCATTAGGTCGCACCCATATTTTTCCAGAGATCCCGGCTACAAAAATGTATGATTGAATTCTTCAATGTCTTATATGCAATGTAATTTTAATATTATTAGTGGCGTGCGTGATGTCAATGCTAATTGTCTAGTCTTTTTGTTGGATATTGTGTAATTACTTCATTTTATTTTCTTTAGATATGTTGATATATTTTTTGACGGTTTATACTTTGTCCTGTAAATGGAATGAATCTTTGTTGGGCAATAAAGCATTATCTTCATCATCTCACCTTGACAACGCTCTTCCAGACTCACTGAGCGGTGAAAATGACACTTCAAAAAGTTGATCCATCCCGTCTATATTTTTAACGAAATACTGAAACTTGAGTCTGAAAATATCTATGGTGTGTTTGAGGACAGCGCCGAAATCAGCTTTGCCCAAAGCTATCAGGCTCAGTTCCTTCTCAACTGCGGATCTCATCGTTGGTAAAACTAGTTCTTCATCTATCTGCAATGGTTACCTATTTAATTTACAATTAATGTTAGTGATGTCATCGTTGCATGTTCCTCGTATAAACACGGAATCCTACATTTATTCAAACACAAAAAACACTTGTAGCAGTTACGTCTGCCAACGACTACTTTTCAGAACTGGTACACTTTTACAATAAAGAAAAAGTGTCCTCTTGCGAATGTATGAATCAGTGCAAAATGCCAAAACAAAATTCAGCAGACGCTCGATAACGTAAACACGGGATAATGAAAACTTGCGCTAATGTACTCGTAAACACAAACTTCGTTCTATAGGATCAAACGGAACGCGCGATAACGTAAACAATGTGTACGCTCGATAACGTAAACAACTCTCGGCGCACGGAAACAGCGCGACGGTAAAATGCTGAAGCCTAGATGATTTATGTCGGGCGTCGGGGAGTCCCCGATTTATGATGTAGGGTGTAGGGGATTCACCTCTGCGATAAAATACGACAAACTCGGTCAGTCGTATGATCGTTTAGGATACGTTTATACGTACGTATGTATAGCATTTTTGAACTTAAGTGAATACATTGCACGCGTTAATATATTTTACGACTATGGCATCCACATCCTATAAAAGAAAGTGTTTAAAGTTGAGTGAGAAAGTGAAAATCATAGACGAAGTTGCACTAGGTGCGGAAGTGACACAGTTAGCAAAAAAATATGGAGTATTGAAAGCAACAATCTGTAAAATTAAGGGTATGAAAACTCAAATTTTACAAAGAACGTGGAATACATTTGGAGGTCCGGGAAAAAGAAAAACTTTAAAAAATTCGAAGGCACCTAAAATGGAAAATTCCCTGTATAAGTGGTTTTTAAAACAACGGAAAATCATGTCCCAGTTAGTGGTGAAGTACTTAAACAAAGAGCGAGACTGTTAAATGAAAAACTGAAAGAAACTGAAAATTTCGTAGTTAATGATGGCTGGCAACAACGATTCAAAACAAGATATGGAATTCGACTGCTGTCTATATCTGGTGAAAAATTATCAGCACAACCACAATTAGTGCGACCATTCAAAGAAAAATTGATGAAAACAATTACCGAGCTAGATTTAAGAATGGAACAAATTTACAACGCAGATGAAAGTGGCCTTTATCGGAAAATGTTACCAGAGAAAACCTATGCTGCATCATTTGAAAGATCTGTCCCGGGAAGAAAGCCGGAGAAACAACGAATAACGTTTCTAGCCTGCACTAATGCTAATGGTTCACACAAAATAAAGTCACTGGTAATTGGGACAGCAAAAAATCCGCGCTCATTTAAAAATGTTAGTATCCCTGTTGATTATGACTGTTCAAAAACCGATTGGATGACTAGCAGTATATTCCTGAAATGGTTCCACAGGTGCTTTGTCCCTCAGGTATGACAATCAATTATCACAAATGCTCTATTCATAATTTGAAGATGTGTTTTCAATTTGTAGGTAAAAGGTTTCCTAAAACAATAGAAGCTTCCAATAAAAGCGTTGTTACTATTGGATAATGCACCAAGTCATCCTCCCGAGCAACAACTGAGGAGAAGGGATGGGTCAATTTTGTACATGCCGCCCAACGTAACACCGTTAATTCAACCGATGGACCAGAATATAATAAGACTCACCAAACTATACTATAGGAAGTTTTTACTTTCGTCTGTCTTATCAAATAATCCTGAAAACTTATCTGAGGCTTTAAAAAAAGTAACTTTACGAGAAGCTGCTTTAGATTTACATATGGCCTGGAATGAACTTAACCAGCAAACTATTCAAAAATGTTGGAACAATCTCTTTTGTACCAATAATAAAGATGATGAAGAAGACGATGTCGCCTTAAGCGTAATTAGAGAACGTTTGCGATGAAATAATGATAATGTTATTAGTGTGTCATTGGATGTTGTTGATTTATTGAAAACAGTGAATCCCAACATTGTTTGTACTCCTGCTGATATTAATTTATGGAACGAAGATAAGCAGACGAAAGATGCTGATAAGGAGGAGGATATGGACAGTGAGGATGATGAGAACGATCCCATTGAAGTCAGAAGTGTAGTGACTGACGCGCAAGCTATACAAGTTTTTAACAAAGCTTTAGATTGGGCTGAAAGAAAAGAAGTTTCATACACGGATATTTTAGTTCTTCGTAAATTACGGGCGCAGGCATAGGAAGACAATGCGCAAATTTACGCAGACTTATCGCTGTTAGAATATTTGTTTATTTTGTTATAAATAGTATGTATTATAATAAATAATATAATAATTTAATAAATCAAATATTATATAAATCACGTTCGCTAATGTAAACATTTCGATAATGTGAACCACACTTGGATTAAATTAGTTTACATTATCGAGCGTCTGCTGTAGTCAAAAAAAAACACCTCTTAATACGATTCTGTCTACAGATCCGTCAAAGTTGTACGTCATATAACGATATAAAGTGTCATTCGATAATAACCTGTTATTTGTCGGCACGTTTTGCCGTGATCAACTATAGTGAAATAGTAAATCACATGTCTACGAGGGCGGTCCGATAAGTTCTTAGCCCCAACGCGCGATGGCGCCACTATCGCAAGAGAAATTTACTATCGAAGACGGCTACTGTCAAAAAACTCTTAGTTTTGTTTTGACCTACTTTGCAGACCTCCATAATGCGTATTTTTCAGACGGCTTAAAGAAATTGAAGCATCGCTGAGTCAAGTGTTCCGAGCTAAAATGAGACTATGTTCGTTTCTCTTTTGTAGGCTGAGTACTTATCGTACCGTCCTCGTAAATTGAGAAATAAAGGTCGATTTATGATCTCTTGACGTTCCTCAGCGCTGCCGTACCGTTTCCGTAACATAGAACTAGAATCATACGCTCGACGTTAAACTGTTTATAAACAGGAATTCCGCATCGCTGACGCTAGACACCGATACACCTACCTGTTTCTGCAGCACCCCAAACGTGTCACTCTTATTAATCAATGAATAATCTCTCTTACTGAGATATTTACCTTTTGATAGCCGTGAACCAGTACAATCCCTAAGGGGGTCGGTTTTAGTTTTCGACCGCCTATCACAGTGACGTAATTTCTCTGCGAGATATTATTTATATGAACGGGTATCGATGCGTCGGTACCAATTCCATGTTTTTCCATCAACGTAATCAACTCGGATTCCGTTAAATAATCAGGCGGGCAAGTTTGACGCTCAGTGAGTTTTGCTTCTTTGATCGGCACCGACTCGTTCACTGACAGGTTGGGGACGATTTCGTCCTTTTCGATTGCCTGAAACCACATCAACCGTGCTAGAAACAGCAAATAATATGTGACGAGGATAAAGTGAGTCGCGGATAATTTTATTATGCAACAAGTTTTTGTAAATTGTTGGGTTTTGAAATTATACAGCGTGACACAAAAGTCCCGGAACGATTCTGTATTTTCTCGGGTAAGGTACTCTTGTAAAGGTCAGATCTCCGGTAACTTTCAGCAAGGAGTTCAACGGTATCCTTGAATTTGACCTTGACTTTCACCTTCAAGGTAAATTCATGGCCAAATTAATTTTTTCAAATAGGAACCCCTATTTTTGATGCCGGTAATCAAAAGAACAGATAATTCTACGTTCAAAGACAATTAAAGTCTAAGGTCAGGATGACTACTAAATGTCAAATGAAGATCAAATTTAATGAATACTGCTGGGAAAACCTGTATAAATCTCACAGGATGAGTGATGAAAATATATTAAGTGACATATAAATCCGAACACCCAGTTTAAATGGTTTTATTTTAATAAAAGTTGGTGAATGTATTTATCTTACTGTAAATAACAAGTGAAAAAATGTTCAGCCTTATCAGTTGGACATTCCGGTTTTTATACTGCTTTTTTTTAATTCACTAACGCTCTAAAAATGAATATTTCAGCCGCAGTAAAGAATCAACGTTGGCGGATTTTGGTTCTTGACATCCTTTACGATCGGTTACGATGCCAAGAGTACGGAGACCTGTACGATTTCGTCAACTTAGTGAGTTTGATAGGGGCCGTATAGTGGAACTTCGGGAAGCTGGACTTTCCTTTCGGGCAATTGCAGTTAGAGTGCAAAGAAGTGTAGACACTGTGGTTAGGTGTTGTCAGGCATGGCTTCGAGAAGGCCGTACGCAAAGACCAAGGGGCACTGGACGCCGCCGTAGAATAACAGACCGCCTAAGATTATTGGCCTTAAGGGACCGTTTCTCCACTACCAGGTCAATTGCAAATGAATGGTTTGCAGAACACGGAAGACCTATTGGCATGCGAAGTGTTTACCGACGAATGAGAAGTTTTCTCCCTTTAACTCGAGAACACCGACGTAATCGCCTTGAGTGGTGCAGACAACGGTCACTCTGGGATCAGGAATGGAACAGTATTGTCTTTAGTGACGAGTCTCGATTTTGTTTAGGCATGCACGATGGTCGTGCCAGGGTTAGAAGGCGACGTGGTGAAAGGAGGAATCCACAGTTTTTTGTTGAAAGACATGTTCATCACACTGTTGGAGTTATGGTTTGGGGTGCTATAGCTTATGGTTCCAGGTCACCTTTAATCTTCATCAGAGGTAACATGAACGCGCAGCGTTATATCCACGAAGTTCTAGAACCCCACCTTTTACCCTATCTTAACACACTGGCAGATCCAACTTTCCAACAAGATAATGCCCGACCACATGTTGCAAGAGTCACAATAGACTTCTTTCAACATAATGATGTCACATTGTTACCATGGCCACCAAGATCTCCCGACTTATCCCCAATTGAGCACGTGTGGGATATGATGGGTAGGAGATTGCTCAATTTGCAACGTGCTCCTGAGACTCTAGAAGCACTTCGAGAGGAGTTGGTGGTTGCCTGGAATGAGATACCACAGGAGGACATTGACAACCTGATCAGAAGCATGCCTAGGCGCGTTGGAGAATGCGTAGCACATCAGGGTGCATCCACACATTATTAAAGGTCAAAGGGCTTTAAAGCAGTGCAATCATTTTGAAATTTTTATCATTTACTTATTATGCTTCATTAAGTACTTATACAAAATTTTATTAAAATAAAACCATTTAAACTGGGTGTTCGGATTTATATGTCACTTAGTATAACTATCAAGGTCAGGTCTATGGTAAATTTTAACTAGCAAGTCGACGCTGACCTTGGATTTGACCTTCACCTTCACCTTTGAGGTTATTTGAAAGTCAACTTTTTTTTATTAAAATCCCTATTTTTGATTCTAGCAACCCAAAGACCGGAAAATTTTATGTTCAAATACGAATTGAAGGCCAAGGTCATGGTATCATCTAAAGGTCAAATGTGTTCTGCTAGGAAAACCTCTATAAATCTCACAGGATGAGTGATGACAATAACTATCAAGATCAGGTCTATGTAAATTTTAACGAGAAAAGTGGACGCTGACCTGGGATTTGACCTTGACCTTCACCTTTAAGGTTATTTCAAAGTCAACTTTATTTTTTCAATTAAAATCCCTATTTTGATGCCGGCAGCCAAAAGTTCGGAAAAATTCGACGTTCAAATAGGAATTGAAGGCCAAGATCAGGGTACCATCTAAAGGTCAAATGTGTTCTGCTAGGAAAACCTCTATAGATCTCACAGGATTAATAATGAAAACAACTATCAAGATGCGGTAAGTTTTAACGAGGGAGTGAACGCTGATATTGGATGTGACCTTGATCCTAACCGTCAAGGTCATTTCAAGGTCAACTTCATTGTTTAATGGAAATGCCTATTTATGATGCCGCCAATCGAAGGAGCGGAAAAATGTACGTCCAAATGCCAAGGTCAGGGCGCCATCTAAAGGTCAAATTTATTCTGCTATGGAAACCTCTATAAATCGCACAGGATTAGTAATGAAAACATTTATCAAGGTCAGGTCTTTGATAAATTTTAACGAGGGAGTGAGCGGGGATCTTGGATGTGACCTTGATCCTCACCTTCAAGGTCAGTTCAAGGTCAATTTCATGTTTTAATGGAAATCCCTTTTTTGATGCCGGCAATCGAGGGTGCGGAACATTTTACGTCCAAATGCGAATTATAGAACAAGATCATGGCGAACACTAAAGGTCAAATGGATGTCAAATAGGTGCTGCTAGGAAAACCACTATGAATATTACAGGATTAGCGATGAAAATAACTATAAAGTCAGTTCTTTAGTAAATTTTGACGAGTGAACCTGAATTTGACTTTAAGCCGCTCCTTCAAGGTCATTTCAAGATCAACAAATTTTTCCAAATAGGAGCGGCTATTTGATGCCGACAATCCATAGAGCCGAAAATTTTATATTCAAATGTGTATCAGAACTCAAGGTCAACGTGACTTGAAGGCCAAATGTGTGTTGCTAGAAAAACTTCTAGAAATCTGGCAAGGATCTTTGGATAAGTTTTAACGAGGGTGCTCGTTACAAGTGTTTAACCGGCACTATTTGAAAAAAATGACCTTGTAGGTGAAGATCAAGGTCAAATCCATGATCACTCGTCAAAATTTACTACAGACCTAACCTTGGTAGTTTTTTTCATTATAGAGGTTTTCCTAGCAGCACACATTTGATCTCCATTTGACCTTTAGTAGTCATCCTGACCTTGGACTTTAATTGTGTTTGAACGTAGAATTTTCGATTGCCTGCATCAAAAATAGAGGTTTCTATTTGGAAAAAAAGTTGGCCGTAAATTAACCTTGAAGGTGAAGGTCAAGGTCAAATTGTTGAATTGCTTGCTGAAAGTTACTGAAGACCTAACCTTGGTCTTTTATAAAAATATCTTACCCGAGAAAATACCAAACCTTTCAGGGACTTTTATGTCATGCAGTATGATCCATGATTTATAAAGTACGTGGACAGACACGACTGTGGATTACTTTTTCATAGCATAATAGGAATTCATTTATTTATTTAGTTCCTCTTGGAATTCCAAAATAAATCTACCAGCAATGACGTCCAACATATGGAAAATAATTAAAAAAAAAGGGATGCCAAATATGAAGCTTTTGTTTGATAACAAAATAACTCATTTTATGCCTTATTATACCTTTTAGGAAAGTACCTTAAATGAACCCTGCACTTCATAAAAAAAAATAACACTCATTTCCGTCTGTCCAGTAGTTTTTATTTTCTCTATCTAACTCGGAAACTCACCTGCCATGTCATAACTGCGGTATATCCAGGATCCAAAAGCGTCTTTCCGGTAGCTGTGAATATTTCTTTATTCACTGTAACCGTTATAGTTGTCGACAAATACTTGCAGTCCTTACACAATGTGCCAATGAAGTGTCTCGTGATGTAGTCGTACAATCTCCATGAATCACCGTCCAGTTCGTGCCTGGATGCCGCCTTCATTGGTGTTATAGGTGGATGGTCACCTAGTGTATACAATATTTGGAACATTTGCTTGATATTATGATATCGACTCTAAATGACTGATATAATATTACAGCAGACGCTCGATAACGTAAACACGGGATAATGAAAACTTGCGCTAATGTAAACACAAACTTCGTTCTGTGGGATCAAACGGAACGCGCGATAACGTAAACAATGTGTACGGTCGATAACGTAAACAACTCTCGGCGCACGGAAACAGCGCGACGGTAAAATGCTGAAGCCTCGATGATTTATGTCGGGCGTCGGGGAGTCCCCGATTTATGATGTAGAGTGTAGGGGATTCACCTCTGCGATAAAATACGACAAACTCGGTCAGTTTATACGTACGTATGTATTTCATTTTTGAACTTAAGTGAATACATTGCAAGCGTTAATATATTTTACGACTATGGCATCCACATCCTATAAAAGAAAGTGTTTAAAGTTGAGTGAGAAAGTGAAAATCATAGACGAAGTTGCACTAGGTGCGGGAGTGACACAGTTAGCAAAAAATATGGAGTATCGAAAGCAACAATCTGTAAAATTAAGCGTATGAAAACTCAAATTTTACAAAGAACATGCAATACATTTGGAGGTCCGGGAAAAAGAAAAACTTTAAAAAATTTGAAGGCACCTAAAATGGAAAATTCCCTGTATAAGTGGTTTTTAAAACAACGGGAAAATCATGTCCCAGTTAGTGGCGAAGTACTTAAACAGAGAGCGAGACTGTTAAATGAAAAACTGAAAGAAACTGAAAATTTCGTAGCTAGTGATGGCTGGCCTCAACGATTCAAAACAAGATATGGAATTCGACTGCTGTCTATATCTGGTGAAAAATTATCAGCACAACCACAATTAGTGCGACCATTCAAAGAAAAATTGATGAAAACAATTACCGAGCTAGATTTAAGAATGGAACAAATTTACAACGCAGATGAAAGTGGCCTTTATCGGAAAATGTTACCAGAGAAAACCTATGCTGCATCATTTGAAAAATCTGCCCCGGGAAGAAAGCCGGAGAAACAACGAATAACGTTTCTAGCCTGCACTAATGCTAATGGTTCACACAAAATAAAGCCACTGGTAATAGGGAAAGCAAAAAATCCGCGCTCATTTAAAAATGTTAATATCCCTGTTGATTATGACTGTTCAAAAACCGCTTGGATGACTAGCAGTATATTCCTGAAATGGTTCCACAGGTGCTTTGTCCCTCAGGTATGACAATCAATTATCACAAATGCTCTATTCATAATTGAAGATGTGTTTTCAATTTGTAGGTAAAAGGTTTCCTAAAACAACAGAAGCTTCCAATAAAAGCGTTGTTACTATTGGATAATGCACCAAGTCATGCTCCCTAGCAACAACTGAGGAGCAGGGATGGGTCAATTTTCGTCATGTACATGCCGCCCAACGTAACACCGTTAATTCAACCGATGGACCAGAATATAATAAGACTCACCAAACTATACTATAGGAAGTTTCTACTTTCGTCTGTCTTATCAAAGAATCCTGAAAACTTATCTGAGGCTTTAAAAAAAATAACATTACGAGAAGCTGTTTTAGATTTACATATGGCCTGGAATGAACTTAACCAGCAAACTATTCAAAAATGTTGGAACAATCTCTTTTGTACCAATAATGAAGATGATGAAGAAGACGATGTCCCCGCGCAAGCTATACAAGTTTTTAAGCAAGTTTTAGATTGGGCTGAAAGAAAAGAAGTTTCATACACGGATATTTCAGTTCTTCGTAAATTATGGGCGCAGGCATTGGAAGACAATGCTAAGCGCAAATTTACGCAGACAAAAATTGTTAATTATTTTTCTTCTAATTAAAAAAATACTTATCGCTGTTAGAATATTTGTTTATTTTGTTATAAATAGTATATATTAAACGTTTCTTGTAATAAATCGAATATTATATAAATCACGTTCGCTAATGTAAAACATTTCGATAATGTGAACCACACTTTTATTAAATTAGTTTACATTATCGAGCGTCTGCTGTATAGAATGTTTTATTTTTATTTTTATATTTTTACTAACAGAATTTAATAAACCATGGACCTGTATTCAAAATTCTACAAAACCACTTCGCTGACAGAAGTGAAAAACTAAAATTGTATCTACATTGTCAACCTCAAAAAATATTTCTGTTGGTGTACCAAAAGGTAGTAAACTAGGTCCACTACCATTTATTTTAAACATTAATGACATTTGTGATATTTTTATTACTGTAAAATTCAGATAGAAATAGACAACATTGTTTATTCTCATAGAAGTTTACATCATTGGAAAGATTAAACTTAGCCATATTTTTTTACGTATTTTTTTTGACGGTATTACAATAAACTGTAAGCTCATTAAAGGTTTGACCGCATTAAAGGTATTTAGGTTTTGCTTATTTTCGTTTTTTTTTTCTGGAAATGGAAGTGTAATATTGTTGGACAATAAACGCTATTATTATTGTTATTAAAATAATTGTATATCAATTTCATCTACAACATTAATGTTTTAAACAGTACTTCAATCAATCTCCAAAAATGCTGAATATTGAACAGTGTTTGCTTAATAACACTGTAGGGTTCATAGACACACAACACGCAGTTAAAATGAAACATAGATCAACTGTGTCTTATTTTATAATCCAAAACAAAATATAGCACTTACTCAGCTAAAACCAATTCTAACTAACCTGCATCATGGCCTGATTTCGGCCGATTGATTCCGGTGGATAATATTTCCCTTACTATATCCCCCCAATCATTGCTATCTCTGTGCTCTTTCAAAACACCACTGAAAATAAGGTATACGATTTTATAAAGATGGAGCGTTCCTTAATACTCCAGCATATATCCACAACTGCTTAAATCTTTAGCTACGGGTATTCATTTTTAAGGATAAATTGCTTTTATTTTATCTTAGAAAATCCTTATAATATTATTTTTACTTTTGGCATGCTAGGATCTAAAATAACATATTTTAGTGCAAAGTTAGTTTACTGGGTTTTACAATAAACATGATACGAAATTGATATTTTACAAAGTGAATATTTTCTCTAATTTATTTGATCATTCGTACCTAGACAAAAACCCTCTCTTACTATTTTCATCTTAGATGTACCCTTTTTGAATAAAATGACAAAATATTAACTGCGAAAAATATCAGTCGCGTACCGATTTTTTGTGAAAGATATCACAAGATTATTTGCAGAGACGCCACTGGTGACGCAATAGATCAACTTTTTACACTAAAACATGTCTTACAATATCTTCAAGTTAAAAATAATATTTAAAAGTTGAAAAATATTTTTTTCTTTAAAATTCAACATCCAGCAGTTAAAAAATCCAGCCAAAATTAAGCAACAGCACATCAAGAGTTAAGTTTCACCTATGCCAAATCATTTAGCAGTTTGAATTATGCAAGTCCTTGTAAATTAAATATCAAGATTCTAACATCTACAAGTCATCCAAACTGTCAACAAAAATAAGAATATACTATTAGGTTGTACAGCCTTTAAGTGAAATTTTGTTCTAAGAAGAATCTGAAGATCATAAGACTGGGATAACAATTTATCTCTTTTGTTTTTACTAACTTACGTGAGATCAAAATTCTCAGGATACTTAGTAGTCTCGGTTCTTGGATAACTGATATAACCTTGAGTATACAACCTTTCTGCGATCTGCATAGCATGGTGAGGACTCATGCCTAATCCTGAACTAGCAATTCTCATCAGTTCGACAGTATTCAAGGCAACAGGTCTTGCCTTGCATTTTTCTTTTGAAACAACATCAATTACCCTAAAAAGATGAAGAGAAGTTTTTAGGAATGGAATGCCTCCATTTACACACAAATTATCAGAGAGACAAGTATCACATTTTTGGGTGGAAGTGAGTTTTTTCGTCACTACCAAAATCTACCAGAAGTATTTAATCCAACACAGTGACACTGATAAGGCAAATAAAGTCGTTTCATCACTGATACGACTGATGCCATCTGCCCAGTGGCTTATGAAGTAAAAGCATACCACTTACTTTCCATATCGTTCATCTTTCACCGTATTAAGGAAGACAGTGGCTACTTCTTTATCGAACACGCGCACCCTTTGCCAATCGAGACGGACTAGTTGATCGTCTTTTGTCGCCACTGTGACGTCCACGCTCCAAAACGTTTCAGGTTTGAAAGTCTGAATTTCGTCGTGTCGCTGCACACAGAAACCAAGAGTCGGTGTTTGACAGGGCCCGTATGATATCAGCGACGAATCTAGATCACCATAACGCCCTGAAATATATTTTCCGTGAATTTACAAATATTTATTTATTTATTTATTTATTTACAAATTTACGGGATAAACCCATTCGGTTACAGGTTGTAAAAGTACAATCTTAACCTAATAAAATTCACACACATCATAAATAAAGAATCTAACATATGAACATAAAGTTTGACTATTTACTAAATTAAAATATTAAAATATTAAAACGTGCATAAAAATAGTTACAAACAAATACTAAAAAAAAAAAAAACTAAAAAAACTGAACAACTAAACAACACAGCAAACATCACCAGCAATTGAGACATTTTAAAACTTTAGCTAAGATTTCTATCTTTAAGGAACTTTTTGAGAGAGCATAGTGAAGTATTAAAAAGGTCTATATCACAGTCATTACAATTTCTCATTATCCTATCCATGCTACTATTCGAGCCATACAAAGTTCTATGCCGACAAGGTTCAAAGGATCTGCGTTCTCTTAAATGCCTAGGAGAAACATAAAAATTTAGCTTTAGAAGCAGGTCTGGGCAGTGGTAAACACCATGAATTAATTTATAAGCAAAAACAATATCTGCTGAATCTCTCCTGGCTCTTAGGGATCCAATCCTTAACTCCTTTTCAAGAGCATTATAGTCTAAATTCTCAATAGAAATGTGTTTTTTGTAAGCTATATATCGTAGAAATTTTCTCTGAACCCCGTCAAGCATGTCCTGATAAGTTACATAATATGGAGACCACACGCTGCTGCAATTTTCTAGATGAGATCGCACCAGTGAAGTATAGAGAGTTACTATAGCTCCAATGTTAGTAAATTCAGATATATTTCTTTTTATGAAGCCCAACATTTTTAAAGCTTTATTTCTTATAACCTCTATGTTCTGATAAAATGTTACTTTGCTATCAAATATAACACCCAGGTCTTTAACAACATTCACATTTTGAAGTTGGGTATTATTTATGTGATAACTGCTGACTATATTATTGTTAGACTTTGAAAATTGAATGTATTTACATTTGTCTGTGTTAAGGATCATTCTATTTTCTTCACTCCATTTAACAAATTGATCAAGGTCACTCTGAATCTTTAATGTTGAGTTATTATCAGAAAGAGGTAAATAGATCTTGACATCGTCAGCATAGATAAGAAAAGAACAGAATTTAAAACATTGGGCTATGTCATTGACAAAAATTATAAATAAAATGGGTGCCAAGTGCGCACCTTGTGGTACACCAGACAAGACAGCAATTGGATTTGAGAGACAGTTTTTAATTTTTACAAATATGTATACTTATGTACTTTCAGCCTATTTAAACACGCACAAGGACACTATGCTTTTGTGGTTTTACTTTTCGATTAATCACTTGTATAAATATAAAATAAAATTGAATAAACACTGTCAATAAATTATTATTATTATTATTGCTATTATTCATTAATTCATGAACAAATTCATTATTTGCCAGGTTGACTAGAAAAACGAAATATCTCTGTGGAAAATATTGGTTGGCTAAATAAATAATTAGATCAGTCAAAGAATAGCAAAATTAATAATGAAATTTACATACAGCAGTGCCAACCATGATAAATCTAAATTTCTTAATTCTATACTAAGTGACATATAAATCCGAACACCCAGTTTAAATAGTTTTATTTTAATAAAAGTTGGTGAATGTATTTATCTTACTGTAAATAACAAGTGAAAAAATGTTCAGCCTTATCAGTTGGACATTCCGGTTTTTATACTGCTTTTTTTTAATTCACTAACGCTCTAAAAATGAATATTTCAGCCGCAGTAAAGAATCAACGTTGGCGCATTTTGGTTCTTGACATCCTTTACGATCGGTTACGATGCCTAGAGTACGGAGACCTGTACGATTTCGTCAACTTAGCGAGTTTGATAGGGGCCGTATAGTGGGACTTCGGGAAGCTGGACTTTCTTTTCGGGCCATTGCAGTTAGAGTGCAAAGAAGTGTAGACACTGTGGTTAGGTGTTGTCAGGCTTGGCTTCGAGAAGGCCGTACGCAAAGAGCAAGGGGCACTGGACGCCGCCGTAGAAGAACAGACCGTGAAGATCGCCGCCTAAGATTATTGGCCTTAAGGGACCGTTTCTCCACTACCAGGTCCATTGCAAATGAATGGTTTGCAGAACACGGAAGACCTATTGGCATGCGTAGTGTTTACCGACGAATGAGAAGTTTTGGCTTGTTTTCATCCGGCCACACTGGGTCCTCCCTTTAACTCGAGAATACCGAGGTAATCGCCTTGAGTGGTGCAGACAACGGTCACTCTGGGATCAGGAATGGAACAGTATTGTGTTTAGTGACGAGTCTCGATTTTGTTTAGGCATGCACGATGGTCGTGCCAGGGTTAGAAGGCGACGTGGTGCAAGGAGGAATCCACAGTTTTTTGTTGAAAGACATGTTCATCACACTGTTGGAGTTATGGTTTGGGGTGCTATAGCTTATGGTTCCAGGTCACCTTTAATCTTCATCAGAGGTAACATGAACGCGCAGCGTTATATCCACGAAGTTCTAGAACCCCATCTTTTACCCTATCTTGACACCCTGGCAGATCCAACTTTCCAACAAGATAATGCCCGACCACATGTTGCAAGAGTCACAATAGACTTCTTTCAACATAATGATGTCACATTGTTACCATGGCCACCGAGATCTCCCAACTTATCCCCAATTGAGCACGTGTAAGATATGATGGGTAGGAGGTTGCTCAATTTGCAACGTCCTCCTCAGACTCTAGAAGCACTTCGAGAGGAGTTGGTGGTTGCCTGGAATGAGATACCACAGGAGGACATTGACCACCTGATCAGAAGCATGCCTAGGCGCGTTGGAGAATGCGTAGCACATCAGGGTGCATCCACACATTATTAAAGGTCAAAGGGCTTTAAAGCAGTGCAATCATTTTGAAATTTTTATCATTTACTTATTATGCTTCATTAAGTACTTATACAAAATTTTATTAAAATAAAACCATTTAAACTGGGTGTTCGGATTTATATGTCACTTAGTATATGTCAAAACTATGCCTTGCAATTATACTGCTGGATTTGCATACATTTCTATTGAATTAAATCAAATCAATTCTTACTGTTCATAATTAGCAAAAAAAAGATACAATTAAAAGACACATCTTCAAATCAATTTAAGTAAATAACTTACAAAAAAATTACAAACAGATTGATTAAAATGATTGTTTTCTTTAAAGGGACGTAAAATGAAGCCCACCATTTAAGAGACTTGGAATAAATTCATACATTAACATTTTTATTAGTTTTGTAGTAATCAAAGCTTCTTGATATTTGCTGACATGAGACTACATGATGTGATTTAAGAAGTAAAAAGTCATATGAATTTACAAGGTATAAGAAATTAGTATGCACACCCGATTTTGGAACCCCATAAATATTTTTAAATTAAGGGTATCAAAAGGTGCATATTGCAAAGTTACATTGTTAGAGACTTTTTACATGATTACTAATTAAAGTATACTTTGTCAATGCGAACACTTACCTTGGAAGAATTTAGTTTGAAATCTAGTAAATGCACATCCAATTCTTAGATCTAATTCTTGCCTAGCATCAACACTCCTAGCTTCATTTTCATTAGGAAAACCTACACATAAATGACACAATATTTTAAATAAAAAACCAGATTCCTTCATTTTTTATACACCTCACATAATAAAGCTATAAATGTTATTTATATCCTTTAGCATGAGTAAATTGCATGCTTTGGGTTCTTTTGGATCTTGCTCAGTTTGTAACTTTGTCAACATAAACTATAAGACCTAGAATGGTTCCTGAGATATCTGTATAGATAGAATTCTCTATATTGCTCACAGACTTAAAGGGTGGATACAGTACCCCTTATACTATAAAAATCCGAAAAAAAGTCTAATAAATGATATTCCAAGCTTTCTTCCAGGTATGCAACAAACACCAATGCCATAAAAAGTATAAATGCATTGCAACCTGCCACCTCCGAGTATAACCACAGCCTAATAAAATTATAATCAAAATGTTAACTTACAACTCACCTAGATTATTAAATGCAGCCTTGATGTCTTTTTCAGTAATAGCAGAAAAATGAGCCCTGAATGTTACATGATTAGAATAAACATTTCCGAGCATGCTATCAGACACACAGCTCATTACTTCAAAGCATATATTTTCTCCTTCTTTATCACAATCTAGCCACAGGACCAGATTGTCAGAACCTTTAGACTCAGCAGCTAAAAATGCAGGCATTTTCAACTTTGCCATCGCTTCCTTTTTCTCTATTGGGCATGAGAAAAGCTGAACGGGATCAACCCTATCCCAGTTATTGTATTTACTGGTAAAATCCACACCAAAGACATGCCCACACACTGAGGTCATTTTAAATCGTGCTGGACTATTGCCAAACATGCCATTCCATTCGTGTACTGAGCACGCCCCATTGAATCCTGCAAATTCACAAAATAGAATAGAAAATAACGTCTCCATAAACAAAATGAATACCTTTCCTAGACGTGTTTTTGCCATTGCTCAAAATGCTAGCCAGTGAAGCCGCTAACGACGGTTTTTCGGCCACCATAAAAACCGTCTTCATATTTAACAAGAACAGATTTTCACTATTCTAAAAAACTAAATTTTATATTCATAAAATTAGAATTGCCTGAAAATATCGGAGAAATGTTTTGACAAACAAGGTATTTGAGGTTAAGGCAATAAGTAACTGTCAATACCAAGGACAGGGACAGGTGTAGAGATGAGGTTTCTAATGTAGTGATGGGCTTTTATGTTCGATATCGGGTGCATCGGTATCTTGCAGGCAGGTAACCGTAACTTAGTGTAATCAGAGCAACCAGCATGGACTTTATAAATTCCCTAGATTTAAATCTTAAAAATCCAAGAAACCAATATAGGGCAGGTTGCAAGAGGATTTTGACGAGTGTTATATTTGTCCATACAACTTCATTTTTAGTGTTACTGATTGTCTAAAGCCTATAGAAATCTGAGCATCAGACTCCTATAGTACGATTTTGAACTTGTTGAATTAAACCTATAATAACCTCGCGCATCAGCGATGGATACACTTTTCTATCTGTGGTTCTTCTAGTTCTATGACTCGTTGATTTGACATGCATCACGCAATCATCTGTGCGTCGATTCTGACATAAATGACAGTGTCAGTGTCAGTTGGTGTCAGTGTGTTTGGCGTTTGCAAGGTGGGGGAGCGCGTGGACGTTGATATAAAAACACGAGCAGCCTCGATCTTGAAATTTGTCTCATACATAATGCAAAATGGCTACATATGGTGCTGGTAGCGAAAACATTGTTCCTAATAATATACAAAATCATGACACAACCGAGTGGGTACCGTTTTCGCTAACGCTTGTCTATTACCCCAAAGGTAAGCCTCGCTATAAACCAACCGTCTCACTGGCCATCAGTAAACTTGACACAGTTTTCCAGTTCAGCACATTTCTTTTTGCAGGTGACCTTTTAGGGAAATTTTTCGCGTTCATAAGCCTCTCACCTTTTGGAATAGGATCTGGATTCGTAGCTTTGATACTTTTTAGGAGGGATCTACATACAGTGAGTAAAAGTACCATAAATGTTCATGTTATCGTCGAGATATAAGCCGAAAGCCGTAACTGTGTCTTTTTTATGGACAGTTTTGTCTAGGTCAAGGAACAGAATGTATTTTATTTGAATACTAGGGCAGCTCAGTCAGATAAATTACTGCTTTCTCCTACTGATAAGAAAGTAACTGCTTTTATATTAAATGAAGATATATACATAATAAACATTTTGTTGATATGGAACTACTTCCTCAACAGCTTGGATGGTGCTTTGGTCAATTTGAGATGCAAAGTAAAGTATCTTTTGTCACAAGTATTTCCTAAGATGCTTTTCTAATTGTTTGGAAAATCATCCTTAGCTCTGCATGTGAATGTTTTCATGTTAATGATTTGCTCACTCATGATAATAATATTTCTTTATGGTCAATGCTTCTATAAGAACAAAATCATAGTATTTTAATATTCAAAGCAGCAACTAATGGTGTGCTAAATGAAATGATGCAAGTAATGTTAAAATAGAAGAATATAATAATATAATCTCCAGATCTTTAGAGCAACAAATCTAGATAGATATTTGCTTTCACTGCTCCAATGCCTAATTTGAAACATATATCAGATAAAAGTTTACCATTTACTGTAAATGCTGTATATATGTGGGTAGGTATTTGTGAACTATGTGGGTTTATTACAACACTACAAACAAAATGCTTTTTATTGTTTTAAGATAGTCCAATTATAATAATATGTTTTATTCATCTTATGTTTCTAATTCATTTGATTCTAGCTATGTATCATGGAATAGACTTGTATATTTTGACAGTCTTGAATGCAAATATATTCCATAATTTTTGGACTTTTCTATAGTTACATAGTTTGTTACCATTGACTATTCTTACTTATTACTATTTGAGTAGATAAGGAAAAATGTCAGTTCTGCTGGAAACATTTAGCATTAGTTTTTTTTTATTATAAAATCTTCAGTCAGTTGACTTCAACTACCCCAAAGGCCTAATGCATATAGATACTGTGGGGCTTTAAGGGGATACAGGGTAATGAATGGTATCACACAGACTATGGCAAGGCTAGAGATTGTTTTTTTTTAGATCAATTTAGCATGATTGCTACAATTACATTCTTTTAAAAAAATACAACAATTAGATAACATACAGATATTAAGTAAAACAAAATTTGCATCTCTAAGAATTTTCACTGTCCATGAAATATTCCTGTAATATCCTTTTAAAAATCTTTAAATTAAAAGTAGACTTTATATCATTATTTAGTTTATTATATGCAAGTGATCCTTTCTGATATATTGATTTGCAAGTTATATTACTATTGCAGTGCTGTATCTGAAAATATATATTTCCTCTCATATAATAATAGTGGTAATGGTTCTAAATGGTGCAACAAAAGATGATTTTTTATTTTAAAAATAAAAATAAGAACCAAATATTATATGAATTTTTTTATATTCAACCACTAATTGTATTATAAACTATTTTCTTGGAATGTGTACTAAGACTATGAGAGGCCCAATAAAAGGAATTTGTTTTTTTGACAATTTTTGAAATAATAATATAGTAATCCTCAAACTTTAGTTTACTATCAATAAATATATGTACCTAAATATTTAATTGATTCAGCATTTTCAATAATTTCACCATGTATCCTAACTGTTAGTATTTTCAATTGGGTATTTCCCTATTAGCATACATTTTGTTTTAGAAGCATTCAATTTTAGTTTATTTACATTCCACCAATTTATGATTTTTGCCAAGTCAACATTTATCATTTTTAAAGCATTGTCTATAGTTTCATCTGACATGTATATTAATGTATCATCTGCAGATATCTGAATTTTACAATAATCTAAAATTTTACAAATGTCATTAATCTGTAATATAAATAGTAGTGCACCTAGTTTACTACCTTGTGGTACACCAATAGAAATATTTTTTAAGCTTGATAATGTGTATCCAATTTTGGTTTTATGTCTTCTGTCAATCAAGTAGTCTTGTAGAATCTAGAATACAGCTCCTTTAAATCCATAATTTGTAATAATTTATCCCTGTCAATAGTTTCAAAAGTGCTTTGGAAATCCAAAAGAACTGTCACTGTATGTTTGCTATTGTCCATACATCTCCTCCAGTCCTGTAAAACTATTTGTATTGATGTTTCAGTTGAGTCTTTTTTTCCGAATCCAGCTTGAAATTTGGTTAAAATTTTATTTTCTTCAATAAATTCGATGATCTGTTTGTAAATATTTTCTTCAAATACTTTTTCAACATCTGGCAGAACATGGGCCGCATATTGGCGTACAAGTTGAGGTAGTTTTCTTGGAAATTCATCATATTGCAAACAGTAATTTATCAGGATTAATATTCTTGCTTCAATAATATCAACACATTCATTAAGCAGGTGACAAGCGCATATTCTGACCTCCACCCTCAATGGTGTAACATAATTATGAACAATCACAACATGCATAGCCAAAAGAAAAAATCTCTTGGGAACCCGCGCAACTCACAGTGACTGAGGCATATGTTGAGCCATGATTAATCAATAATTATTATGTTGTATTACAGATAACATTCTTCCTGGGCACAATATGTTCAGAAATGTTGAACTATTGTCTAAAGCACATGATCCGTGAGCCACGACCCGTTTTAAGGACAGATACAGCTGTGGAATTTGGCATGCCATCTTCGCATGCTCAGTTCGCATGGTTTTTTGCTACCTATATTTTCTATTTTGTATTTATTAGGTAAGTGGTATTATATTTCATTTCATATTGTCAAGGATTATTGCTATCTTGATGATCCTTGTCATCTGAATGTCTACCAGAAGGCCATGACCAAGCCCGAGATTCACAAGACTAGTCAAAAAATCTGTTGCTCTCATAAATTCATGAAGTATACAGGGTGTCCGCAAAGTTGGGGTTTTCCTTTTCAGAAACAACTACGCTTGAAATAACAAAGGTAATGTGTAGTAAAACGAGGGCGACCAAGTAAAAAAAATAAAGGAAAAAGTACTCACTCTCCAGTTGACTAAAAGGGCTAAGTACGTCTCTGCCCGAAATCATGCCGCTCCAACAGAAAATGAAATCAGCTGATGCGCTACCGAGCAGACGCAGGCAAACAAGGAAGGCAAAATGTTGCGTAAAAAGTCTAGGTATTGCATCCCGCCCAATCGATTTTGGAGAATAAATGGTCCAATGAGCATACCTTTCACCATGCCAGCCCAAACATTCACCGAAAATGTTTGTTGAAAATGTGCCCGACGGACAGCGTGCGGATTTTCTACTGACCAAACATGAGTGTTGCGAAAGTTATTCACCCCATTACGCGTGAACGTAGATTCGTCTGTCACCAATATGCACTTCAAAAAGTCCGGATTATTGTCATGTTGATGTAACAACCACTCACAAAACCGCACTCTTGCTGGAAAATCGTCAGGTTGAAGGGCTTGTACACGTTGGACGTGAAACGGATACAGCCCCTCTTCACGCAGCGTTTGCCACACTTTAGTTTTTGATACTTGCACTTCTCTAGCCACGTCTCTAGTGCTTGTTGAGGGATTCTCGTCTACGCGATTACCTCTACACGCGTGACCGTAACCGTCGGTTGAAGGTTGCATACTGACCTGACACACTGACCCCGACACAGTTCTGTCGTTGGGTTCAGTCAGTGACCTTGTACCAGTCGGTGATGTCGCGGCTACAGGACGGTATTCAGATATTTTTGATGTTACAGAGCCCTTTATCTCGGTTCCCTTAAGACATTGGTGTATATGGTACTAAAAAAAATTGCTTATGTTTTCAAGATCTTCACGTCGTGTAAAGGAAAACACCAACTTTGCGGACACCCTGTATAGAGCATCTTGTGCTTTATGATCTATCTTTAAAATTAGATCTGAGTATTTCACAGTGATAGAAACAGATTTTTCATATTGAAGTACTATGCTGCGACTTGTCTTGTGACTTGGTATCAGTCAAGAAATTATATGTTTCCTAATTATTTTAGTCATGTCATTAACTTTGAATTTTTAGTGCAACGTTTTTATTCTTATTTTTGTTTTTAATTCTCGCCCTTCACACAAAGTAGGTTTGTTCTGATAGGTATTCCCTTGAATCATGAACTGCGCAAAATTACTATTACAATTATTATTACAAATTATGACCGGTGCAGAATCTGAGATTGTTGCCTCCGCCAAGAAAAGCATGGCGGGATGATTAGATTGCAGGTGGTGATGAACAGCATCAATGTTGCTGAACAGATGTTTAGTCACCGATGTTGTTCCCTTGAGTCCACCCTCCACACGGACATTCCGAGGATGGAGTGACTTTACGTCCGAAATTCTTAGTACTCGAGGGATCCATCACCATTAATTTCTTTATTGGAGGAGATGACCGACTGCGTAGCTTAGGTGTGGAAACATGCGGACACACCCTAGGAAAACCTAACGGGTGGTACCGCCTCGGTCGACTGGTCCTTGTCTACCACCTTTCATGATGCTAAATAGACCTAAAATGTCCCGTTGGCGAACTTGTACCGCCACCCGGCAATCGGTATTGAGGTATTCCTTAACGCGTGTACAATCACTTGAATGGGAAGAAGTTGTATACTGAATACAAGTTCCGGCAGGGCTATTGCGTAAAAAATCTATGGAATATGATAAAAAAAACTATAAAATTTCAGCATGTTGATTAAGCAGGCTAGTGTGCAAATAGTTCATTCCGTGCTGGCTACAAGAAAGCATGAAGTGAACGTTAGATAGTTGCAAGTTGCCGCTTTGTCGGAAAACCTAGATAATGTCATAGAAAACTGCATAATTTCAAAAAAAAAACGACATAATGTCACTTTTCTAGTATTGTAATACCCCTGCGGAACAAGCATTTGCCACGGCCCCGCTCAGTAGGGTGTAATTTTTATAGACCTGAAAATAATTTCAAATGGCTAGTTCATAATGTTTTTTTATAACTAGTCTAGTTCTCAGACAGTATTCACAACGCAACTAGATTCTCGTTTTTTGTAGATTGCACCACATGAACAATAATACTATAATACAGAACTTGAGCAAGTTTCTGATTATCTTCTCATCAACGCTGCTAGCTGTCTCACTCAGCATAGCTCGGATATATCTTGGCTACCACACGTTTTGGCAGGTGTTTTGCGGAGCTGTGATAGGAATCTTGTTTGCCACAGTGTGGTTTGCTCTCACATATCTCGTGCTAACGCCCATGTTCCCACAAGTGGTACAATGGTGAGTATTTCCTGCATTAGCTTTATTGAGGTTTGTATATATTATGTATACGCCATCGATTGGTATATTTTGGGAAAAACGCTCGTACACATCCTAGGGGACAGCTTTTCATCTATAGCCGCACAATACAGGGGAAAAAATCTCACTTGAAAATTGCTTCAGGCGTTCAACATGTTATTACAATCATTACATGAAAAGTCCATATCGAAATTTTCTATTGAAAGTCAAACTTACCATTTTTTTATATTTCTCTGGAACGGTACGAGAAATCGCCATAATACACCGAAATAACCTGAATACTTCTTGTAAGTCAAAACGTTTATGCGTTACTTGGTTTACGGGATCTAAGGTACGGCTACGGCGCATACGAGGTCGAAGGCAAAACACCCGGTATAATAATAATAATAATCTATATGTACAAAGATAACAAACAATATGAGTAAATAAATATAAAATCAAAACAGGCCCAATAGAAGGCATCGCCTGTACATGGACCAATAATTTAAGTTGAAACTGTAGAATGCAAATGACAAAAAAGGACAAAAATTAGCTACAGTAGATTATGTATTTAGTTGATGTTCGTATTTATGAGTTTATGAATTTCAGTCCTAGATATAGAATGTAGCCACTTTTTTAAATTTCTTTTGAAACAATTTCCGAACCGTAAATCTTTTGAGTCTTTAGGTATAATTTCATAAAATTTAGGCGCTAAATAGAGATATGATCGCTGCATTATAGATTTATGCGGTTGAGGAACTACTGTGCCACGAATTTTGTACCTAGTATAATGATTATGTTTAATTTTTTGGTCGGTGTTTACAAATTTATGGTAGTGAGTGATACTGTGTAAGAAATAAAGCTGTCTTATATCATACATTCGAACATCTGCGTATAATTTTTCAGTGGGATAAAGTTTCGGTTCTTTAAATATCATTTTTAGAATACTTTTTTGAAAAACATCTAAATTATAGATATGTGAGGAACATGCAGCTCCCCATGCTAATATACCATATGTGAGATGAGGCTCAATCAGTGCATGGTATAATGTTCGAAGATATTTTTCTGTCAATATATTCCCAAGGTATTTTGTAGGATAAAAATCTAACTTTCTTTAAAATATAATTGACATGGATGTCCCATCGTAAGTGAGGATCCAAGACCACTCCAAGGTATTTTATGTTGGGCACTCTATTAATTTGCATTTTTTGATCATTAATGTTGAAGGAGAAATTTGTGTAATTTGGCAGATGTCTAGCATAAGATCCAAATGGTAAAAAATGTGTTTTAGAATAGTTAATGCTTAATTTTCTACTGTTAAACCACCGAATAATTTAGATAAAATCATTTTCAATTACATTTTTCAGATCAGACCAGTCAGTGCCTTCATATAATATTGCAGTATCATCTGCAAAACTAGTTATTTTGCCAACACAATTAATTTGGAAAATATCATTTAAATATATATTGAATAACAGCGGACCTAAGACAGTTCCTTGTGGGACACCACACTTAATATACATTTCTTTACTAAACGATCCTGATATCTGCACAGATTGTGGGCGATTTCACAAATAATTTTCGATCAGTGAGTACGCGTATCCTCTGAAACCAATTCTCTCCAATGCTTCTAATAATAATTTGTGATTAACTGTGTCGAAAGCTTTCTTTAAATCAACAAAAATGCAGATTGAAGGGATTCTGTTATCAATATTTTGATGTATTTGATTTACAATTTTAGTTATTGCGTCCGATGTAGCCTTCCCTTCTGTAAATCCATATTGATTTTCACTTAAAATTTTGAATTTTGTGAGGTATCGAATCATTCTAGTAGATAAAACTTTTTCAAAAACCTCTGCTACACTGGATATTATTGATATTGGTCTATAGTTGTTAACATCTGTTTTTGTTCCTGATTTATGTATCGGTATTATATTACCTTTTTTTAAAATCGAGGGATATATGCCAGATTCAAAGCATTTGTTGATTAGGTAAGTGAGTGGTTCTGTTATGTCCTCGGCTATAATTTTCAAATGCTCGCTTTTAATACCATCGAACCCAGGACTTTTCCGATTTTTTAAGGACATAACAGTGGTGTATACTTCACATTGCTCGACTTTATCCAAAATAAATAAGTTCAAAGTTCTTTTTGGAGGCTGAGTATTTTGTACATTTGCTTGTATATTACTTGCTAAATTTTCGCCTATGTCAGTAAAGAATTGTACAAATTCATCGCATATCTGTTGAGTATTTTTTAATACTGTTCCCAATGTTGTATTTAACTCAATGACATACTCTTTAAATTTTGTTTTCCCAGTAATCTCATCAATAGTTGTCCAAAGCCGCTTAGGATCATTTAAGTTATTATTCAATTTATTTAGGTAATGTTTTCGTTTGGTTTGCCTTGCAAGCTCTATAAATTTATTTTTATATTGGTTGTAGTAGTTGGCGTTAGTTTCATTACATTATATAGTCTTACTTTTTCTATTGCCGATGTTATTAATCCTTTGGTAATCCAGGCATTTCTGCTTTTCTCTTTGTGACTAATTATTACTTTATATATATATACTAAAATTGTATCATGACCCTGGCCCATTCTTTCAGGAAAATATCCGAGATGCTCCTCCTGCGGGACACAACATTAATACCGAACGTGCTCTGGTTCGAATATACGAACACTCGGCAAGAGGTGCGAGCGCGGAGTCGTAAGCTGGTCAGCATGAAGTCTCAATGACGTCTGCTCCTCGAAGACGGCTTCGACTTCAGACTCAGATACACGGTCGTCTACTACGTTAAAGCTTTCATATGGTGGCCGAGAAAGAGGTAAAATAGGTGCTGCCCATTTAGGCGATTAAGTGAAATCTGCTCGTGTTGAGAAGTACGTGAGTGTCTGTGAGTTAAAGGTCGTCTAAACTATTTTCCATGATATTTCAACACTTTATGAAGTCTGTTTGAGTGAATAATTTTATAGTGTTTGCGATCTGTTGACATTCAGCAACGTTTCAGAAATATTTTTAGCAAGTGTTGATCGAAGTTTATTTAATTTTTAGCTGACTAGCTGTGACTGACTTTAGCTATGATCATTAGCAGCCATATCGATTTTTGCAATTTGGTTGAATTCTGATTATATTGGTATCGCGAGTAAGTACGAAGTTTTATGTGGTACACCACTATTACTTGACAATGTGAGGGTATGTTGAATGTCACTAGCGTGGATCTTATATACCAGGAGAAGTGTCGGCAATGCTGTTCGTGCTGACAAATCCACCCCGAAACTTGACGCCTAGAGTACCAGTGGTGCTTTGACAGGGTTGCCATTTTGAGGGATTCTTATTTGAGGAATTTTATTACACGTTTCGTGGTTAGAAAGCATCGTCCGGTCTTTAAACCAAACCTACCTCTTTCCATTGATTAAATGTGATTTGGGTTTTTTAAAAGAGGCAATTATTAGTAATGTTTGTGCTTTCTGTCCGAACCATCTGATACTGGACTAAAATCGTGTAATCTCACACGTAGTATTTTAAAAACTAATTATAAAGGCTAGGGACAACTTCCAGATTTTATGAACCATTTTTTGTTTTCATAAAAGAAAGAAAAATCACACTCGAAAAACGTGATTTATAACGGTGAAAACGAAATTTATTCGTAAACCCTGTAAATTTGCAGCTATCTAGCTTTTAGCTCCTTACGCGGGAGATTTCACGATTTAGTTTAGTATCAACACAAGTTGTCACTTTGAGATTAAAATGCTTCCCAATCTCAGATACTCTGATACTCTTCAAGTTTTGGGTTCGTTTTTTTTTCTCATTTCATCGGTTCTTCTGGTATATTGCCTCCATGGTCACTAGGTGATCAGTTGATAGTTGCTTTCACATTTTGCTGTGTTGAAGTATCGTAGAAAATAGTGGATCTGACAGGTTGTTAAGTTGTACTTACCCAAATGAAGCGTTCTGGATACGTATGGTACTTTCAAACAAGAAAATTCTGATAATTTGTTCTATAGTTACTTAGTTTGAATTGGTGCTTTCTATTTTCCACAAACAGATCGATTTGGTATCAACATTTTATCATAAAACATTATATAATTTGTTTTTATACAATATTTTCCCAAATCATGGGGGAAAAACTGAAACACATTATTGTCACGTGAGCTCATGTGCTTCTGGAACTTACTAGTGCCTCATGACGTGAGCTGTCAGAGTGCCTGGTCAGTTTACATTTTGAGGTTAGATGTAACATCATGACTAGTGCGTGGTCGAGTATTTTCTGCAGCATAATAATACAGTTATTATCTGGAGAGTTCCAAATATTTGACTAGATGCTTGGAAAGACGCTTGAAAAAATAACAGATAAATCCACCGGGAGCTGCGAAATTCTTCTATATTTGACGTGATAATAATATGTTTCAGAGTATTTCATTCCTTGGCGATTTACGGCATTTTTATCCAGCAAAAATCGGACGTGACGCTTACTAAGCAACAGAAACTGTTCAGAATAGCTAACAAATTTGTCTAAACTCACTGACACTTTTCAACCGGGATCACTGACCGTACAATTTGACAAAAACTTATCGAAACGTGTCAATTTGCGTATGGTAAAAATAGGAGATGCGTAGCTATTCTTAAAGCGCCTCCGACTCTAGATAAGCGTCTTTTGACAGAAAAATCAACGACGTTCAAGTTGACGTTTTACTTGTCTACATTCTTCTTTGTGTGATTTTTGAATACACAGTGGTGTATATGAATAATGAATGTGTTTTTAAACAACGTGAAAAGTCTGCCCTTCCTGCTTAGTATTTGGTTTTTTAACATCGGAATGGATCGTGGTCTATTAAGGGCGCCGAAAATTACACATATTTCAAGTTGATCACATCTAAATATTTCAGAACATATTTGGTTATTTCAAAAATAAATTACTTCTATAGAATTTCCCAAAATCTCCATATGTATTCCAAAAAAATTGTGTATTCTTTCGCATTTTTTATATTGTTCAACCATCTTTTTTACAGCAAATGAAAATTACAAATTCTACAAAAAAAAGTTATGAGAATCAACATCAACAAATATGCTAAGATTAAGTTAGAACTACAGTGGTCGCATGAAAAAAATTGTATATGCTATTTCATATTAAAATTTAAAAATCATTTATTGCCACAACATTTAGAAAACGTCACAAAATTAAGTAGTCATTATCATAACTACGAAACTAGAGGAAGTATAGATTTTCATCTGCAAAATTGTAATAGTAGAATAACTAGCAAATCTGTATTTCAAAAGGGAGTATTTGAAATACAGATAAATTGAATAATTTTAAATAGTGCCGGAATTAAAATTTATGAATACTCAAATTGCATAGAGATATAATTAAATAATTAAACAAACAAAAATGAATACATAATAATGATAATTCAACTTTAGTTTTATTTTCACTTATTTTTTGTGTCTGATATAGATTTGAAGCAGGGAAGTTAAGTATTCGAAAAAATGCTTTTAGACAGAAGTTCTTAAAAAACAACGAACACTGGGCATTTGAAGAATATTCAGGTAATATGAAGCAGAATGTTGATGAAAGTTTAAAAATATTTGAATGCATAATTTTCATAGAGCTGTTTTCACGGCCGAAAAACCCCCTTATGGACCTTCATCCTTTCTAAAAAAAAACTTTCAGCATCTTTGCTATTGTTGAAAGGTTGTCTTCGCGATGAGGGCATAATTCTCACGTATTTGGTTTATGTATGATGTAAATAAATTGTTGAAAAATGAATTCGTTTGAATATAAGTGGTAAATTAAGATATATTACTGAATTTTCTTAATTTTTTTTGTATAAAAATGGCGAACCTTGTAGTAACTCGCCGAGTTTTAGTGACTGAGCTAGTTAATGTCATTTGGAAGACTGTATTTTCATTCATTTTTTAGTTGTAAAAAGCGATAGGTGTCTTTTGATATTGAATGTTTAACATAATCTATGAAATGTAAAATCCTCGACCGTGTATTTTTCGAGCCATCGATGGATGGTAGTTTTTTAGAATATCGAAATTTCGACTGGCTCAAATCATACATCTTTTAAAAAATGCATTTACTTAAATCATCATTTTTGTAAACTATGATACAATCATTAGGCGTTTTCATCAGGAATAAACAATAACTGAGCACGTGGTGAGTGGAATTTAGAAAATTTTTGTAGATCGTCAGATTTTCGTAAGCAACAGAAAATTCATAATGGTAACAAATGCTTAGTTGGTTTTACTGATGAGCACGCATATTTTCCTTTAACTTTTGCACTGTGTGCATTTACGTTTTTAGAGACATTATGTAGTAACAAGATATTGTATGTTAAGGATATTTTTTGAGATAGAGACATTATACAGGGTGTTCGATAAATAGACGGAGATATTCGTTGTTAAAAAATATGAAAAAAATTCTATAAACATGGGTCCGTAAATGCAGAGTTTTCAAGATACAGGATGGTAAAGTAAAAAAAATTGTATCTTAAAAATATTTACTGGATTCTGTTGAAATTTGGCAATATTATTTGTTGTATTAACAGGCTAATTTTTTATTTTTGTGATTTTTTAGCAAAAATGAATAAAGAAATGTTGTCCAGTGACATGCAATAAAACGGTTTTTATTTTTTTTTTCTCCAGAACGAAGTGAGATACGAAAAAATACAAGATGAAGAACTTGTATTTTTATATGCTTAATCAAACAAATATTAAAGTTACAAGAAAGACGTGCATTTCTTTTTTCAATAATATTCTCTAAGGTGCCCCCAGGGACATCGCTGGACCTAATAATTTTAATTTATTTAGGACTACATTACCCTCTTAATACAACAAATGATATTGGCAAATTTCAACAGAATCGAGTAAATATTTTTTACGATACTTTGTTTAAATGTATCACCCTGTATCTTGAAAACTCTGCATTTCCGGTCCTATGTTTATAGAACCTTTTTTTCATACTTTTCAACAAGGAATCTCCGTCTTTTTTTAGAACACCCTGTATAGGAAAGATTTTTTAAAATTCGGCAAAGAGAAATGAATTTGTGATACATGTCTTTTGTTAAAATCTATCTCAAAAATCCTAGGTATTTTAATTTATTTATCGTGCAATTTAATGTGGTTACTTGATTCATAATTTATTTTGTTGCTAATTTATTGTATTTTTTTATGTAACATTCATTGATATGATGGAGACTAAAGCAGTTTTATTATATAAATAGCAATAAAGGATGCCCTTTTTGCCCTTTTCTGGTTTGTTTTATTTATGGTAGTTCGCGCCGAAATAAACTAGTGATATAACATTCATGCAAATAAAAGACAGTCAATGCAGTCCCGAACTCCGCCAGTGGTGCTTTGACAGTGTTGCCATGTTGCAGGATTTTTCCCAAATTTGGGGATTCTTTTTTTTTGATATAATGTTTTGGTGGAAATCACACGTACGGCATCCCATTTGAAATAAACCTACCCCCTTCCCTTTCTGAAATTTGGGAGATTCTTTTTTTTAAATTCTGGTGGATTTTTGTACTTGTTTTGAAGAAATTCTGTTTGATGCATCTGGCAACGCTGTACATTGACAGATCCGCCATGTGAACGTTTTCCTTAAAGTTCAAGATGCCACCGCTTAAATTTGCTGGTAACTGTTTTTTATATATAGAGAATTTTGAATATGCCCATGCAACCACCAGTATTCAGGTTCCACTTCTGGTGTTACTTCGGCATCCACTTTTTAATGTTGGTGCATTTATGTTGAAAAAAAATCAGGGTTACGACAAAACGTGACACGATAGGAAGACATTCAAAATAGAATTGAAACCTATATTCCCACGCCCAAGTGCGAAAGCACTCACTAGAAATCCATGAAGCTGTTCGTGGATTTCGTCATTTAGAACTCGTTCTAATTTTTGTCAAATTGCACGTTAAATTCCATGATGCAAACCTTGCTTTCTTTTCCATTATATTGAACAACTTTATTACTATTATTCATAAAATACCTCAAAACCACAATGTATACGGACAAATCCAAATATCACCGAAGGGGAATATGTACTAGAGAGCAGCGTGGAATACGTATGTTAGAAACAATGCGATGGCAAGCCGCAGTTGCGTCCGTGGTCTCGTCACTAGAGTTGCTAGCCAACGCGGCGCTTCTATCTCTTTCTAATATACGTATTGTCTGGTTGGCAGCATTGTCTACTGTCAGGTAATCCAGAAATGTTTCATTGATGTAAACATAGAAAAACATCAAGGTGACCTTGAAGAAATCCATCTTAATAAATTCCTGAAGAAATTATTTATGTAAAACGTGTAATTAAAACACGTAAACATCGTATCCTCGTTAAATATGGCTATACTCCGCCATCCGTACAATTAGATCGATATCGAACAGTCAGCTGCTAGTCGACCATCACCATCTCCGTTTGTCGATAAGTTAGGATTCGTTTAGCGAATTTTACCGGGTCATCTTCATCCTCTCTACCCGCGAAATCGATTTTCCACAAGAAGCAACATGTCTGATAAATCGCTGTTGCACGTTTTGTTATCGCAATGCCCGTTGAAATAACTATTCAGCGATAATTCTACCGATAAATTAACGAGCACGGCCTACCCCGACGTGTACAGTGATTGTTTTCAATGACGTTGCGGCGATGTGAGCAATTGTTTTTCGGGCTAATTCCTGATTCCAGCTTGCGTTGAGATTAGGTTTTAGCTATCGGCGTAATTATCAATAGAATAAGTAATTTAGATTGTGATATAATGCAAGCAACGGCCTTCGTAGAAGATTGGTTATGCTACAACACGATACTTGGCGAGGGAGCATACGGGGAGTAAGTATAAAGCTTATTATAGGTCAAATACGACTGCTCCTACAGGCAGATACAGCTTTTTTACACTCAGGTGTTGTTGGAAGCATAGCATAACTGAATCTTGCATCAGAAACTTGAAGGACATCTAATATACCTCTCTATCATTTTAGTTTTCTAGTTCTTTGCTGTAGATTACTCATATAATGCTGAATTAACAGTTACTAGACTTAACAATCAAATCTAATAGCCCAAGTAAAAACTGATTTCATCTGACAGGAATGCATTGATGCATCCAAACCACATAGGCTTTATTCAGCTTTTTTAAGGAGTTATTCCATCTGCAGATTCTGCACAGTGGATTCTCCAAATTTTAGAATTATTTTATGTGTGTAGCTACTGTACCAGCAGTAATTGAGACTTTTTCCTATAGTCCATTTATCAAAGAAACTAAACCCAAATATAGTCACATATACTTCATGTGATCAGACTTCAGAATGATCAGCTAACACTAAAAACTGGCAAGGCTGCATGCACCACTATGTCATCTCCCACTCCACCTTCCTGGTTTGGCATTGGCATATAGGCTCGACCGACTCTGCACAATAACTGCTTTGCTCCCCATTTCTTGAAATATATCAATGTGCTAATCACACACTAAACACTGCTGATTATTGTTTTGGTTTAAAGCCTGTCTTGGATAGATTGACTATAGGATTATAGTTGCTTTCTAACAGGAATTAACATATTCTACCAAAAGATACCTAATTCAATTGAGAGCTGTGTCTGCCTGAAAATAAACATATTGTACTGTACTTGTACTTACAACTATTTACCATATTGCATTATTTTTACTGAGAAGACAACACGTTGAAAAAAAATAAGAGGACAGTTGAAGGATGATCTTTCCCTCAATGGTTGATGTCATGTTTAAGTATATACATTGTTTTTTAAAGGAGAATTGAGCTGTAATGGAAACTGTACATGAACATCCAAATACAGCAAAATGCTCAAAAAAGACATTGACTTGTTAAAGCTTCAATTTAGGATACGTTCAAAATTGTTGAATATTACAAACTTGAATATTTGACGATAAATAGAAAATGATATTAGATAGTGCAATATTTGAAACTTATCTTGTGGTTTTTGTGCTCCATGTTTTTTAACCAATTAAAGTCACCTATGTTGAAATTACTGTTAATTTCGTTTCAACTACAAATCAAGATCACAATATACTGGTAACTGACTGGACCAAAGACATCTGTGATGGGCAAAACTTTCTACATATGTTGTTTTTTGTTTTAAATGGCAAGAGAAAACATGGAGTTCTATAATTTTGGATGCTTTCACAAAATTCATTTTCCATTTAAAATAAGCTCTAGATAAATTCAATATTACAGACCAGATTAATAAAATATCAGGAATTACAAAGGATCCTTTGCATACACACTCAGTGCATTTAGGAAAAAAAGTCTTTGAACAATGTTCAACAAATTGCAATTAGAGTTAGAGCTGGTAGCAATTTGAATGGTTTAAAAATTTTACTTTCATATTCAAATAAATTCAAAATTGCATTTACCTGTAATCATAAGTTATTTATCACTTAAAAACTGAAAACTTGGAGGCAAAATAAATTGTTTTAGAAAGCAATTTTGAATTTTGAAACAGAGTTGTCTATTGGTACATTTTTTATCTGACCACAAAAAATATTTCTTGGCGGTATGCATTTTATGTGATGTCTTATTTATCTAATTTTTCTTCCCATGGCGATTGGCAGGAAAGTGTTGTGATCCTGAAAAATTTATATGTGCTTTTTTGATTTTATTAGATATATTTAATACATAATTTCTCCATACATTAGCCCTTTATAAGAATACCTTCAATGAAATGAGAACATCAAACTATCACAGGGGCTGGGCCTAGATTGTCAGGTGGTTGTTACTTTGTTGACTGCCAGCAGGTGAGCTTAAGGATCATGTTCTCAGACATGGACGCCCTCAGGAATTTTTCTCAAGGGGGTGATTTGACATCAACAAGTTTTTGTATATCATGATTATGTATCGGTCTCCAAAAATTTTTGAAGACTGGAGGTAGTTGATCCTTGGCCCTTAGATAACTTGGAAAGCAGCGCTTAGATTTTGATGAAATTTTGACACAAAGTTACCACAATGCCAAAGACAAAAAACCTTTGTAGGTGAAAATTAGTTATTTTTGGATGTTCCAGAGATTCCTGCTCTTTTTAACAGAAACCTCTTTGGAGATGGGGAATTGGGATTGTATGTAAAAAAACAATAAAATTATATTGTCTGGTAGAAAACTGTTAACTTTATATCTCACACCCAATTAGTTTTATGACACAATTGCAAATAACATAATTGAAACAAACACAAAAAACCGTAAACTTGTGACATATAAAAATATGGAGATTGGAAGGATAAAAAAAATTATCAGATATTGTACCAGATTTAAAAAACTGCTGCTAAAGAAATTATTTGATTGTGATGGTAATAAAGCATATTTTCTCTCAAATCAAGTTATACAATTGATAAATGATAAATCTAAGAAGATGCCTAACACTATGCTATATTTGGACAGTCTCATTACAATATCCATTGCAACAGCCATGTTATAAAGTTGGATCACAATAATTCCTTTAAAAGTAACACAAACAGACTCCCATTTTCCTTTTAGAGAAACTTATTTATTTAATAATGACATTAACCTTCCAAACAAAGATTACCCCTCAAACTTGCTCAGAATTATTCCTAGGATTTCACATTCTAAGAATGTCTCAATGATGGCAAAGCAAACTCCATAACCTAGAACAACAATCTGAGAAGTGTGAATGCTGATGTTAAATATGTTGTAAGCATAAATGGTTGGCACTGCCATAGTACATGGCTTCCAATTGGGTTTGGTATCTCCTGCAGGATATGCTGATAAATATACTAAGTGACATATAAATCTGAACACCCAGTTTAAATGGTTTTATTTTAATAAAATTTTGTATAAGTACTTAATGAAGCATAATAAGTAAATGATAAAAATTTCAAAATGATTGCACTGCTTTAAAGCCCTTTGACCTTTAATAATGTGTAGATGCACCCTGATGTGCTACGCATTCTCCAACGCGCCTAGGCATGCTTTTGATCAGGTGGTCAATGTCCTCCTGTGGTATCTCATTCCAGGCAACCACCAACTCCTCTCGAAGTGCTTTTAGAGTCTGAGGAGGACGTTGCAAATTGAGCAATCTCCTACCCATCATATCCCACACGTGCTCAATTGGGGATAAGTCGGGAGATCTTGGTGGCCATGGTAACAATGTGACATCATTATGTTGAAAGAAGTCTATTGTGACTCTTGCAACATGTGGTCGGGCATTATCTTGTTGGAAAGTTGGATCTGCCAGGGTGTCAAGATAGGGTAAAAGATGGGGTTCTAGAGCTTCGTGGATATAACGCTGCGCGTTCATGTTACCTCTGATGAAGATTAAAGGAGACCTGGAACCATAAGCTATAGCACCCCAAACCATAACTCCAACAGTGTGATGAACATGTCTTTCAACAAAAAACTGTGGATTCCTCCTTTCACCACGTCGCCTTCTAACCCTGGCACGACCATCGTGCATGCTTAAACATAATCGAGACTCGTCACTAAAGACAATACTGTTCCATTCCTGATCCCAGAGTGACCGTTGTCTGCACCACTCAAGGCGATTACGTCGGTGTTCTCGAGTTAAAGGGAGGACCCAGTTTGGCCGGTATGAAAACAAGCCAAAACTTCTCATTCGTCGGTAAACACTTCGCATGCCAATAGGTCTTCCGTGTTCTGCAAACCATTCATTTGCAATGGACCTGGTAGTGGAGAAACGGTCCCTTAAGGCCAATAATCTTAGGCGGCGATCTTCACGGTCTGTTGTTCTACGGCGGCGTCCAGTGCCCCTTGCTCTTTGCGTACGGTCTTCTCGAAGCCATGCCTGACAACACCTAACCGCAGTGTCTACACTTCTTTGCACTCTAACTGCAATTGCCCGAAAAGAAAGTCCAGCTTCCCGAAGTCCCACTATACGGCCCCTATCGAACTCACTAAGTTGACGAAATCGTACAGGTCTCCGTACTCTAGGCATCGTAACCGATCGTAAAGGATGTCAAGAACCAAAATCCGCCAACGTTGATTCGTTACTGCGGCTGAAATATTCATTTTTAGAGCGTTAGTGAATTAAAAAAAAAGCAGTATAAAAACCGGAATGTCCAACTGATAAGGCTGAACATTTTTTCACTTGTTATTTACAGTAAGATAAATACATTCACCAACTTTTATTAAAATAAAACCATTTAAACTGAGTGTTCGGATTTATATGCTGATTAATAAAGACATTTATTATTATTATTATTATTATTACTTAGTATACTTTTACCTAACTTCCATTACTTTATATATTTGATTCCATCAAAAAATGAAATCAAAATAAATATTGTATATTGCAATTGCAGAGTAAGGCTTCTAATCCATAGGACAACACAGGAAAAAATAGCTTGTAAGATCATCAACCACGCTAAATACAAGAATGCCTCATCAAATATCAACAGGGAGGTGATTATCCATAAAATGCTAGACCATGAGAACATTATCAAGTATTATGGAAGAAGGCATGAACCTCTCAAAGAATATATTTTCCTTGAATATGCAGCTGGAGGAGAACTATTTCAACTTATTGGTAAACTTTTAATAGTTTTGCAAAACTATCATTCTTTTCCTGAAAAGTTCAAACACACACAGTTATATTTAATCTTCAAATATCTTTTGTCTTGTCTAGTTTTATAGCTTTCTGAAGCCTAATGGCGCTTCTAAATAGACAATATTTTTCGAGCCTGTCTATCTATATCTTTAACATCTCCGACCTATTCCATGTAGTGCTCTTATATGGCCAAATTATTAAAATTCTACCTAATGTAAAACAAGCTGTTGCGGTCAGTTATTCTTGCCTGATCTGATGTGAAATTCTTCCAGGTTATGTGTCTACTCATTCCAGACAATATTGCCAAGACATAGCTGATAGATCCAAGATAAAGCCTATAAATATTGCTTGCAAAATTTCAGCTTATCATCTTCATTCCGAGGCTTTCTCCTTTTATCGTTTCATTTAAATGGGCTAATGCATTTTTTAGAGCCTGACGTTGGAATGCCTTCTTGTGATGCCCAGAAATATACAAGGCAGTTGCTCTGTGGCTTGAAATACCTACATGATCTGGGAATCACTCATAGAGACATAAAGCCCGAGAACTTACTGATAAGCCAGGATGATCAACTGAAGATTAGCGATTTTGGAATGGCTACTATGTTCAGATTCAAAGGCAGGGAGAGATTGATGGATAAAAAGTGAGTTTTCGATTTTATTTGTTATGTTTAATTTAAAATCTCTTACTCTTCCTACAGGTCTATCTTTAGCAGTGCAAATGAAGGTAAAATATTTCGCTCGGCCGTTAATGTATAAGTTATTCCAAGTTAACGCACTTTTTTCTAATTGTGAAACATAGTAACAAACCCTTATGCACTTACCTAGTTGAATAATTTGTTCATCTCAAATATATATATATATATAACTTGAGACGTGGTCATTGTCGTCTAGACCAGTTAGGTGAAAAATTAAAGCTTCCGCTTTTTGTTGGGTACTTCGACAAGATTTAAGCAAAGAGGACTCTTTATACTTTTTTAATTCTCTCTAGCTTTCAATGGACTTTGCCATCATCATCAGGAGCTGCAATTACAATGATAACAGTAGCAACAAAGGTGTAAAATGAATTTAAATTGACTCAACTTACAGTAGTATGTGAGAATGTTGCTAATTGTTGTTTACGCATATGATGAGGGAAACGTCCAGTAACATGGTGAGAGCTGAATAGGTTGCACAATAGTCAAAATTTATACAAAACATGACAAGAACACGTTAAAACAGATTAAAAATTATTTTAAAAATTAGAACATTACATCGTGAAACCAAAAATGAAAGACAAAGTCCCGCTGCTTGGCTTAACCAACACAGTCTACTCCATCAATTGCAACAACTGCAACCAAATATACATAGGTCAGACCTCCAGATCTCTTAAAGGAAGGATTACATCACACAAAAGTGATGCTAGGCTTCATCCTGAAAGATGCGCTCTAGCATCTCATGTTAACACAACAGGGCATTCTATGAATTACACAAGTATCAAAGTTCTTGATAAAGAAAAACACCTTTCCAAACGTTTATTCCTGGAAATGTCCCACATTTTCATGAATAACAACTGTATCAACAAAAAGACAGATGTTAAACAACTGAGTGTCATTTACTCATATCTGCTAAACTGCGAAAAATTGGAGAACTTACATATCTCCCCAAATTTCAACTCTTCACAACCATAATTAGAATCTGTGTTTTGTCCGTTTCCACCAGTAAATTTCATTCCACTCAAAATACAATAATTCTCTCCTCACGATTTATTAATAATTGTTAATTTAAATTCCCATTAATAATAATATAGTTTATTCAACTGCCTCTGGTCGGTTTAACAAATTCCATCATAAAATTCTGTAAATCTCTTCATCTGAAGTGATTTGGCAACGTTTTTGGCACACGCCCACAATTCGTTCCATCTTTCAATACTGACATTGACATCCTTCGGCCTTCTGTCAAAGGGTTTCATGTCACTCATCAATTCATCATTCCATGACCACTAATTTGTGCAATCATCAGGTGGTTTCACGATGTAATGTTCTAATTTTTAAAATAATTTTTAATCTGTTTTAACGTGTTCTTGTCATGTTTTGTATAAATTTTGACTATTGTGCAACCTATTCAGCTCTCACCATGTTACTGGACGTTTCCCTCATCATATGCGTAAACAACAATTAGCAACATTCTCACATACTACTGTAAGTTGAGTCAATTTAAATTCATTTTACACCTTTGTTGCTACTGTTATCATTGTAATTGCAGCTCCTGATGATGATGGCAAAGTCCATTGAAAGCTAGAGAGAATTAAAAAAGTATGTCCTCTTTGCTTAAATCTTGTCGAAGTACCCAACAAAAAGCGGAAGCTTTAATTTTTTATATATATATATATATATTAACTTGTCTTGTCATATTTTATATAATTTTGACCATTGTACCATGTATCCAGCTCTCACCATGTTACTGGACGTTTCCCTCATCCTATACGTAAACAACAATTAGCAACATCCTCACATACTACTGTAAGTTGAGTCAATTTAAATTCATTTTACACTTTTGTTGCTACTGTTATCATTGTAATTGCAGCTCCTGATGATGATGGCAAAGTCCATTGAAAGCTAGAGAGAATTAAAAAAAGTATAAAGAGTCCTCTTTGCTTAAATTTTGTCGAAGTACCCAACAAAAGGCGGAAGCTTTAATTTTTCACCTAACTGGTCTAGACGACAATGACCACGTCTCAAGTTATATATATATATATATATTATTAGATTAAAAACACAATAATTATCAACATACTATTTAATTGAACGTATTTATGTGATAGAATTCAGTACATACATTGTAATGGTTATACTTCCAACACATACAAAATAAGCTCAGGCATTCCACAGGGATCAAACTTGGGCCCACTTCTACTTATTCTATTTATAAACGATCTGGGTAAAGTAATTGCATCAAATAGATTGATTTATCTAGATGATTTGGAAGTATTCTCTGAAATGGATAATTGTATTGATCTGCAGTGAATCGATAATTGTATTCATGAATGGTATGTTAACAATAAGATGGCTCTAAATGTACTAAAATGCAAAACTGTCACTTTTTATAAAGAAAAACCCTTTATGTGTTCAACATCATTGATAAGACATCTTTGAAACATTGTACTTCTGTTTGACTCACAAATCAACTTCATCACACATATCAGTACTAAAGTTGCGGTAAGGAGCTGCCGATTATTCAACAATGAAACAATTTTACAGAGCTTATTCAATGTGTATACTAAACTAGAGTACTATTCCAATGTTTCGAATTGTTACTATGTATGTCATAAAGTGGGGGTTCAGAAGAAGTTTTCAAAATACTTTGTATTAAGAAAGCACCGTATTCACTTAGAAGAAGGTATAGAAAATCAGCTCCTATTAAATCTTTATGGCATGGACAGTTTGGAGTTCATATCGAAACTCTTTGATATAAGTTTTGAATAAGATTTTCCACAATGAATCAGATTGTTCAGATCTTGTATCCTGGATTAAATTGAATCTGTCACTGTTCAATTCCAGATACTTTCATGCAGCTAAAATAAATCTTATGCTTAAATCACCTTTAATAATAATGTGCACAAAGAATCTCACAACATGCTGATATTTTCGATTGTAGTGTTAAAAACTTTAGTACTGCCGCGAGTTTACATTTTGCTCTATAAATGGATGTAATCTGTTGGGAAATACATACTATAATTATCATTATTATTCGTGCATGGATTTTTGCTTAATGTTTTCGAAAATATGCTGATTTAGTATACATCACCTTTATGTTTTAAGGTGTGGAACAAAACCCTATCTAGCGCCAGAGGTTTTAATAGAACCCTATAAGGCTCAACCAGCAGATTTGTGGAGCTGTGGTATCGTCTTAGTAGCTATGCTGACCGGAGGTGAGTGTATTCAAAAAATAGTTGTTGGTATCATTTCTGAAGTCCAAAATTTTAAACGCCCACATGCAAGTCGCAACTTTGATTTTATGCATAATATTGATGTTATCTTGACAACTCTGCACATCTAATGTAATGCAGTAACGCATTTTCTGTCGATATGAGAGGTCAGTGCGTCTCGAAAACTTCGCATTCGTGAGAGACACTAGCATTGAATTTCAAGCGCCCAAGGCATTTTTACTATACAGGTTGACAGGTAAATAGGTGTAAAACATTTTAGGAGGTGATAGTACAGCTCCTTTGCTATCAAAATTAGTATATAATACCATACCCTATATTCAAAGGTTAAAAAGTTATGGAAGATTTATTTTTTTTTAAAAAACAACCCAGATTACAGAGTAAAATAGTTGAGATAAAAAAAGTTGGTGATTAAACATTCTTTTTTTTCGTGGTTTCAGGTTATTATTTAAATAAATAATTCTCATAAATTAAAAAACATATGAAAACACTACTGAAAACGTATTTATTTTCATTTAAATGAAAATTTTTATTTTCAACTTTCACATTAAGAAGTCTTTTTTTTCAAAAATCATAATAAAGAAAATGTACAAATAACTGCAAAAACTTCCTCGTTTCATTAGGTTTCTAAAATGGTATAATAACATATCCATTTAACAAAACAATATTACTTTGCTAGAAAGGACCCCTAAGCGCATTTCATTGTACTGAGCAGGTAAACCGAGCCTTTCATGGTTCGACCCTTTTTGTTATTTTTTGTGCCCTGTGCCGTTATTCGGGTTTAAGTATTCGGAATCTGTCGTCGCTCCTCGGAAGCAAGCTCTGCGTGTGTTATGAATTGACACAGCTGACGGATCAAGGAAAGGGAACTAACGCTTAGGTTAGTTAGTAGAATATCAACCTTTAACGCGGTAGGACGTACTTTCACTTTTTTGATCAGTTTTAATAATGACGAGTTACCGTAACGAAGAATAGGCTGATGTTCTGTTTTGTTATGGTTTATGTGATGGAAATTCCGTTGAAGCCAGGCGAGAATACGAAAACCGTTTTCCGAATCGGCGAATACCGAGTCATCGAGTATTTGTTTCTGTGTACCAACGCGTCAAGGAAAGTGGACAGGTTCATGAGAGACGTCATGATGCTGGTAGACCTCGGTTGTTTAACGACGAAGATCAAGAGGCAATACTGGAATGCTACGGCAGAGACCCGACGACGTCTACACAAGTTATAGCAAAGCAGCTTGGTTTAACTCAGTCGAAAGTTTGGTTCGTTTTGCATTCGGCGAGACTTTACCCTTTCCATTACACACCGGTTCAAGTATTAGAAGAAGGAGATCCCGCAAGAAGAATTGATTTTTGTCGATACATGCTTCATCGGGATCAAGAAGAAAACGACTATTTAACTAAAATATTGTGGACCGACGAGTCTAAGTTTGACAGAGAGGGGACAACAAATTATCACAACTAACATTATTGGGCCCCACGAGAGGCAAATCCCCACATGGCAAAGCCAAGAGCCCATCAAAGATTTTCGGCAAACGTGTGGATGGGAATCATTCATACGTATCTAACTGGACCAGTTTTTTTGTCTGACAACCTGAATGGCGAATCCTATGAAAACTTTTTGAGATCCGAACTCTGGGAGTATCTCGAAGACCTGCCTCTGGGATGCAATGATCTACCAACACGATGGCTGTCCCGCGCATTTCCGTCTGGGTGTTAGACAGTGGCTGGACGAGAAATATCCTTGTCGCTGGATTGGCCGAGGTGGACCGACACCGTGGCCAGCGAGGAGCCCAGATTTAACACCGTGTGACTATTATTTATGAAGTCACTGGTGTACCCTGAGCCCATAGACACTTTTGCACAGTTGAAAGAAAGAATTATTGCTGCTGCTGACACTATCACTAACTGGCCGCATCACGCGTACCAACATGAGAAAAAGACTACGGGCTTGCATAAGAAATAGGGATTGTTTTTAAAAAAATCTTAAATCTTCAATAACTTTTCAACCTTTGAATATAGGGTATGGTATTATATACTAATTTCGATAGCAAAGGGGTTGTACTATCACCTCCTAAAATGTTTTTACACCTATTTACCTGTCACCCTGTATAAATTGATTGTTGGACTTTCTATTGCAATAAGACGCGTGTTTGATTTATTTTAACTTCTCTATCTGTTAGTGAAAATTGACAAAACTTTGTACAGAATTACCATGGTCAGAACCAACGGAATCTAATGAAGAGTTTATCAAATGGAAGAAGCACGTCTACCTGTGTGAAACTCCGTGGTCGAAACTCGGCAACACAGCACTCAGTCTAGTCAAACAGATGCTCAATATAGACCCTAAGAAAAGGCTTACTTTGGATCAGGTTCTGAAGCATCCTTGGATGCGTTTAGTTTTCGAGTATGATGGTAAGAATACTGGTCATTTATATTTTTGCATTGAGAGTGGTTTTGTTTTACAGCTTTGTTTAATTTATATGACCAGGACGTGAAAGGAAATGCCGATAGTGCTGCTTTGGCAATTTTAGCTGTATGATTGATTTGAAATTCATAAAGCTAGATTACCAAAGCAAAAATGTCGGAGGATTGCTACGTTGGATAAAAATGGTAAGGTATTTAATAGTATAAGATGTGCATTGCAACAGGGCTGGTCAGCTGTGTAGCAGACAAAATGAGTGGTAGATTTTTTTTTTTTGCTTAAACCACACATGTCTTAGCAGTGTCAGATTGATGGAACACAATATTTAAAATATATTCTTGATAGAACGAACAAATACAATACACTCTTAAAGAAAGCCTCGACAGGAAAAGCACGTTGCGCTCCGGTCCAACGTTCCATTGTGACTATTTAACCCGCAAGCCGAACGCGTCGATCAACACTTCTCCCCACTTCCTCGCGTATACGGTTACCGCGTAATTCAAATTTGAAATGTGAACTTTCCCACTGGACACCTTGTACTTATCCAACACTAGTCTTCGATAATAGATGGCGCTGCTTGTATCGGATACCTTTCAAAAGTCGTTTACTACTAAGTTTTCTATAGCTACAGTGGACCCCCGATAATCCGGCGCCCCCTGTAATCCGACATGTCTTTGAATATGTACGTATTTGACAATCTTCGCTAATGTAGATCACGCAGGTTTGAACAGGTTACAACTTGTACGCGCCGCCGCTATCGTGCTCGACGCGTAAGCATTGTTTTACTTAGTTTGAATTTGACTACTGGTGATAGCGGTACGGCCTAGCGTACGTTCATTGTTTACTATTTATTCATTGTGTATTAAGTATAGTACCTATTAATCTCATCACAAACTCAGAAGCGAAAGCACAAAACAATTAAAGAAAAATGTGATATTTTAGACCGCTTAAATCGCAATGAAACTTTCAGTAGTTTAACAAGTGAATACGGCGTAGGCCGATCTACAATTTATGACATTAAAAGAAACCACGAGAAGATAAAGAAGTTCGTGTCAACTACTGACTGCGGGCCAGGCAAGAGACAGTCACTCTAGAGAGCTGAATATCCAGAAGTGGAAGAAGCTTTGTACATGTGGTTTCTTCAGGAAAGAAATAGGCATGCACCAATTTCAGGACCCATGCTGGCCATGAAAGCTAAGTTTTTTTATAAAGAAATAACAAAAAAAGATGATTTTGTGGCCAGCAAAGGATGGCTAGAACGTTTTAAAATTCGTCATGGCATACGTTTAATGACTATTACAGGAGAGAAACTTTCTAACGATGCCACCTGCATAGAGCCCTTAAAAATAAGATTTTTGCAAAAGGTGAACGATTTAAATCTTGACCCGTCACAGGTGTACAATGCAGACGAATCAGGGCTTTTTTGGCGTGTGATGCCTAACAAAACTCTCGTTTCTTGTAACGTAAAAATCCGTATCTGGACGAAAAGTAAGTAAAGAGCGTGTAACCATACTACCATGTGCTAACGCTGCGGACACACATGCGCTTAAGATGATGGTCATTGGGAAATCTAATAAACCACGGGCCAAAAAAATTGATTTACCTGTACGGACAAAAAAGTGCATGGATGACAAAAGACCTTTTCAAATAGTGGTTTGATGAATGATTCGTACCTGAAGTTAGAAAATGGTTAACAGATTATAATTTTCCTCAAAAAGCGTTGTTGCTTCTTGATAACGCTCCCGGTCATCCGTCTGAAGAACTAACAACTGAGGATAAATCCATCACTGCGATATTTCTTCCGCCAAATTGCACTGCACTGATTCAACCAAAGGACCAGAATATCATTCAGTTTGTCAAGCAAGACTATAAGAAAAACCTACTTCTGAGAGCCGTATCAAAAAACCAACCAATAGAAAAAACTTTAAAAGAATTTAATATGAAAGACTTGGTTTTTGCTCTTTGTCAGTCGTGGAATGCGTTATCGTCATCAACTATTAAATCGTCTTGGAAAAAGCTATGGCCAGACAGAGTCACCACTCCTAGCAACGTTCCACAAATCAGTGTTACTTCGGAAGTTATAGAACAGGTCGCTACTGAAACACAGATAAGACCGGAAGATTTGGAAGTCTGGTGCCGTGGAATGGATAAAGAGGAAAATGTTTTTCATGAAATGTCTGATGAAGAGATTATAAAAGAGGTTTCTAATTATACAACAAACAATCAGGAAAATAACGACGACGTTATTGCAACTACTCCACAAGTCACAGCACAAGACGCAATTAACGCCTTAGAGCCAGGTTTACAATGGGCTGAAGAGAATGATACATCCTACAACGAACTTTTACTTTTGAGAAGACTGAGGGACAAAGCTCTGATCTCGCGTTATAACAACCTTAAACAAAAATAAATTGATGAATATTTCCAAGATTCATAATTTGATAAATTCATTAATGATTTTGATTAATAATTCCTCATTATTTTGGTACATATGTATGTGCATTTATGCTTAATTTTATAATAAAACGTAAGCTCCCTATTGTTATTTAATTTACTAAATTCGACATACATAAACTGTGTATGATTTGTACTTCAAAGTACATATATATATACATAACATATATAATCTTACCATTGGATATGTAATTTGTCGGATTACAAGGTACCCTTTTGTAAAAAAATTCCGGACTATAGGGGGTCTTAGGCAGTGCTCTATAATCCGACAAATTCGATAGTCCGTAGGACCACTGTATATATTTTAACAATAATGTCACTTTTGGAAAATCCGTAGAACTTTTCTTCGAACAAAGCATTTACGTAGGTTTTAATTTCACCATTTTTAGACGGCGCGGACTCCGAAGCAACTATTACCGATTCGGAGCGAGAGAATCAACCTCCTTGCAAGAAGCAGAGATGGAATTCGATGGGGATGGCGGAACAAGAGACGAGATACGCGAACAGAGAAAACCCGCCGCAAGTGGCCTTGTCGCAGCCTACGCCAACTGTTGTTGATGGTCAAAATAATGGCGGCGCCGTTAAGCATAGGGAGGGACAAGCGTCCATCATGCATACTCTGGCTGAGGTAAGGATTTACATCATATTGTTCAAGTTGAACGTTACACGATCAGCGTTTACTGTGAAGACGCCAAAGGACAGCTTCTCTTTTGAGTTGGACTCCATTGCAGAGACAATAGTTAAAAAAAATACACAGTTACCAGTAGAAGGGTCACTCTCGAAAAAACCTTTGATCTTCTGAAGACGACGCCATTTTTTCTATATCAAATTGCTTATTTTGCCAATCAGAGTCGTGAGTCGTATCTATACAGCCTCCCCTTAAATTTCCTGTGTATGTGTTATAAAGAAACTTTGCTTATTTTTACGGCGTGTCAAGGAAAGTCGCAACTTCGAAAACGATTAATCTTTATTTGCAAATACGAATGCTGTTCAAAATCTGTAAACCACTTGTCATACATATCATTGAAGTATCTGAAAAAAAAGTAAACAGTTTAAAATCGAACAACAACTGTGCCGAAATCACTGCTAAAAACGTGCCGAAAAATTTTGGGACACAATGTATTACATTGGATCAATTGTTCACTGAGAATCAGTTCTTTTCCTGAAAATTTGAATTGCTCTACAATAACACCAGTTCCCAAAATAGAAAAATCTAAAAGATGCAGTGATATGAGACCAGTAAATGTGTTACCAGACATTGGAAAATAGTGCATGACCAATTAATGCAGTTTATAGAAGAAAGCAAAATTTTAGTGCGGGTGCATGCAGGCTTTTGAAAAAAATATTCCACAGAAACGGCTTTCCAGTTTGTAACTGAGAATTGGAAAAGAGCCATAGACTCGGAAGAAGTTGTCATAGCTGTATTTTTGGATTTGAAGAGGGCATTTGAAATGATTGATAGATATATTTTGTTAGGTAAAATGAAGGCATATGTTATAACAGGAAGTGTTTTAGATTGGTTTAGAAATTATTTGTCTAAAAGGATGCAAGTTACAAAAGTTAATGACACTATTTCATCAGAAATTGAAAATACGTTGGGTGTTCCACAGGGCAGTATCCTGGGACCACTTCTTTTTATTTTATACATAAATGATTTACCTGCCATAGTCAAAAAATGCAAAATTCAGATTTTCGCCGATGATACTATGATTTATATAAGTACTAAAAATATTCAGACTGGTATCTCTTATATAAATGAAGACTTGAAACTTGTCTCAAAATGGTTAGCATCTAACAGACTCAAATTAAATACAAGTAAAACGAAAGCTATCTTAATCGGAAAGAAACAATGTACAAATCTTCAACTGAATATTGATGGTGAAGATATTGAATTCATAATTCAAAAATTTTAAATACCTGGGGGTTTTTGTTGACTCTCCATTAATTTTTGATATTCATTATGAAAAAGTTATAAATAAGATTAGTAGTAAAGTAGGATATTTATCAAGAGTTTTTGGATGTCTGAGTTCATATAGAAGAAACATTATCTATAATACCACCATTCTTCCAAATTTCTTGTACTATTCGACTGTTCTATATTTAGCAAATGATTCCATTTTTGAAAGACTGCAAATTTTACAAAACAAGTGCATGATAATCACACTGAATAAAGATAATTATACTCCAATTAGACAAATGCTTAGCAAATTAAAATGGCTCAATGTAAAAAATTTTATCAAATATCTTGTAATGATATTCATTTATAAAGTAGAAAATAACATATTTCCATCAAGTCTAACTAATTTAACATCATCAAATGCCGACCATCATTTACAAAATACCAGAAATAAATATGACTTCCATTTAATGACTAAAAAGTATAGCATATGCTACAAATCTGTATTCCATCAAGGGTTGACATTGAAATTATACACAGAGATAAAAGCCCAGAAAACTTTGACAAAATTTAAAGTAAAATTGAGGAATCACTTGTTAAATCTACAATTATAGCTTGCCCAGCATTTACATCATACATCATATGGCTTGAATTTACTAATTCTAAGTTATTTACAATTATTCTGTTTATGCAGCCAAATGTCCTAATTAAATCTTTCTACTACTACTACTATATACAAATAGCGCCAACTAAAGTGCTCTGTAGCATATTATTCAAATCTGTCTTGGAAAAGTCTTCGATTGTAAGTGTTTCTATATTTAGTAGTATTTTGTATATTTTTTAAATGCACTCATTTTTACAATCTTTTTCAAAACTGATGGTAAACAGTTTTAGACAAATGCCCTTTTTCAAATAACACTAATGTATGCTTAAAAACTCTAGTATGGTTACTTGTAGGCTCATTGACTGTGAATAATCGCTTATTTTTAAATACATATATGAGGCCCACACTCCAGAATTATTGTATTACAAAAATTTCACCATAGTCACTACAGTTTCCAAATAACATAATTTCATATCATAATCTAGATTCAAAATTTGAGTGATACAAAACTTCCAGTATTTCAATCCAAATATTCAGTTCTTATAGAATAACATACCTTATTAAACTTATTTCTTAAATACCTCTGGAGGTAACTATCTAAGTCAAAACCTAGAAATCTAGTATTGTCAGACACTGTAATTGTCGTACTACTACTAAGACAAATTGAATTTTGAAAATTTGCTCTACAGTGAGTCGTTCTGAAAAACATAGCACAAGTCTCAGCTTAATGAAGAATTAGCCTATTATTGAACAGCAGGTTTGTACATTGTCCATATTTAATCCCCCCCCCCATATCAAATGCATTATTAGGATCTGTAGCAGTTTGAGCAAATTTGTGTCCTCTGCATACTTAGTGATTTTACATTCAGGTGTCAATATCAGTTGAAAAAAATTACAAACAATCTGGGACATAATATACTGTCTTAACATTAAGCTCATTTGAAATAGCTGTTCCATTATGTCCTGATAGTTTTACTTTTTGCTTATGATTGCTGCCTCTACTGTCATATCTTTCTAATGTTTGCAGTAATATATTCTGATCCAGGCAGTCTTACACTTTAGTAAGGTCAAGAAAGATAACCAGTACACATTTATTGTTGTCCAAGCTTATAAACTGAATAAACTTATGAGTTGATTTTCCTTCAATATACCATGTAAAGTTTCATCAGGTTATTTAGAATTAAAAACTTCAATAATCTGCTGTTCATTGCCTTCTCGAATATTTTTGAAAAAACTCATTGGTCTGAAACTACCAATAGATGACAAATCCCTTTATTCTTGTAAACTGGAATGACAAGTGGTAATCAGCATAAATATTACATTTCAATGAATCGTTGATAATGAATTAAAATAGATCTACTGTAATCAATGCATTTTTTTATGATTATGGTGGATATCTCACCTTCACCAGTACTCTATTTATTTTTTAAACCTTCGACAATTACAATTATTTCATCTTCAGTTACAGACCTGACAAACATCGGAAATAAAATTCGTTTAAGAGTTTACGTTTTCAATCAATTAACTCCACCAAGAATTTGTTGAATTTATCTGCCTGTTTTGCCCTTATTTTGTTTTTGCACTTTCTTGTAATTGCAATTTATATAATGCCCTAATATTTCACTGTACCTAACAGAAACTAACATTCATGTCAATATTCGAAAACTTTTTATTACAGGTTCGCAAACGGTTCTCGTTCTCTCAGCCCACGCACAACGAAGACCTGATGTTAGCTTTGACGCAGAGCCCGGTCACGAAAGACAACTTCCATCACTTGGTGCGCCGTATGACGCGGTTCTACGCTAAGTGCAGCGCCCAGGAAGCGCTTAAACACCTTGCCAGAGCTTTGGATCATTTGCATTTAACGTGGAATACGGATGCTAGCGGAGTGGTAAGTATACATTGCTATACTGTGCTTCTTCTATTTTGACTGGTTTAGTTAGTACGAGGGATGTCTTTTAAGTTTTGCTTATGGAAATAAAACAACACGGTAGGTAGTTTTAAATGACTTTATTGTTTTTCTTATTCCACTCGTTTGCTACCAGATCCAAAACGGCATTTTTGAATGCGTCAACTGCTTCTTCTGGTGACTGGAACCTTTAGCCACGCAATCTGTTTTGAATTTTCGGGAAAGTAAAGAAATCGTTTGAACTTAAATCGGGACTATATGGAGGAAGGTCCAATAATTCCACGTTTTCCTCCGTGAAATACTGCCTTGTTTTTTGGGCTGTGCGAGCTTGTTTTGTCTTGGTGGAGGATGATTCTTCTTTCGGGGTTGATTTTTCGAAGCTCGGTGATGACTTTTGGCAAACAAATGGTGGTATACCAATCCGCAGTAACAGTTCTTTGCTCATTTTTGACACAAATGTCGCGACCATCTTTTTGGAAACACTTCGAGAACGGTGTATGGTGTTTACTTGATGACAGCTGTCATGTCCAGACTACGCGATTAGAGGTCAGCAGTATTCAAACAAGCAACGTTTATTTGTTGTGAAAACTCACTACAAAAATGGAGACAATTACGCGGAAACAGTTCGCAAATTACGTACAATTTTCGGTCGCAATAATGCGCCAGATGAGTCGACAGTTCGCCGTTTAATTACAAAATTTGAGACAAAATTCGCATTGCTGATCCTGAAGACCACTGTTCGTCGCGACCTGGTCGGTCCCTCGAAAATATAGTCGCAGTACGGGAAAGCGTGGTCGCCGAGAATCCAGGCATCGTGGCCAGGAATTGAACCTTACCAGATCCACTCTGCAACGAATTTTGACAAAAGATCTGTGCTTGTATGCTTACAAGGTTCAACTGACGCAAGAACTCAAGCCAACGGACCATGCGCAGCGCCGTGAATTCGTTGATTGGGCTCTGTTGCACCACCAAATTCATGCGGATTAACTCTAAGAAAATCATTTTCTCTGATGAGGCACATTTTCAACTGAACGGGTTCGTCAATAAGCAGAACTGCCGAATTTGGGGTTCTGAAAACCATCGTGTAATAATCGAACAACCAATGCATCCGTCGCGAGTTACCGTTCGGTGCACAAGTTTCCAGACCGTGTCATCGCTCGGTTTGACGATCAAAATTGGCCACCAAGATCGTGTGATCTAACGCCAATAGACTTCTTCCTCTGGGGCTATGTGAAGGAAAAGGTGTGTGCGAATAAGCCACAAACAATTGAACGCCTTAAAGAAGAGATACGGCGCGTTATCGACGAAATAGAGATACAGTTGTGCGAAAACCTTATCCAGAATTTTAAGAAAAGACTCTGTGTCAGTGGTTTCGTGGTGATCATTTACCAGATATCCTATTTCATGTTTAATCGCAACTATTCCTCTTCACGTGAAATATAAATACTCGCATAATTCGAAAAGAAATTGTGTTTTTCTTGAAAATCAAATCCGGCGTTCCTATTGAGACACCCTTTATATACAGTGTGAGTCTTCATAAAGTGCACATATCAAAATCAGGGAAACTACACTCTATTTCATCGACAGATGAATCATCAAAAAAACATGAATTTGAATTTTTATGAATATATGAATATTTTAAAATTTTTATTAGCAGCTTCTAACCATATTGAAATATCTCGTTACAACTTTTAAACTAAATGTCCTATCATATTGGAATACATTTTGTAGTGATTGCTGGTAAAAGGACGTGCCTGACAAGTTAATAATTCCAGGAAAAGTAATGACATCCATTTAGAATAAAGAAAATCTGTTTTTTTTTCATCATTTTTACAATAATTTCAAATTTTCTATAAATATCGCCCCTTGTACCCTACATTTTTTTATTTGTAAGTTATTCTACATGTTATCAGCTTTATAAAAGTAAAAATTGCACGTTTATTACTCAAATGTAACAGTTTCTATGAGTGTTTATAAAAAAGCCCATGCGCATCGTCTTGCTAGGCACCATTGTTTATCATGTAGATACCTTTTTTTGGTGATTCAATGTAGAGTCGCGCGGGCTGAAGTACGAGTGGGGAGGTGGGCCCAGTTGAAAAACAATTGAATGTTGGGCAGTTAGGCAGCTATTTGTATTTCTCCTACCAACTTTATCAGTTTCTTTTGCTACATATCACGCTTTTTGGTCGCGATGCCACGTATAAGTGATTTCCCTCCGGCACACATTGCCGATATCCATTATTATGGAATGTACCGAGGGAGTGCTAGAGCTGCTTGCGCAGCTTATCTAGCTGCATTTCCAAATCGACGCTCTGTTCCATCAGCCCGTAACTCCCAAGAAGTACATAGAAGACTGGCTAACACTGGACTTGGTTTGCCTCGAGATCGCCGCGAACCAGGTGTTATTATTCATGTTGGTATCGAAGAAGCCATTTTGGATGATTTGTTTGCTGACCCGACTACTAGTATGAGACGTTTGGCGTTACGTCATGGCGTCTCCCAGAAATCGGTTTGGCGCATCTTGAGGAAAGCAGGGTTGCATCCATACCATTATCAAAGGGTGCAGCACTTGCATGAAGATGTGGATTGACGTCCAAGGTGCGTTATGTCTACATGGATTTTAATAAAAACAAGAGACAATCCTGAATTCCCGAAAACAATTCTGTGGACAGATGAATCTCAATTCACGAGAGACGGCATCTTAATATACATAAGTGGTGCCCAAAAGATGAAAACCCTAGGCTGAAAAGGGCTTCAACATTTCAAGTGAAATTTTCTGTAAATGTGTGGGCCGCACTGATTGACAACTTTTTGATTGGTCCAAAAATACTCCCGAGGACATTAAACGGAGAGAGATTTCTGGAGCTTTTGCGGATCGAACTGCCCTTGCTGTTGGAAGAAGTGCCGCTGCAAACCCGTCGAAGAATGATGCTTCAAATGGATGGATGTCCTGCCCATTACTCGCTGATTGTCAGGTCTTTTCTTAATGAAAATTATTCAGGCCGCTGGATCGGTCGACAAGGACCTGTTGGGTGGCCGGCGCGTTCCCCAGATCTCGCACCTCTCGATTATTTTTTATGGGGGACAATGAAACAAAGGGTGTACAGCAGTTCCATAAACAGCGAAGCGGAACTTGAAGAAAGAGTTTTGCGTGTTGCAAACGAAATCAAAAATGATCCCGAGATGATTCGTAAATTTCACTTCGCGCTACAATGTGTTTGCAGCAACGGGGTGGCCATTTTGAACATTTGATGCATTAAGCCAAAATGATTATCCTATAGACAAGTCTATTTGATTTTATTTGTTAAAGATAATGAATGATTCATGTAGGTTAATACTGTTGTTTTATTCCTACTCTGGCATTGAACCGAGTTCACTGCTTTTTGAAACGCTGATTTAAAAACTTGTATATAAGTAATAAACTTGCAATTTTTCACCATTAGGAAGCTAATAACATGTAGAATAACTTAACATTTAAAAAAGGTAGGGTAAATAGGACAATTTTTATTGAAATTTAGCAATTGTTTTAAAAATCATTGAAAAAATAGTGAGTTTCAGCATATTCCTCTTTATTTTAAATTTATAGCTTTTAATTTCGTGGAAATTTTCACTTTACTGGTACGGCCTATTATTTGCAATCACTACAAAATTTATTCGAATATGATAGGACATTCAGTTTAAAAGTTGTAACGATTTATTTAAATAGGGTTAGCAGCTGACTTTTAAAATATTCATAAAAAATCAATTATTGTTTTTAATTTTTTTTTGATAATTTTTCCGTCAATAAAATAAGGTGTAGTTTCCTTGATTTTGCTAATAAAAAAACTATACTGTTTTGACTCATATTTTGGTAAAGTATCCCTTTTGGTTTAGTGTTAGCTGCTATATGATAAATAGCCACTGAAAGTGAATGTTCCAGTACTGTAGCTCCCTGAATGCGAGCACTGGATAATATGGATAATCCGTTTTTTCTTTGAACAGATAAACGTATCGACAGTGGACGCTTACAAGAACCAGCTAACCTTCAAAGCAAATCTGCTGGAAATGGACGGAAAAATACTTCTGGACTTCCGTCTGTCCAAGGGTTGTGGTTTGGAGTTCAAGAAGCGTTTCCTGAAGATTAAACACTGCCTCGAAGACATTATTTAAGATAATTTATTGTTCTGCAGGTTTGTTACTTACTATTTTCAAGTTTGTATGTTGTTACCTATACTTAAAGTGATATAGTAGTTTTTTAATTTGAAAAAATGATATATTATGAAGTTGTTTTATATTTGTTGGTCACTGCTATGAAAAAGTGCCAGTATTAGTTTTTTAGATTCACTTCCAGTATTGTGTCATGACGATGTTCACTAAGCTTAAATGAATAAAGCTATTTTTGTAGTTATATTTTATTTATAGAAAATTATTATTCTAATGAGCCTTATTCATATAGATGTCTAGTAATTAATTGGATTTGGGGTGTAAGGAAACACAGTTGCCGACGTTTCGGAATAATTTATTTACTTCTCCATGGCTCTACAAAAACATCAAAACACTAACTTTACATATAAATTAATTAACAATTTAAACAATAAAAAAGTTACTTAATTAAGACATTAGATAAAACGAACAATTAAAACTCATCCCCCGAATTTCGTTATCAACATATACACACATAAAAAATAAAACGATGATAAAATTATTCATAACGTAGTTATAAATTCAAAGCAGATGAAGATTTTCTTGTGTGTTTTATTATCAGAGAAACAAAAATTATAGCGCACTCACCCTTTTCATTGGTGCAAGTGTTCAAGGGGGTATTTAAAAGGACGCATAAAATAGCTACACCAATTTTTTATTTGATAATAAGGAATGAGAAAACGTGTTTTTTGGGATTCAATCGAAAGTGTTGACGGGAACGAATATAAAATCTTTAGGTATGTATGAGACCTACAAAATGAGACCACATGTAAAAAGATCCGACTAATAGAAAAAATCTTATGGCCGAAAACCAAGGCAAAATATAGGTTTTGGCACTTGTTGCTCATGCGACGATAATTTCACACAATTCTGTACTTGAAATTCTTCAAATCCGTAGGATTCATGCTTCTAAATAACAACAAAATTCGAGTAGATTTGGCAAGTAATTTTTTGAGAATGTAATTGTTTACCCCGAACACCTGTTTTCTGACGATCACTACTAGTTTATTGAACAATATACAGGCTTCGTTCAAAGACCATTTAATAGCAAAATACACGAGTTTACTTTGCCGATATGAATCACAAACCATTCCGAAAGATGAATGTTATTTTTATGCGAAAAACAAAGGTTGCGTTTTTTTCTTCTAAACATATTCAAACACTTTGTATTTGTGAGTAATTGAATAGACGCGCTACGATATGCGAAAAGCATTCGTTTTTATACACATTTTAAAACAAAGCAGATTGATCTATGACCTTTTGATGCGGAGAAAACATTTTTTTTCAAGATTTCTTCATACTCTTATGTAAACATACTCAGAGCTGAAATTAAGTTAGCATTGCTCACCAGTTCTCATGCATACTTCCACAGGAGTATGACTTACGCCATTTTGGCATGGGGTGATTCTACACACAAACCTAGACTTTTTGGCCTACAGAGATGTGTTAGATATAATGTCAAATTTGAGGTACAGCGTTTCTTACAGGAATGAATTGATTAAATTGAATACCATGACATTGCCTTGTTTATATATCTATGCTTGCTTCATGCAGCTTACTCTCACAATTATACAACTATCAAGACACTCATAATTACAACACTGAAGACGACGAACATTTGTGTCCAAATCGCCAGCGCCTTTCCAAAACTAGAAACGGTAACTATCACGGGTTAAAATTTTACAAACTATTGCCAAATAAAATAAAATCTTTTGATGTTGAACAATTTGGCAAAACTCTCTTACCTGAAGCTTTTCAGCCTTTCATAATTTTTATTGTATTTAGTATCTTTTATAATTTTAAAAGTTCTATTGTTCATCTAAATTTTAACTCTGGTTTTACTAACTTTTTTACCTTTGTGTTTATGTTTGTCGTATTCACGTATTGTTTGTTGCTTTCACTTTTTTGTGTTCCACCTTAGCCGAGTTTTCTGTGTAATAGCACCAATAAATTATTATTGTTATTCGCACTAAACATCGCTTCATATAAGTTTGACATCCCCCTTCTTGAGCAACCCGGCAACGCTGCTGTAAGCGATCAGTATCTGAGCCCCCTCCCTGAAGTCAACCAGGTCGCTCTCCCCTTCAGTGGCGATACTGCCGTCGTCGATCACGACCTCGTTCACGTCCTTTTTAGATTTCAAGAAGACGAATGAATGCATGTTGGGCTGAACGGGTTGGCTCACCCATTCTTCCAATGGTAGGCCCGGGTAGAAGCTCACTAGACCATCAAAGTTTTGCTTCAGCGCTGCAAAAGGATAACGCTACATTACAGGGGTGCCTCAGGGTTCTATCCTAGGTCCCCTGTTATTTATAATCCTGAGGGTGGCCCAAATTATACAAAAGTTACTAAAAACTTTATAGAAAAATTTTAAAAAATGGGAGTTTCCATTTAAAAATCTAAAGTGTAACAATATCTTATTTTTGGATCACCCTGCATTGTACGCCTTTAGATAAAAGGACAGTCACCAATGAGGGTGCAACCTTTTCCTTGGGCCACCCTGTATGTCACATAAATGCAAGGTGTATTTTGTATACAAAGGTAAACCATAAATAAAATAAAAATAATTGTTCATTTATATGAAGGAAAAAAATCAATATATTCACCTTATCTACATACCTTCAGCAATCTCTTTAGCAAATTTCAACTCCTGTTTTGAAAGATACAGATCTTCTTTGCTCTCATGCCTCTGCTGTTCTTGTTTCAAAATATGGGTAACATAAGTTTCTATCTTCTCTAATCTAGTTCGCAAGTAACTGGATACTATAAGAAATATAATACAAGGTCAAGGTAAGTAATGTAATTTAACTCCCTATAACCATGTCAGAAAAAAGAGAGGTAGAAAAGCTATCAACAAATATTATAAAAGAGGCTTTTATGTTTGAACATTAGGCAATAATAGAAAGACTGAATTATCTAAAATGCGTTTCGAAGATGGGGTAGTGACATTCAAATTAATTATAGCAGAAAGAACACTTATTTTATAGAAAGTGTAAATCAAATAGTGAAATCTAAGAAAAGCTACCTCAAAATTGAAATCTAATAAAAATCCAAGTGAGAATCTCTCAAAAAATGTTCTAAATGATCGTTTCAATATAATTGGAGAGACAGGATTATTATTGGTGAATGACTGTTTAGTACATGGTGAATTCCCATTTAAAGAATTCCACCATTACTCCTGTGCCAAAAGTTCCAAATTCTCAGCTATATACAATTATACGGCCGATTAATGTCTTGCCGTATGTCGAGAAGCTGTTTGAAGAGATAATATACAAACAAGTCATAGAATTCATTGAAGAAACCAAAATTTTGATAAAAAATCAAGCTGGATTTAGAAAAAAATGGTCCACAGAAACGGCAATCCAAATGGTGGTGAAAGACTGGAGAAGAAGTATAGATGAGAAAAAATAAGAACAATATTTTTAGACTACTCAGTATTACACATTTTTACAAAATTATTTAGTAAATAAAAGTCAAAAAAACTAAAGTAGGAAATATTATGTCAAATGTTCAAAATATATCAGTAGGGGTGCCACAAGGGAGTAAATTAGGGCCGTTACTATTTATTATTTATATAAATGATATATGTTAGAACAGTGCAAAATTCAAATGTTTGCGGACGATACACTTATATACAGAACATAAGCATTTGGACACTGCTTTAGAACTGTTAAATAGTGATATTGAAAAAATTATGAATTGGTTAAATGTCAATAATCTTAAATTAAACACTAATAAAACAAAATGTATGTCAATAGGGAAACATTTAGGTGAGAATACAATTAGGCTCATGATTAATGATGAAAAAATTGAAGTAGTTGAGTCATTTAAATATCTTGGTATATATATGTGGATAGTAAGCCACTGTTTCACGAACATTATGGATACATTATTTCAAAAATATCGAAAAAGGTGAATTACTTCTATAGAGTTTCCCATAATCTTAGTATGTATTCCAAAAAAATTGTGTATAACACTATAATTCTTCCCCATTTTTTATGTTGTTCAACCATCTTGTTTACAGCAAATGAAAACATATTTTCAAAACTACAAATTCTACACAATAAGGCTATGAGAATCATTTTAAATAAAAACAAATATGCTAGGATTAAGTCTATGTTAGAAGAACTGCAGTGGTTGGATGTGAAGAATTTCATATATTTCCTTTTACACAGGGGCCCCATCCTCTGCTAAAAGCTGAGCATACCTAAAAACCGGAGTCGGTCTACTTCTAACTGGTGTATACTTTTTTTGAAATCTGTACTGGGCAGGCTTTGCAGGTTCTCCTCCATATAAGCAATCTGTCCCAACAGGCAATCCACTACTTCCATCTTGTGGGGTAATATTTCGGGGGCAAATTTTTCGTTCACCCAGGCCTCTTCCATCATTTCAATTACTTGAGCTGCAGTTAGCTGGACCTCTTCGAAGCTCTCTGCATCGCTCAGTTCTAGTTCTTCTATTGCAGCCTCGTCCATTATTTGTATTTACTGCTACAATTGTTTGAAAGCTTTGAAATGTTTTCAAACACGTAAACATAACCTATACACTTTGGCGGGCTTTTGTCGCCATCACAAATTATTATACAGTGAAGAAGGTACAGACTTGCGCTATACAGTTGACTTATGTCAGTGATTGGCAGCCATCTTTTTCCTAGATACAACATGGTTCCCAGATTGTGCATGAACGCCTCACGCGTATAGTAGATGTGCTCTGCTCAACATGTAACGTCATTGCACAGGGAGGAGCCAATTGCTCTTCCCTCCACTCCTCAAGGGTTTGAGGTTGCCTGGAACAGGGGTGGGGGAGGGACCGCACAGGGTAGGAGGGTGTGTGTGTATGCATGTGCTATGACTGCTATGTGACTTAGACTGGCTCCGTTATTCGTTACGGAGAGTAGGAATTAGGCTTATATCGAATTTGAATTATTCAGGAATTCAGGGCGTTGTCGGAATTCGTGGCCGTAAACCTGGAAAGCTCCATCGAAATAATTTGAAGTCGTAGAAATAGATTGGATAAAATATAATTGAAATATGAGTGTCAAGTTCGCAGATAAAAACAAATACAAGAAATCGGCAATGATCTAAATTAATTTTCTCAATTTTTTTGTGTATGTAAATGTAATGTGGCCATGTGGAATTAAACGAGGGTTTCAAATTTTGGGGTTGGCTTCACGTCGAAATCGAATAATAAAATAGGCAACCTGACATGAGCCAGTAATCAATACTGTCAAATTACCACGTTCCATAGCGGTCATAAAAACTGTTGTTTGTCTAACCATGCTTATTTGCTATTGCTGTCAAATATAATTTAATGATTATTTTGGCTGCACTAAAAAATCTATTCTGCGAATTATGGATTGAAAAATATTCGATTATCAAGGGTATCCATATAAAGTTATAGAGTCCCATCACCACCACCTGTTTGATGATTGAGGAAAATGGGTGGAAAACCAAAACATAACCCAGAAGCCAGAAGAGAGAACTTTCTCGTGAATTGAGGACGTCAGCAAGCGATTGCATCGCGCTCTTCAAATTCGTGCATTCGTGGAAGCTATACTTTGCGTTTATTCTATTTAATGATAATTGAGTGAATTTGTACTGATTGGCCACAAAGACAGGTATCTTCAATTGTTTTTTGTGTAATATATAGGTGGTGGCTGCTAGTTAGTATTGGTTCTCATACATTTTATTGAACTTTATTAACTTTTACCATATGTGTTTTATGGGTTACGAGAAGTATTTCGATAAAAGTCTTTGAGAAACAACAAAACTTTTTTAACTGTGTCCCAAGTAATTAGCTATATTTATATGACCGTAATATTATGTACTGCATTTGATATCTGTTCATTATTATAAAGTATGCTTTGAAATTCGTTTGTATATTTCTCTTATTTTGAGCAGGACCCCCCCTCTCTGTAGTTTTGAGTCTCAGGAATTACTCCTACTAGTTGACATTCATAAACCAAAGTTATGCTGTCCCACTTTGACAACACAAAAAATAAATGGTCACAGTTAGAAATTGGTTATCATTCCCAAATGGTGAATGCAGAGATTTCAAAAGTATCAAATAAAATCAAGTCTTGCCACAAATAGGCAGTGAACATACACTAAAAACAAGACTACCAAAGTTCCAGTACCACCAACCTAGTGCTCAACCAGTTAGCACAGAGCTAGTGTATTTATGCTTATTTACATAGAGTATTTTTTTATGACCAATATTTTTTCACATCATTCTTTTTGATAGTGCCAGCAAAATTTTTAATGTAGTCCAGTGGCGGCTCGTGGTATTTGAGTTTGGGGGGCGCAAAATCTAATTCAAAAAATTTTACATGCAATTTTGCAATATTTTATTGACATAAAACGCTTCAAATCAAAAAATCAACTGTTAGTCGTTTAGAGCTAGCGTCATAAATATACATAATACTGAAATGGCAAAATATAAAAATACTAATATTATGCTTGTAAAATAATACAATGCATTAAAATATCTTACCTTAAAAAAAACAGCAAAGATGAAAGAAATGATAATACATGCACATAACACAAAATAAGCTTCTGTTTATAATACAGTAAATTTAAAAACAATCATTGTTTAAAAACAAAATCGGCTCTACGATCTTTTAGAGATATAAATTTTTCCATAACTTTTTCATCAAAACTATCTATTTCATGAGTCAAGTTTCTGTTTATTGACAACATAGCTAGAGCATTTAGTCGATCATTTCGCATACTGTTTCTTAAAAATGTCTTTATGCGTTTAAGAGTTGAAAAACAACGTTCTGATTCTGCTGTGGTCACTGGGGTTGTCACAATGATTTTTAACAATTTTATAACTTCCACAAATGTATCGCAAAGATTGTTCGTAACAAGAAAAGACAATAAATTCATAGCACCAACGATTTCCTTTAAGTCTTCCCTGGAGTATATAACTTCTAATTCCGTTTTCAGTCTGGCTTTACACAACATTGGATAAAAAGTAGCTACGGCATCCAAAATAGCAGAAGGGAAATTTCGGGAATATTTCAAATATGCCTCTGTATTGAACAATTCGGCTGCCTGTAAATGACCTCGAAAGGAAAATCTATCTTTTACTTGCATTGTTATTATGTCGCACACTTCTTTGGCAATGACCCCTCGTATACCGTCGTCAGTTCTTCTTCTTTTATTAGATTCAAACTTTGTTTCGGTATATTTTTTAATATCATCAATTTGACCTCTTATATTGTCGATACTCTTTTCAAAAATTACTAAGTCCTTTTGTAATTGAACACTATCTTCATTTCTTGACTGCAGCTGATTATAAAGGATGTCAACATGCGGAAATATTTTATGGAATACTGTCAACCAAAACAAGAATTCTTGATCTTCTAACGCTCTTCTCAAACTTGAAGCTTCATTTAAAGTAACACCTCTATTACATCTCTCTTCTATTTCTTCAAACACCTCTATGAGCTTCTCACGATGTTCATAGACAAAGTTAACTGTACGAATGTTATAGTTCCATCTAGTAGCAGCTACTCTGGGGATTTTCTTATTTATAATTTCTTCTAAAACATCACATCGATGGGTAGAGTTCGAAAAAAAAGCTGGTATGGCCGACAAATTATTAAAAAACACACGTACTTTTGAATTTTGTGATGCACTTTTTTGCATAATAAGGTTTAGCTGATGGGCATAACAATGTATGAAATGTGCATTAGGATATTTTTCTTTAATGTGAACTTGAACCCCACCGACAGAACCACTCATGACATTCGCACCATCATATGTTTGTGCTATCAACTTTTCAGGACTTTGTAAAAGAAACGGATCAATTTCATTTTCTATGCAAGTTTTTAAACCTACTGATGTCTTATCTTTAACTCTCAAAAAACTCCAAAAAAGTTCTTGTATGCCGCCTTCGTGGAAATATCTGAATATTAAAACCATTTGGCACTGATTTGATATGTCGGTCGTTTCATCGCATTGAATTGACAGGAAATTTGCGTTTTTAATTTGCTGCAAAATTTCTTCTCTACAAACTTGTAGCATGCTATCTAATATGTCATTTTGAATGCTTTTAGAAGTTCCCTTGAATACCGTGGCATTTTGTAAATGATTTTTAAGGGCCTCATCTAACTCAGCGGTAAAATCAACTAATTCTCTAAATATTCCTCGATTCAAAGACTCTTCAGTCTCATTGTGACCTCTAAGTGCCAATTCAAAGGCACTGCAAAATTTGACACAGCTTATAATCCGTTTCAAAATGTGCCGATTTTTTCTCACTTTTTCATTATGTTCAACTATACTTTGTCTATAAGCAGAACTTATTTGTGATGCTATATTTGTCTTACCAAGAACTGCAAGCGCCGTGCACGAATTAATGTGTCCTCGGGAAGCTTCATGCTTTCTAATCTTTTCAGGAAGATGATGCAGGTCTTTGATTCCCGTCCTTGACCAACTAGAGTCCATACCTGACGCGGCATTATAAAATAATAAACAGGGGAAACAGTACAATAAATTTGTCTCCTCACATCCACATATCCAATTATTTTTTTTATATGTATCTTTAGAAAAATGACGGGTAAAACTTCTTTTTTCTGCCTTCCGTTCACTCACTTGCGTTAACTTTAAATCCGGCAAAGGTCTGCCCAATTGCTTAATTTCTAATTTATTCTGAAGGGACAGACGCGTAAAATCATTTTTTAAAATGTTACTGACACTATTCATTGTCATTTGCTACTCTATTCTGCAATAAAACAAAACCCGACACTAAAAATGCAGCGCGTAATCAGTATTCAATAGTAAACAACAAAACAAATGGAGCTAGCTATGCGAGACGCAGCGAGGCCGCAAAAATAATGCGCCCTAGCATAGCTATTAATACTGTACCCCGACTCTAACCGAGTCGTATCGAAAGCGCTCGAAAACACCGACGTACGGCCGCGAGGTTCGATGCGGCCCGTATAGTCCGGACAAATAAGGATAAAATCGACTGATTTCTTACAAAATAATTAGGGTGACGTTTAATATATAATATGTTCAATAAAATGTTAGCTAATTAGAAAAAAAAATAAAAATGGTTTTATTCAATGCTTTTTTAACGGCATTTTATCTGGGGGGGCGCGCGGCCATGCGGCCTTATGGTAGAGCCGCCACTGATGTAGTCTATGCAAGCTATGATACTGGCACTGACAAGCATAAAAGTGGAAGGCTCCTGTATGAGATATATACAAGGTGTCCAAAAAGTTTGGATACATCAAAATAGCATATAGGTATTTCCTAGAGAAAAGTGTAGACCAAAGTTGTAAGGTTTGAAAAGGGCCAACTAATGGTGACCTTGACTTTAAGGTCATTTGAAGGTGAAGATAGCTTTTTTAAATGAAAACCTCAATTTTTGACACAAGAAGTCTAAAGAGCGGGAAATTTTACGTGCAAGTGAGTCCTTGTACATGACCTTGACCATGATCTTCAAGGTCATTTTAAAGTGTCCAAAAGGTATAGTCAAAATATCTCGAAAAATATGCTACCTATGGAAGAATGTTGCAGAGCAAAGGTTATAAAGGGTCATCAAATGGTGACCTTGACCATGACCTTAGACGTTGTGTGATGATTGAGGATTTTGCGGAACGCGTAATTACTGTTTTCGAACCAAGAATACAAGTATCCCATTGAAAAAATTTAATGTAACCTTCCAATGACCTTGAAGGTCATTGTGAAGGCCACTTCCCCTTGAGTGTTTGGTGTGACCATTAGATGACCTTTTTCAAACCTTTGTTCTAGAACATTTTTCTATAGAAAACGTATTTTTTGAGATATTTTAATGTATCTGTACTTTTTGAACACTCTGTATATGGAAGTAATGCATGTAGTTTTACTATGAACTGCCAAAAACCGTGAAAAGATCCTTAGGTAGATAGAGATACTGGGTGTTAATGATTTATTTTTATTTTTGGGTGTCGACCTGTGGGCCAGAAGTCCATTGCCACTTCACAAGATTTGTTTTGTATTCTTCATATACTTGTATTATATCGAAATTGGAATATGAATTTGTTAATATGGAACCCAACTTGATGGTGCATATCCTGAGCAGGGTATATCTGAAAGTTTATTATTGACTTTGTTTCAAATGCAGTCTTTAGAGCTGAGAAGGAAGTGTGGGGCAATTATTTTCTTGCATTAACTGTTGCACAATCAAAATGATGCTAATGAGATTGCTGCGCAACTACAGTTTTATTGTAGTTTGTTTTTTTCTTGAGATGGGATCTGGAGCTTTTTGTATGGTTTCTATTTTTGTTAGTTTGATTTATGTTTTTTAGGATTGTCTGTAAATGGTTTCTTTAACTGTTGAGCAATAAGCTATTTATTCATTATTCTTCCTAGTCCAAATTTATTGACAAAAGTATTTTCAGTATCACATCTAGATTCAACCTTTCCTTGCAGGTAATCAGCAAACATGCGACAATCTAAGGCACAGAAACAGAAGGTGTCGTCGAAGGAGAAGCAAAAGTTGCGCAAGGAGTATCAGGAGTTACAGAAACAACTGTACAAAATTGTCATTCCATCTTTAGTAGCAATTTTCCTATTCATCGTAGCATATGTCTACATTAAAACTAGGCCCAGGAGCTCATACGTTGATTGACATAACTATGTTCTTATCTAAGTCGAGTATATAACAGTATATATTTTTAAAAGTTGTTACAAATGTGTTTTATACATTGTAAATAAATATTTTTATAATTAAAATAAAATAGAGCAATACATATTGAAGCATCCCAAGAAGAATGTATTTACAATGTAAATCATCCTTTGGTTTCTGCACTGATACTGTACCGGATTGTTCTTCTCAATAAAAGACTTTGTTTCAAAAACTTGTGGCATCCGTAAAGTGGTAAATAGGTACTGAAGATACCACATTAAATACTTGACCTCAATAATTTTCTGCCTTCCTTCGTTTGGGTGAGGAAGATTAAATGGGGAAAATTAGTGGAAAAAAGGCGGCCGTATTAGGACAAAAAATTTATTCATATAATATGTACAATAAGACGAATATGATCACAATAATTATAAGTTCAATAAATACAAAAAAGCAAAGCAGTTTTTACCAAAAAGATATATGTAGATATACATATAGTAAAAAAAAGTTCCACATATTACAAATAATAAAAAAATTACAAAATCGGAATATACAAATGGCAGCTTGGCGGGATGTCCGTGCGAAACTTTGAGTGGTCGTTAAAAACAGCACATTTTTCAAACCATTTTTTTATAATCATAAAAATATAAATATTGTTTGTACAGTTGCAATAGCATTTTTGACTGCTACCAACTTTTCCACGCAGTTTTAAGTTTTCAGCGTGTAACAGCAGCATAATCTCCGGTACTTTTTTTGAAATACTCGAAATGCATCGCTGTTAAATCTGCGTGGAAATACTTGTACATCAAGCATCAGCATAATAAACGAAATCTTTCATTTATTTTCAAGGCATTTTCAAAACTGTATATAGTGCGGGCAATATCTCCGAATCTGATGGCACAAATATTCTGATTCTGATTTTTTGCATGATTTTATGCAATCATTTAAATGAATCTGCATATCGATGATGATGAAATATTTTTTTACAATTTTTTAAACAAATTTCAAAAATTGCTTTTTTGACAACATTAAAATAAAATGCTTATATCTCGGAAACGATCCACTTCAGAGAAAAATCTAAATTACATTTTTTGTTTACAATGTCCCAAAAAACACTTTGATCAGAGCGAATTTTTTTGCATTTGCTCAAAAAATTTTGAAAGGAGGATTTTTTCCATCAGGGCGAAGATATTGCCCGGAGTAATATCTGCAGTTTTGTACCACGCTGTGCATATGAATGATTTGACATAGCGGGTCCCACAGATTAAACAGTTACTAATTAACGTCTAGTAAATATATACAAAATTTTACAGGCTATATAAAAACTTTATCACAGCAATTATTTCAAAGGAATAGCAGATTTGTCGATCGTAAATCTACACTACGTTTTCAGACAGGATATTTTTAGGAAAACCATAATTACTAAACTCAAATATTATATACAAAAAACTTATTCGAATTCCTTTTAATATACTTCTAAATATTTGCGTTTTCCTGTCTTCAGGATGACCGAAAGAAAAATTGCAACTTAATATAATTATAACGAAAAATCTACTATCTCTGCAAAATAACTGTCAATTACAATATTAAATATAATCGATCTACAAAAATCAGGATGCGTGAACTTAGATTTTAATTACGGTTAAAATAAATGCAGACACGTTACCTGTTTGGAGTAATTACGACATAAGAGAGTGAATGGAATAATGAAAGACTCAGGGTGGCCAGGGACTCATTTTTCTCATTATTACTCATTATTTTTTAGGGTACTTATTTTTTGTAATTTTTTTCATAAATTACTCATTTTTCTAATTTTTTTGTGACGTTTCCACAAAGACTGATTAATTTGAACCTGAATTAAAAATTATAGGTCACAATGCATTAAGTAAGCTAAAACCCCTTAATGTTGTTTCTCGCCAGAAAATATTGTAATTGTGAAACATGAATCCAGAAATGATGTTTTCTTGGACCTGGATGATGGGTAAATCACAAAACGCCGTCATTTGCCACTCATGTTAGATCATTCTCCTCTATAACTCGGATTTTGGTGGAACATTTGTATTATTATGTCATGGTAGTACTTGTAGATTTCGAAATTACGTTAAAAAACGAAAAATCTCAGAATACCTCCGATCTCCATTCCATTCCTGAGCTTTCCGGTTAGTTCAGGGCGCTTCAAGTGCTCAAAAATGTGAAGCCGAGCATTTGTCACATTTTTCCACTTGTCTCAATGACGCGTACAATTTTCGTGTGCCAAGAACTTAAAAAGTTGAACCATTGAATGCACTACTGAGTCAGTCTACTTGACTTTAATTTTGGTAGTAGGAAACACGACTCCAGGCATTTGTAGCATTTTTCCACTTGTCTCAATGACGCGTACAATTTTCGTGTGCCAAGAACTTAAAAAGTTGAACCATTGAATGCACTACTGAGTCAGTCTACTTGACTTTAATTTTGGTAGTAGCAAACACGAATCCAGGCATTTGTCGCATTTTTCCACTTGTCTCAATGACGCGTACAATTTTCGTGTGCCAAGAACTTCAAAAAAAGTTGAACTATTGCGTGCGCTACTGAGTCAGTCAACTTGACTCCACTTTTATGCCGCACATAACATTAAGCAAGGCATTTCTTACATTTCTCCTCTTGTATTAATGACGCGAACAATATTCTTGTGCCTAGAATTTCAAAGAGTTGAACCATTGAGTGGACTACTGAGTCAGTCTACTTGAACCGCTTAAACTTTTGATGTTTCAAGAGGCTCCTAATCATTTCTGGAAGCCTTTTTTCAAGGGTGAAAAATGGGGAGTTAGGAGGTGTGGGAAAGTCTGACTCATTTTTTTTGGAGTTAGTATGTCTACACGTTTCCAGCTCCAGTAATTCTACGCTTTTTCTAGACGTATTTCACGTATGATTGATTTCCCCTTACTCTATTTTTTGTTAATGCTCAACCATTCTTTTATGAGAAGGTCGATTTTATTCATGTTTTGCTCATTTTTTTTCTGAAGTAGTCATTTTTTTCGAGAGCGCAGGTCTCTGGCCACCCTGAAGGACATCCAAATGTATCAAAGTTATAACTCGTCTTCAATTTTACACGCAACTGCAACTTTTAATTCGAGTATAAATGTATACGTCATAGTAGTTTACATGTTAGATTTAAGTCGATAAGGCGGATTCTTTGCTAAAAGATATAGACTATATTGGAAACAACTGACAAGCAGTCTAATCGTCGTATCTGTATACGGTTATTAGTATAATCATATTAGACGAAAATTCCCCTGGTTCGCGAAATAATTGTAAAGGCTGGTTTTATTGGTGCAAGTTGTTCAAGGGGGTATTCAAAACATGGACGCATAAAATGGGTACACCAATTTTTGTGGAAAAACTTTTTATTCGATTTCAAAGAATGAGAAAACGTGTTTTTTTGGGATTGTGGGATTGAATCGAAAGTGTTTGCAGAAACGAAAAACTCTTCAAAGAAGATTTTTAGCTATTTATAAGACCTTCAAAATGAGAGCACACGTAAAAAGATCCGACTAATAGCAAGAAAGTTATGGCTGGAAACCGAAGCGAACTGCAGGTTTTGGTACTTGTTGGTAATGCGACCTTGAAAAAGCGTATAATCGGTCTGAGAAGTTTTCTGATGGTACACGGATTTATAACCTAGACGAAAGTGGAACAACAACTGTTCAAAACCCAAAATGTACCAGTGGAGAACGAGCAGTTTTGATTACAACATGTTGCATAATAAGTGCTACTGGTAATACACTGCCCCCAATAATGGTGTTCCCCAGAAAAAAGTTTAAAAATCATATGTTAAACGGGGCACCGGCAGGAACATTAGGGCTGGCTTCTACTTCAGGTTGGATGAACTCCGAATTATTTCCGTCTGTTATGGGACATTTTATTAGATATAGAGGGTCGTCCAAAGAAAATCCCACTATTTTAATCATGGACAATCATGAGAGCCACCTTGGGATCAAGACTCTGAATTTGGCTAAGGACAATGGAGTCATTCCAGTCACACTTCCACCACATTGTAGTCATAGACTTCAGCCACTGGACGTATCAGTATTTGCGCCATTTAAGGCGAATTATAATACTGCAGTTGACTCTTGGCTTTTGCATCATCCGGGTAGTCCGTTATCTGTTTACGAAATTGCTGCTTGTGTTGGAACGGTCTATGACTCCGACCAATATAAAATCAGGCTTCAAGAAGGCCGGAATTTACCCTTTCGACAGAAATGTCTTGATTTCCTGTGCAGCTCTGTTACCGATAGAGAATTTTTAAATATTAACAATACAGAAGTTTCCACCGTGGATGAAAATACCTCATCAACATCATCTAAAGTAGCTCAGACAGTTACCAATGATACACTTAATGATCAGTCACCGAAATTGAAATTGTTTTTAAGCCCAGAAATATTTAAGGGATACCCAAAAGCAGGAATGAGAAAGGTTTCTAATAGTCAGCGTAGAAAAATTACCAGCTGCATTCCCCCAGGAAAACATTGAAAAAGACAAATTAAAAAGAAAACACAAGGATGACAAACAAAAAGCTGCCACCCGGAATTTATCTGCAAAAAAAAGAAGGTTGATTTCAATGATATATCTTCGACTGAGGAAGATGGAAGTTTATCTTTTGCCGACTCTGACCAGGATTCAACAGACTGGATTCTCGAGGCTGATCCTTCAGCCTTTGAAATCCCACACCTGACGACTTTGTATTTGTGTCATTTAGCGCCAAAAATGATAATATATTCTATGTTGGAAAAGTGATAAATCTGGAAAGTTCCAGCAATGAAGTAGAAGTAAAGTTTTTGCGGAAGTCGGTAAAATTAACCTCTGGAACCTGATGTAGGAATGGTTCCTTTAAATGACGTTAAAATGATTTTACCACCACCATCTCATTTGGTTAAAACAAAACGTTTACAGGAATATCTAAAATTCGAAATTACGTTTAGCAATATAAATTTACGCTAAATTTTTTTTAACAAGAAAAATAAATGGTTGTTTGATTTTTGGCATATTTTACATTGACAAATCTTATATTTTTGTGTTTTTTTCGTTTAAGTACATATTTTTCGTTGTCAAAACCGCGATTTAATAAAGTTTTGTAACAAACATGTTGTTTTTTTTCACATATGTCTTATGTCTTATGGTGGCCCACTTTTCTGGGCCTCCATGATACATTATTAAAAAAAAGAATGTTGTAAAATTCACTTGCAAAACTATTAATTTAAAACTTTTTTTATGTTTTGTTTTAAGATTAACATGAATATAAATATCATTCTTTAAAATCTAACATTTACACAAAACTATTTTTTTTAATTTTAAAAAACTTCATGGTGGCTCACCCACCCATTTTATGCGTCCATGTTTTAAATACCCCCTTGAACAACTTGCACCAATAAAACCAGACTATATCGGGGAAATTTGCTAATATGATTAGACTACATATATGGTAAAATATACTATTGAGATCACATAGAATATTTCGGGCAGAAAATGTGTATTCATTATACTCCTAATAAGTACGGAGCGCAAAGTATTTCTGACATGATCAACAATCTAAATTAATTTGACAAATTAACGTGTAACTTGGAACGTCTATTTTGTGAATATTCAAAGTCGTCAGTGGATCGACATAAAAAACAGACAGATGTTGATGTACCATAATATTAAGTACAATCAAGGACCATAAAAAAGTTACTGTTTAAATATAGCTCACCCTGTATTCCACAGCACGTTTTCCTCACACGAGTTTCCTGTATCATTCCGGCCCTACTTCAAGATGGCTGGCCTCGGGTACAAAATATTCCATTCCATGTGGATTAACATTGATCGAAAACATGATCTGTGTGTGCAACTTTTTTTCATAAAATCGCTTCCAAAAAACTTCAAACGAATCCGTTATGCTTAAAATAGATATGTGGATTCACCCTCGACGACCGATGAAGATAATCTATGTTCACTTGTAGTTGCTGTGTGTGTTGCATAAACGTCAACGTTCTTGACCTGCATACTCTGATGTAACATCTGCTTCAGAGATGGCGCTGGCGGAGACCATTCATCGCTTCTATGGCCTAAGCTGTAAGTTCTATGCCATTCCTCCATAGGTGGCGCTCACAGCGAGTACGCATAGGGTGGGGATTCCCCAAGGCTCCGACCTTGCACCCAACCTACACCTAATCATTACTTGAACACGCAGAGGTGTTCCTTTACGCTGATGACACACGCCCACGAGGCGGAGGAATACGTCTGTATGTAATGTTAATCCACAAAAAACCAAGCTGTTTTCTACCCCCAGTACACACAAAAAATGGAATATCCTCGACGACCGATGAAGACAATCTATGTTCGACTGTGTGTCTTGTCTAAACACCCCCAGTTGCACACACATAAATAGCGAAATAGCAAAGTCGATTTAGGTAAACAAAATTGTCCGTGGATCGAACGGAATCCTTCATCTTGCGCGATCGATTACCAGCAAAGTTCCTTAAAGTCTATCACAGCAGGTTATTGACGGCACCACCGAACCAGACCAACACGATGGGCAGAAGGTACTGCACCAGCGCCCTGGTCAAAGACATATCGTCGCGCGTTGACGCAGCGCCTGACGTTCGTACAACCTCGGGTCCTCTCGTCGGCGCGGGGTTCATCTCCACTATCGGCTGTTCGGGCTCATCGAACGTGATATCTTTCGAGGGACCGCCTGTGTCTGAGCGACCCCTGTCGCCCTCCAGTGGCGGATGGTGCGAGTGCGGGTGGTGATCTTCGTCGTCGTCTTCCTCGTCGATCTGGAACGAAATGTTTTTTAGACGCATAGCCGCAAAGGCAAAACGTAAATACCGAGGCGCTTCGAGTTCCATTGGACCTCTTGTCATCTGAACAGACAGCTTGTAGTAGTAGTAGAAAGATTTATTTAGCACATTTGGCTACATAAACAGAATAATTGTAAACAACTTAGAACTAGTAAATTCAAGCCATATGGTGTATGATGTAAATGCTGGGCAACCTATAATTGTAGATTTAACAAGTGATTTCTCAATTTTACTTTAAATTTTGTCAAAGTTTTCTGGTCTTTTATCTCCGAGTATAATTTATTATATTCAATCAACCCTTGATGGAATACAGATTTGTAGCATATGTTATACTTTTTGGTCATTAAATGGAAGTCATCTTTATTTCTGGTATTATGTAAATGATGGTCGACATTTGATGATGTTAAATTAGTTAGACTTGATGGAAATATATTATTTTTTACTTTATAAATGAATATCATTACAAGATATTTGATAAAATTTTTTACATTGAGCCATTTTAATTTGCAAAGCATTTGCCTAATTGGAGTATATTTATCTTTATTTAGTATTATTCTCATGCACTTATTTTGTAAAATTTGCAGTCTTTCAAAAATGGAATTATTTGCTAAATATAGAATAGTCGATCAGTACAAGAAATTTGGAAGAATGATGGTATTATAGATAATTTTTCTGCTATATGAACTCAGACATCCAGAAACTCTCGATAAATATCCCACTTTACTACTAATCTTATTTATAACTTTTTCATAAAGAATATCAAAAATTAATCGAGAGTCAACAAAAACTCCCAGGTATTTAAAATTTTCTACGAATTCAATATCTTCACCATCAATATTCAGTTGAACACTTGTACATTGTTTTTTCCGACTAACAAGGCTTTCGTTTTACTTGCATTTAATTTTAGTCTGTTAGATGCTAACCATTTTGAGACAAGCTTCAAGTCTTCATTTATATAAGAGATACCAGACTGAATATTTTTAGTACTTATATAAATCATAGTGTCATCGGCGAAAATCTGAATTTTGCATTTTTTGACTATGGCAGGTAAATCACTTATGTATAAAATAAAAAGAAGTGGTCCCAGGATACTGCCCTGTGGAACACCCAACGTATTTTCAATTTTTGATGAAATAGTGTTATTAACTTTTGTAACTTGCATCCTTTTAGACAAATAATTTCTAAACCAATCCAAAACACTTCCTGTTATACCATATGCCTTCAATTTACCTAACAAAATATCTCTATCAATCGTTTCAAATGCCCTCTTCAAATCCAAAAATACTGCTATGAAAACTTCTTCTGAGTCTATGGCTCTTCTCCAATTCTCAGTTACCAACTGGAAAGCTGTTTCTGTGGAATATTTTTTTCGAAAGCCTGCTTGCGCCTCCACTAAAATTTTGTTTTCTTCTATAAACTGCATTAATTGGTCATGCACTATGGACTCTAATAATTTTTCAATGTCTGGTAACACATTTACTGGTCTCATATCGCTGCATCTTTTAGAATTTTTTATTTTGGGAACTGGTGTTATTGTAGAGCATTTCAAATTTTCAGGAAAAGAACTGCTTCTCAGTGAACAATTGATCCAATTTAATACAGGATATCCCAAAATTTCGAAACAGTTTTTCAGAACGTTTTTAGTAGTGATTTCGGCACAGTTGTTTGATTTTAAACTGTTTACTTTTTTGGTGTAGTTCATTAATTTTTGTAAACAACTTTGAAAATGATATTTCGACATGAGTGTCTTATTAGACGAGGGCTTTTGTTTGTTTGTTTGTTTGTTTGTTTCAGATTTATTTAGCATTAATGCTACAATATATTACACAGTATATCACAAAATATATTATGTCTTCAAGACTACATATTTTTATACAAAATTTCACTAATTTATTAAATTCGTACAATCCCTTTTGAAATACTGACTTGCTCGTTATACTGCTACTGCAGTTTTGTAAATGGAAGTCTATACTTCCTCATGTAGAATAATTGTGGCACTCATTGTTCAATCCAATAAAATTTTCTAAGTGATTTGGTAGAAGATGATTTTTTAACTTGAATATGAAAATGAAAACCAAGTAGGCTATGAAATCTTTGATATTTAACCATTGTAGTTCTTTCAGCATAAAATTTATTCTAGTATATTTATTTTTATTTAAGATTATTCTTATAGCTTTATTTTGTAATATTTGTAATTTTGAAAATACAGTTTGATTTGCAGTGAACAAAATAGTTGAACAATATAACAAATGAGGAAGAATGATTGTTTTTTTCTTGGATATTTTTGAAATAATATATTCATAGTGCCCTTCAAATTTTAATTTACTGTCTAATTACCAAGAAAACGGGAAAAAAGAGCTTTGTCCGTTTCTGAAAAAGAAACTATTATAAATATTTATATAGCTTCTCAGAGCGCTATTCAACTGAAACTCAGACAGAACGTGGTGCCTTTGTTTTAAGAGCATCAGGTGAGGATTTAACTTTGAAGTACAGTTTAAGATGTTTTGTAGTTTGATGTATTATTCTAAATAATAGTTATTTTCTGTTAAATATTTTACCCACTAATATGATATTTTCAATTATTTTTATTATTTATTAATGTATGTACGTATAATATATACAAAATGTATTAGTATTAGGAGCATCAATTAGCAGTGTATATAAAATTTTGGCAGAGCACAAAAGAAGCAACTGTCTTTTTCCTCCCAAAGGTTACCATGGAGTCAGAGTAGTTTTGGACAACGTTTCACAGGAAGCTAAGGCATCAATCCGAAGAAAAATCCATGAATTTCCGAAACGAACCACCCACATTGGACAAAATATTGTTATCAATAAACGACGACGACTTGCCAGACTTCAAAAGATCGACGTTGGATACATTAATGAAGGAACTTAATTTTCGGTAAGTGTTGTACAAAAAACTTATTTTGTTTTTTATTTCTCCTTGAAATTAAAATACAAAACTAAAAAATTCCGTAAAATTTTCACACACAAAAATATACTAAGTGACATATAAATCCGAACACCCAGTTTAAATGGTTTTATTTTAATAAAATTTTGTATAAGTACTTAATGAAGCATAATAAGTAAATGATAAAAATTTCAAAATGATTGCACTGCTTTAAAGCCCTTTGACCTTTAATAATGTGTGGATGCACCCTGATGTGCTACGCATTCTCCAACGGGCCTAGGCATGCTTCTGATCAAGTGGTCAATGTCCTCCTGTGGTATATCATTCCAGGCAACCACCAACTCCTCTCGAAGTGCTTCTAGAGTCTGAGGAGAACGTTGCAAATTGAGCAATCTCCTACCCATCATATCCCACACGTGCTCAATTGGGGATAAGTCGGGAGATCTTGGTGGCCATGGTAACAATGTGACATCATTATGTTGAAAGAAGTCTATTGTGACTCTTGCAACATGTGGTCGGGCATTATCTTGATGGAAAGTTGGATCTGCCAGGGTGTCAAGATAGGGTAAAAGATGGGGTTCTAGAACTTCGTGGATATAACGCTGCGCGTTCATGTTACCTCTGATGAAGATTAAAGGTGACCAGGAACCATAAGCTATAGCACCCCAAACCATAACTCCAACAGTGTGATGAACATGTCTTTCAACAAAAAACTGTGAATTCCTCCTTTCACCACGTCGCCTTCTAACCCTTACACCGACGTAATCGCCTTGAGTGGTGCAGGCAACGGTCACTCTGGGATCAGGAATGGAACAGTATTGTCTTTACGTGACGAGTCTCGATTTTGTTTAGGCATGCACGATGGTCGTGCCAGGGTTAGAAGGCGACGTGGTGAAAGGAGGAAGCCACAGTTTTTTGTTGAAAGATATGTTCATCACTCTGTTGGAGTTATGGTTTGGGGTGCTATAGCTTATGGTTTCAGGTCACCTTTAATCTTCATCAGAGGTAACATGAACGCGCAGCGTTATATCCACGAAGTTCTAGAACCCCATCTTTTACCCTATCTTGACACCCTGGCAGATCCAACTTTCCATCAAGATAATGCCCGACCACATGTTGCAAGAGTCACAATAGACTTCATTCAACATAATGATGTCACATTGTTACCATGGCCACCAAGATCTCCCGACTTATCCCCAATTGAGCACGTGTGGGATATGATGGGTAGGAGATTGCTCAATTTGCAACGTCCTCCTCAGACTCTAGAAGCACTTCGAGAGGAGTTGGTGGTTGCCTGGAATGAGATACCACAGGAGGACATTGACCACCTGATCAGAAGCATGCCTAGGCGCGTTGGAGAATGCGTAGCACATCAGGGTGCATCCACACATTATTAAAGGTCAAAGGGCTTTAAAGCAGTGCAATCATTTTGAAATTTTTATCATTTACTTATTATGCTTCATTAAGTACTTATACAAAATTTTATTAAAATAAAACCATTTAAACTGGGTGTTCGGATTTATATGTCACTTAGTATAGTTCAGACTTTTTTATGTTTTTTATCATTCTTTATGAATAGACTAAATTTGCAATTTTGTTAAGATGAATCACCTGAAATTAGTTATTCGTATACTATGGTTCATTGAATTAACGAATTTAAAGATTTAATGTAATTTTTAGTTTTGTGGGAAGGAAGCGAAATACCATCTTGAAAGAAAAGGATTGGAGACGTAGATTCTTACGCGAAATCTGGAAGTATAGAGAATAAGGCAGGAAGATATACTACCTAGACGACACTTGACTCAATGCAGGGCACACTGTTAGCAAATTATGGGTGGATTCACCAGTTGAGCATCCTCGGCAAGCCTTCCTAGATTAAAAAATCGTGGAAGACGGACTAGTGGTATTTGAATCAAAACAAGCAGGAGACTACCACGCCAATTTATTTGAAGGATGGTTTGAAAATATTATAAGCCGTCTAGAAGAGAACGCTGTCATTGTTATGGACAATGCTTCATACCACAGTAGGCTTATTGATAAAGCACCAAACAGTGAAAACAGAAAAGGGGAAATACAGGAGTGGCTACGAAGGCGTAATGTTTCCTTTGACAACGATATGGTCAAAGCAGAACTTTTAAATCTGGTCACACCAACGAGAAATATGAAATATGAACTCAAAAGACCATTAATAAATATATTAAATAACAACGGGCCGAAGTGAGAACCCTGCGGGACTCCAGAAGTTACACGAATACTACGAGATGTACACCCACCATATCTTAGCATCTGAGTTCTATCAGGTCTATATTTTATTATTTTCCCACAAAGTTATGAGACTACTTTAGAGATCTGATTTTTTTCTAAAATGCTATTGTTATTGTAAAGAGGGATTTGAGGGTTGCTGTGTGTTAATTTAATGAATGAATGAACTTACCTCAGCATCCTCTCCCCCATCCCCCGATCCGCTGCCACTGCCCGCTCCAAGATTTCCTCCTATGAGCGCATCACTTTCTGTATCGTCCGCCATCTCTACCTCTTGACCCTGATGCGCCTTGCGCAGCTTATCTGTCAATCCTTGCAGCACATACCTGAAAAAAACATGTCTTCAATTCTATAAGAAAAGGTAATTGATATACTATTCGTCATTAACTTTCGTTTGTCTGGGCGGTTTGTGTCCATTAGTCACTGTCTAATGTACGTTAGTCAGTCCTGGTTGCCCAGAAACCAGACACGATGTCAACGGAAAGAGAAGAAAAAAGGAGAAGAGCAAAGAAAAAAAAGACAGAAAGTGTTTAATAGAAATACTTAAGTATCTAAAATTAATTATAGCAGACAAAATGAACACTTATTTTATAGAAAGTGTAAATCAAATAGTGAAGACGATTGATGACGGTGATCCAAACTTATGTCCATTACAAGTATGTTAAAATTCATCAATGAAGCAGTTTAGGACAATTAATATCAACAATCTAAGAAAAGCTATCTCAAAATTGAAATCTAATAAAAATACAAGTGAGAATCTCTCAAAAAATATTCTAAATGGTTGTTTCAATATAATTGGAGAGAAATTATTATTATTGGTGAATCATTGTTTAGCACATGGTGAATTCCCATCAAAATTAGAGTGTTCCAGCATTACTCCTGTGCCAAAAGTTCAAAATTCTCAGCTGTATACAAATATGCGACCGATTAATGTTATGCCCGATGTCGAGAAGCAGTTCTCGAAGGGATAATATACGAAAAAATCATAGAGTTCATTGAAGAAACCAAAATTTTTATAAAAAATCAAGCTGGATTTAGAAAAAATTGTTCCACAGAAACGGCAATCCAAATGGCGGTGGAAGACTGGAGAAGAAGTATAGATGAGAAAGAATATATTGTAACAATATTTTTAGACTTCATTTGAGGCTATAGATAGGGAAAAATTGTTAATGAAATTGCGTCACTATGGCTTTAAAGGATCAGTATTACACATTTTACAAAATTATTTAGTAAATAGAGGTCAAAAAACAAAAGTTGGAAATATTATGTCAAGTGTTCAAAATATATCAGTAGGGGTGTCACAGGGGAGTAAATTAGGGCCGTTACTATTTATTATTTATATAAATGATATCTCTGACATTTTAGAACACTGCAAAATTCAAATATTTGCGGACGATACACTTATATACAGAACATAAGCATTTGGACACTGATTTAGAACTGTTAAATAGTGATATTGAAAAAATTATGAATTGGTTAAATATCAATAAACTTAAATTAAACACTAATAAAACAAAATGTATGTCAATAGGGAAAGATTTAGGTGAGAATACAATTAGGCTCATGATTAATGATGAAAAAATTGAAGTAGTCGAGTCATTTAAATATCTTGGTATATTTTTGAATTTCATCTACGTTTTGGATACAAGGTGGTAGAAAGAGTGAATGCTTACAGCTGCTCGTTGAGTATAGAAGAGCCTCCAGTCAGAGCTCTGAATGCTCCTCCAGAAGGCCCTTGGGACACGCCTCCGTCAGTGCCGTTCCAACACTGATCCGCTGTGGTCATCGTGTCGTTTATCGATGTCGACATTTGCAAGGACAAGGCGTTGCAGTATTGATACGGGAGATTGATGAAGAACTGCTTCGTTTCTTTCAGTTTCTGTAACAAAAGCGAATGTTAGTTTAGGTCTAATCATATTTTCATATTAGCAAATTTCAAAATGTTCTAGGGGGTATTTAAAACATGGACACATGAATTGGGTACACAAATTTTTGTGGGAAAACATCGACTGATTTGGCTCATTTGGCACTGAAGCACTTGTGGCTGTGATATTTTCTTCACTTATTCACAATATAACGCACAGCTTGGCTGGCGGGACGATTTTCACGACCGAAAATTGGAGTGACCGCTCTTAAAGTTCCAACCGCTGACTTTTCAATTACTTCCAATCGTTGCTCGTTCGTATACTTCACCATGATCAAAATGCAAGCTTTGTATGACGTTTTGACATTGACAGAACAAAAAAATTATTTATGGGTGCGTTTGTATAAAAGTACGAAATTGTTATGTCCCTATGATTAGACTACTATCGAATATTGTATTATCATGATAGCTGCTCTCTTTTACCCCAAATTAGACGAATGACATATTAAATACCCGCCGTATTTTCCTTGCGCGCTTGTATAAAAATTAACCACAAATGTAAACAAATGAGCGCTTTTTTTAAAGCAACGCGGCACCAAGATAAGCCGGAGGAAAGATAACGTCGTTTTCGAATAAATATTTATCGTCCACGTCTATATTTAGTCTGATGTCCGATATGTGATTTGCTATTTATTTCAGAAATAAACTTTGAAACAGTTTAAATTCGAAATTATTTGTTTATCTCTATATTGCGAATGGAATTATGTGTTTATTTTCCTGCGTTTTTCTAATGCCTCGTAAAACGTTACCACTTAACCGCCACAGATATTTCTGGTTGGATATGTAGCAATTACCGCTTATTTTTCTTTTACGAAAGTGTTATGAAACGAAAATAGCATCAAGAGCTGCGTTTATTTTATCCTGATAATTCCTGAAACTCCATGTTTAATTTCCGATATAGGAAATAGTTTTCACTTAACCGAATCCTAGTTTACGTTTCTTACAAAGTACATCAAGTTGTACTGTTTTGAATACCTGTTTGATATCTATGATTATCCTTTCCAAAGTTGTGGTTTTGGACTCGTTGCTGTCTTTTATCTTTTTATGCTTCTTTCGCTTGCCACCGTGGTGCTTCTTTGGTTTCCTTGGCCTCTGAGGCACTGAAGCTGATTCGCTACTTTCCGCGCTCGTTCCATTTCTGTAATAAACAAAAAAGTAGAATCTTAAAAAAAACCTTATAAAATGCAACACCCAGAATTATTTATTGAATTCTGATAATAACTTGTAAATACATTTGCTATGATGGAAGTAATTTTTTGGACCATTTGTTTCATTGTTGTTTCATTGCATTATCATGCCTAGAGTGCGCAGACGCGATAATTACACTCAACTTTCTTAGGTTGAGAGGGGATAATCGGGTTATGTGAAGGCGGATTTTCTTTTAGAGAAATGACTAATGGGGTGAATTGAAACGTAGCTACTGTAATGAGATGTTGGTGAGCATGGTTTCAAGAGAGTTAGAGGTACTGGATGTGGAAGACATAGCATTGTTATTTAAGGCAACTAGCATTTAGAGATCGATTTTCCACAACAAGGGCAGTTGCGAACCAGTGGTTCAATGCTGTCGAAAACAATGATGACAGTTTATCGTCGAATAAGGTGTTTTGGGGTGTTTTCATACCGTTCCCATCTTGTACTACCTCTGACCCCACAGCATGGTCCACAACGATTGATATGGAGGAGAGTCTGTCTTTAATGGAATATGGAAATGGAACTCAGTCGTGTTTAGTGATGAGTCCAGATTCTGTTTGGACACATATGATGACCGTGCAAGAGTAAGGAGGAGACGTGGTGAAAGAACTGCATTTCATGGTACTGTGGGTCTCATGGTATGGAGTGTCATTGCTTAAAGCAGCAGGTCACGATTAGTGTTCATTCGAGATAGTATCACTGCCCAGCGCTATATCCACCAAGTTTTACAACCACAGCTGCTTCCCTTTTTGGAAATATTGCAAGATCCACTTTTTCAACAGGACAGTGCACGATCTCATGTGACACTTTTTAAAAGCGACCGTAGTAAATCTGCTTCAGTGGCCTCCTGGATCTCCAGACATTTCCCCCATCGAACATGTATGGGACATGGGAAGAAGGTTGCAAAATCGACCGCACCCTCCACAAACACTGGAGACTGTGAAACCAAATTCAGATGGCCTGGGTAAAATACACCAAGAAGAATTCAATCAGAATCAAACAGAGGAGGGTAATGTTGCGTCTTGGAAGGAAGGAATTTTTAACAGTGCACATTTTGCATTGTTTCTATGTTTGACAACAATATCCCTCCAACGTTTGATAAGTAGCACATCAGCTGCTGTCGCATTTTCTTGTTGTTCGACGTAAGTCAACGCCTTTTGTAGAGCTTCTAATCCATCAGAATTTTAAGCAAATCACCTCTATCTAAACTTCTGATTGCCTGAAGTTTCTGTTCTATGGTAATAACAACGCGTTTACGTTTATGAACCTGGCTGAAACAAGCATACACGCACACATACCAGTGAAGTCCGCAAACGCGCTTGGGGAATCACCGGCAGCGAATCTAATGGCGCGAACGTCGAAAGGGGAACTACCGGCGGCTATTTTGGATCATGCGCCGATTTCCCAAACAACTTCGGTTAGAACGGAGAAATTGTTGTATGCTATCTGTTTAGGATAAAGCGGATTTCGGATAATCGCGATTCGGATAATCTGGGTTCTACTGTAATGTGTTGAAGCGCCTCTGGGTACTGTTGCGTCTTGTAGAACTTCGAATTTCGCAGTTTTTTCACTTGAAACTTAAAGAGGGTAGTCCGATAGATTATGTTAAACGAAAAAAAGTGTGGATGAAGCACGCTTGTCTAGAACATTTTTTCCCCAAAACACTGTATTTTTAGCAGTTATTTTCACAATTATTTGAACCGCCATCTGCCATATATCGTTGACGTGTGTGCATATGTCATGTATGAGTGGCGCTTGCCTGCGGTGTTGCCGGATTGGGCTCCGCATTTAGGGAAAAATATGAAAAGTGGAAAATTTATAATACATATATTAATTAATGAAACACAAAAACGAAAAACTGAAACAAACAACAGTAGCAAAATGAAAAGCGATTCTTAATAAGTATAAAACAAAAAATAACGATAGTAAGCTAAAAAACGATAAATTGTCAATACATATAAAAAATAAAAACAGTAGTAAAACAAAAAAACAATTCCATGTACCTAATTATAAAAAACAAATGGAATTGTTTTTCATTTTACTTTTTTGGTTTTTGTTATCACTTAGAATAGCTAATTATTTTTTGTTTTTTATAATTGCTTGGAATTTTCTTTTGCTTTACCACTGTTTTTATTTTTTGTTTTTTATAATTATTTACAATTTATTGTGTTTTAGCTTACTACTGGTATTTTTTGTTTTATACGTATTAAGAACCGCTTTTTATTTTGCTATTGTTGTTTGTTTCAGTTTTTCTCTTTGTGTTTCGTTGATTAAAATAAATGTATATAGATTTTCCACTTTTCATTTTCCCTAAATGCGGAGCCCAATCCGGCAACACCGCTGATTCCCCAAGCGCGTTCGCGGAATTCGCTGGTATGTGTGCGTGTATGTTTGTTTCACTCAGGTTCATAATCGCTAAGATGGAGCAGCATAGAAATAAACGTAAACGCATTGTTATTACCATAGAACAGAAACTTCAGGCAATCAGACGTTTAGATAGAGGTGATTTGCTTAAAATTCTGAGGGATTAGAAGCTCTACAAAAGGCGTCGACTTACGTCGAACAACAAGAAAATGCGACAGCAGCTGATGTGCTACTTGTCAAACGTTGGAGGGATATTGCTGTCAAAAATAGAAACAATGCAAAACGTGTGCAGTTAAAAATTACTTCATTTGTTATACTTCTAAAACAAAATGCTAATAGGGAAATACCTAAACGAAAATACTATCACAGTCAGGATGAAATAATTGAAAATGTTGAATCAATTAAATTTAGGTATATATATATATATATATATTGACAGTAAACTAAAGTTTGAGGATCACTATGAATAAATTATTTAAACAATTGCCAAAAAAATAAATTACTTTTATAGAGCTTCTCATAGTCTTGATACATATTCCAAAAAAATAGTTTATAATACAATTATTTTTACCGTTCCAGTATCTTGTTCACTGACAATGAAGCTGTATTCTCAAAATTACAAGTCCTGCAAAATAAAGCTACGGGAATAATACTACATAAAAATAAGTACGCCAAAATAAAATCTATGTTGCAAAAATTGCGGTGGTTGAAAATAAAAAAAATCTTATTTTTATATTTAAAATAAAAAATCATCTTTTGCCACAACATTTAGAATTGAATAATCATTAGGATAATTATTATAAAAGAGGAAATATAGATTTTCATTTACAAAATTGCAATAGTAATATAACTAGCAAATCAATATTTCAGAACGGATTACTTGAATTTAATAAGCTAAATAAAGATATAAAGTTAAAGATGTTTAAAAGAAAATTAAAGGAATATTTCATGGACAGTGAAAATTCTTAGAGTTGCAAGTTTTGTTTTTTCTAAATATCTGTATCTTATGTAATTGTTTAGTTTATTAAAAGAGTGTAATTGCAGCAATCAAGCTAAATAAAGCTTAAGCAAACAAACAAAGCATATTTATAAAAACGCATGCATGACAACCTAGGTTATGCTTAGATTTTCTGAACAATTTTTGCAACGAAAAAGCATTAAATAGTTTTTGAATTGTTTTCCCATCAAAAAGTGTTTCCACTTGTAAATTCCAGTGCCCTTGCCCCCCCTGATACCAAACAAAATGTTATTGGCTATGGATCAGATAATATTCCTGAGGTAAAGAAAATGTTTGTAATTTTTTACTTACCGTGCAGTATCAATCCCTCTTTTATGCCTCGTGAACGTTGGTTTTCCACACATGCTATATATTTTCTGTGATATATCGGCACCGCTTTCTTGGAAATTCATGATGGCTTCTGATATTTTGATATTCAGAGGTTCGACAACCACTTCTATGTTGTACGGCCCCAACAGTCTGTCCCCTACTTTGTCTATTGCGTCTGTAAGGATGAACGCTATTGAGTTTGGCAAAATCTTAACTTCCTGAACCATATTTTTAAAATCAAGGAAATTGTACTATACTTTGTATAAAATAATGTTTCTACAGTTAATAGTAGTTATTTATTATACAAGGTTAAAAAAGTACTAGATTTTCTAGAAAATCTAGTGTTCTTCCCGTGTATAATACACAATTTTTTTCTGTGACGGGAAAAACGACGATTTAATATTGAAAAATTAAATTATTACAATATTTAAGTCAGGAAATTATCGACGAAAAATTTGAATTTTGAAATTGTACTTATAGCGACAATTAGACCCGCGTTGCTAAGGAAACTTTAAAAGTAAT